GCTACTCCGTTACCTTGACGAGTCAGCTTGTATTAACCAGATTGCTGTAACACTGATACGCAGCGTCCGATATTGGTCTGTTCCATGTAAATTTTGACGACAATCCCAGAGATTTGGAGCAGATGTCAGAAATTAATATACTGTGATTAATCTCCGATTAATTCGCCAACAGAGGGATTGGCGTATCATATATATATATATATATATATACAGAGAGGGCTTCATGCTTAAAAATCTCTGCATCTTTCCAGGGGTAACCGGCAATAAATGCTTGATACTGCATACGCTGTTAACCTACTGGGTCAGATCAAGCATTATGTTCTGGCTCGTTAACTTCGGCACTCTCCCGCGGCACACGAGGTGTTCCCATGTTATCCGATCTGATTGGGAGATCCAGGGGTTACTTTCTGTGCACACACCAGTGTTGGGGAGAATATACGATGCGATCTTGCACAACAATACATGTGCCTGGTGGAGTTGGGGATCTCCTTGTTTGACAGCAAACATTCGGCGGAAACGCCCAACTAAGAGAGATCTGCGAGGCTATATACCGAGTATGGACTGTCAGTTACGACGGCTGGCCAACGTAGCAGACGCTTCCTCTGCTGTGATTTGGGTGTGCAAGGGATGTCCGTCCAGTCAGTAGTGAGTGACAGAGTAGTGGTGACCAACAACATCAACACATGCCTGAACGTCCTCGACTTGCCAGCAAGCCAACGAGGGGCAGAGGGGTAACTATGAGCAAATGGCGCAAGAGCCGCAAGAAATTGCAGTGGAAAAGAAAAGAGAAGAAGCAAAGAAAATCGACAAATGAGTGCTTTGGAATGCATCAAAAATTTCGACCAGAGGCGCCCAAAACGAAGGCGTCTGCGAGTGACAAACGCCACGTCGAGCAACATAATAGCGACGGCTACGAGCAGCGAATGATATCTTCGCATTGGGCGAGAAGAGAGACCCCCAAGGCCATGGAGGCTTTTCCAAGAGCCTTTTGCGAGACGCCACGGATGAGAGCGAGGAGAGCATCTCCGTGGTGATAATTAGGGTAAAAATAGCGCTGGACACGAGGCGGAACCCTGTCCGTTGCCTGGCCTCGCAGCACTACGCCCAGATAGGGCAGGCCAGCGAAAGCCCTAGCAGGGAAGTCCGAACAGGGCGATCCTTCGACTGCCTGCCTGCCTGCGTTGCCTCTGTTCTGCTCCCCTATCCCATGGTGAAACGCAGGAACGGCGAATATACTTTTGACGGAGGGATTTTTACCTTTACGCCGTCAATAATACAGAGAGATCCCGGGACCAAGACATCATAACCAGACATGTTATCGGGCTACAGAGGATATGGCAGGATACAAGACATCCATTATCAGGACCTGTCGAGGGGCATAAGACGACGCTTGGGTCTCTCACTTTTTTTTCTCCCACGTTGTGGCTCGTCTTAGCTGGTCGGCCCTGACTTGCATATCAAATCTCCCCCCCCCCAAGGCGTATCGCCCGTGACGGTAGCGTCGTTGCCAGCTGGTTCTGCCCCTGCCGAGCACCTTCGAGCAGCCAATGAGCGCGGCGAGGGACCTGGCTCACCGCCACCCAGGCCGGCAGCTCGGACGATCCTCTCGTCGTATTATGCTTTTAATAATAATACCGATAAATAAAACACCCTCAGCAGAGCAGGCGAGGAGGCCACGGCGAGCGCAGCAGCAGCAGCAGCAGCAGGATGGAGTGAGCAAGACGCGGAGACAAAGGCGAAGGCAGAGAGGCACGGAGACCAAATTTAAAGGCCTTTCGCAGCCGGGGGTGACAGCCAGAAACGATCAGAGAGAGAGGGACGGGTCATGCCCGGCAGGCTTAGCGGCTGGGGGTGTCTTCGTGTGCTGCCAATAATCGGTCTAAATATACTGGCGCAGGGCCCGCCAAGGGGGTTGAACGCTTGAAGGTGCAATTTCCGCACACGGTGCAACGCCCCCTTTTTCCCACTCGGCAGCGCCCTTGTCCCCGGCGAAGAGGAGTACTTAATATAACACTCCCTCGCATGGCCCTTTCATTTCTCTTTGCTTCATATCTCTCGGTTTCCGTCCCCAGGAGATTCTCCCTTGCCTACCACCGCTTCACTCTTTCAGCGGGCATTCTTTAACGACTATCCAACGCTCTCTCGTCGTCTGCGTTTTCCCTCCAGCCAGCCGCCAGCCAGAGAAAAAAGAACGAACGCCTCCCCGCCGCCACTGGAGAAGAATCGATAGAGGAGAGAGATGAAGTCTTCCTTGTTTGTTGCGGCCGCTGGCCTGCTCGGCTCAGCTGTCGCCAGCCCTCATGCCCATGGCCATGGAAAATTCCATCGCCGTGCTGTTCCAAACCCTCAGGAGACCTGCTTCTGTGAAACCAGGGTCGTCTCCTTCTATGGACCTCCAACCCGTATGTTTTCCCCCTGATCGATGAATGGCGATGGTCATTGATATGGATCGTCTCTGTCGCGAGTGTTGATTGCAACGATTTCCTGCTAACTCGAGATGATATCAAGTCGTCTTCCCGACGCCGACACCGACTCCAACACCGATCGAAACGACCACCACCGTCCAGTCGACCAGCTACACCACCGTGACTGTCAATACCACTGTTCCTGCTTCCTCTCCAGCTCCTAGCTCCTCCGAAACTACCAAACTGCCAACTCCCATCGTCATCGTCTACCCAACTCCAGGAACTTACACCATTCCCCCAACCACCTACACTGTTCCCGCCACGGTCACCGTCTGTCCTTCTGCTTCTTCCAGCGCGCCAACCGGCCCTATTACCAGCGGTGCTCCCCCATGCCCCAATCCCACCACTATCCCACCAGGCACCTATACTCAGCCTGGCACGGTCGTGACGGTCACCGTCACCAAGCAAATCTTCACTTGCCCTGCGCCAACCAACACTCACCCGGCACCACCACCGCCACCACCACCACCAACCACGACCCCAGCTCCTACTCCCGCTGAGCCATCCCCGCCTCCCCAGGCCCCAACCAGCAAGGCTCCTGAACCACCAAAGGCCCCTGAACCACCAAAGGCCCCTGAACCACCAAAGGCCCCAACCTCTTCCCAGGCCCCGGCTCCTAAGCCAAGCGGTGGTCTCGGTGGAGGTAAAACCGGTGGCATGACCTACTCTCCTTACTCTAACGATGGCCAGTGCAAGGATGCCGGTACTGTCATGAAGGATATTTCCACCATCAAGAACGCCGGGTTCTCTACCATCCGCCTCTACTCCACTGACTGCGATGGCCTCAAGAACGTTGGTGATGCCTGCAAGGCCCACGGTGTTATGATGATCATTGGTGTCTTCATCTCTGAGACTGGTATTGAAGGCGCTGGTAAGCAGGTCACAGACATCACCGGCTGGGCACGGTGGGATTTGGTCACCCTTATTGTCGTCGGTAACGAGTCCATCCAGTCTGGTCGCACTAATGCTGGCGCTCTCGCCGGGTTCATCCTCTCAGCCAAGGCCACCTTCAAGGGTGCTGGCTATAACGGCATGGTCACCACCACTGAGACCGTCAACATCTGGCAAGAAAGTGGCTCTACCCTTTGCAGCGCAATTGATGTCCTTGGTGCCAATATCCACTGCTTCTTCAACCCAGATGTCACCGCCGACAAATGTGGCAGCTTCGTCCGCGGCCAGATGGACCTTCTCTCCAAGATTTGCCCAGGCAAGCAAGTCTACAACCTCGAGACTGGCTGGCCTAAGCAGGGTAACCCTAACAACCTCGCTATTCCTGGTGTATCACAGCAGAAGGAAGCCATCCAGTCTCTCGTCAAGGAAGTCGGACCCGACTCTATCTTCTTCTCCTTTGTTGATGACGCCTGGAAGGACCCTGGCCAGTACGGAGTCGAGCAGCACTGGGGATGTATCAATGTCTTCCAGTCAATGTAAAGTTAGCATCTAGCTAGACCTGACGCATTTCACTTCAATTCCGTTTCCGCGTGATCACCTTTTTACTCTATTGATCCTCTCTCTCTCACCTCGCCCGGTTTCTCCATCCCCGCCGCTCGAGTGCGAGGCACGAACCTATCTTGCCGTCTCCTGTCTCTTTTCCTCCCCTTTCTCGCCTCGTCTTTTTCTTCTCTTGTTCAAATGCCCCTGGCCGTTGTGTGAAATAGTTTATGTTTGGAGTGAGTTGGATCGGAGGGAGTTGTATTTCATATACGCATCAGCCGTATTCACTTTTAATCCATGTCAAGAATTTCCTTTTCTGAATTCCAATTCCAAGCAGCCGGCTAGAAGCAATAGCCTGGCTGATATTTCATGGTATTTCATGGTATTTCGTGATATCTGATGGTCTCTGATGGTCTTTGATGGTCTCCTAAACTTGAGCCTCCCAGCGGACCAGCTTGATATTGCGCCCAGCGTATACTCAACGTGCATTTAAACATCAGACAGACGTCATCATGCTCAACGGCTACTGACCTTATCGATGTCTCGTCAGTTGGCTTTCCGCCGACGGAGCAACTTGAGGCCGTCGGATCTGCGGCTCGACTGGTTCTTCCGGTCGTTGCTCAGCCCTGTCCACCCCCCTGTGGGCCAATAGCAAGAAACAGCGGCAGACGAGCTTTGCTGCTTCGTTGCTATCAGTTGACAAACAACAGGTGGTGCCCCCTTAAGGTCCCTCCCATGGCGTGCGACCGGGAGCTTGAAATATAGCTGCCTGGCTGATAGTTATCCACTACTGTCGATGACGGTCTCCCTCGCATCATCGTCGTCGTATAGTTAGTTTGGCTTACGAGCTGCATCAGCCTCTCTGCTTAACGTTATGCTCGTTTCTATGGTCTGGGCTCGTAAAAACTTTTCTGATAACGACCATTTTGGACCCTGTGGATCTGTCAAATGATGGAGTTTCTGAGTCTCAAGGCCTGACGGGATGGAGCAACGGCCCTCTCCCGACTCAAGCTGGGCCTGGACATTCCTCCGTTCTCGTCTTGTTTCTCCTGCGGGTCGGGTGGATGTCGGATGTCGCACTCTCGCTTCCCCGATGCCATGTCAGATGCTGGATAGATATACATATATATATACATAGACGTATATATAATTCATATCTTGCTGAGATGCCTGGCTGTTTCGGGCAGCTATATACCCCCTCTCTATCAAAGCGGATATCAATCTGGCCAGCATGAGCACTGCAGTTGAAGGAGGAGGCCAGAACGGCCAGCAGCAGTCAGGGGGCTCTTCTTCTGCCAGCTCGCATACCGAGGTAGAAGAGTTCCGTCCCTCGAAGCGGACATGGCTCATCTTCCTGACGCTGTCTGTGTTGACGCTGATGGTGGCCCTCGATGGGACGTCTATATCCGTTGCCTTGCCTGTACGCATACCCATTGCTTAAAATGCCCCCTGTTCATGGAGCCAGCAAACTGACTCTCTGACTACCAGATAATCGCTTCTAAACTACATGGATCGGCCATTGAGGCCTTCTGGAGCGGGACTTCGTTCCTCCTCTGCTCAACAGGTTGGATCCCCCTAAAGCCGATAGATATCCAACCCCCCCGGATGTCGAGCTAACTAACAGCCGCCTGCCAAATAGTCTTCCAACCCAGCTTTGCGTCGTTTTCAAACATCTTCGGCCGCAAACCCATGACGCTGATTGCGCTGACGTTCTTCTTCGTCGGCACCCTTGTCTCTGGTCTATCAAACAACTTCACGCAGATGCTGGTCGGTCGGTCCGTCCAGGGCGTCGGAGGAGGCGGCATCATCGCCCTCACGGAAATCGTGGTCACAGATCTAATCCCCATGCGCGAACGAGGGAAATACTTCGGCATCCTGAGCTCGATGTGGAGTTTAGGATCAGTGCTGGGCCCTGTGTTGGGCGGCGGATTCTCACAGAACGTCTCCTGGCGATGGATCTTTTACATCAACTTCCCCTTCGTGGGCATCAGCTTGATATTTATCATCCTCTTCTTCAAGCTTACCCGTATCCCGGACTCGCTGGCCACGAAGTTACGCAGGATAGACTATATCGGATCAGCGCTGTTCATTGCCTCTGCGGTCTCCTTTCTCATCCCGGTCACTTGGGGAGGAGTCATGTACGACTGGAGCTCCTGGCGGACACTGGTGCCCCTGATACTGGGCATTGCAGGACTGATTGGATTCATGTTCTATGAGACGTACTTCGCTGCCGATCCCATGATTCCCGTTACCGTCTTTGCTACTCGAACCGCCATCGTGTCGTACATTGAGACGGTGCTACATGGCCTCGTCCTCTGGTGCGGCCTCTACTACTTGCCTCTTTACTTCGAGACAGTCAAGGAATACTCGCCCATCCTGTCCGGCGTCGCTCTTTTCCCGCTCAGCTTTACTGTCGCCCCGAGTGCCGTCGTAGTAGGCGTCATCACCACCCTAACAGGCAAATACCGCTGGTCAATCTGGATGGGCTTCTTCCTCAGCACACTGGGAATGGGCCTGCTTGCCATTCTAAAGGTGGACAGCAGCGTTCCAGCATGGATCTTCCTCATGCTCCCCGCCGGCGTGGGATTAGGCATGCTTTTCCCCGGCCTTGGTTTCGCCATCCAAGCCTCCGCGCTCAAGGGCCATATGTCCATGGCCGTAGCGATGTTCAGCTTCTTCCGCGCGTTCGGTCAAGCCATTGGCGTTGCTATCGGCGGCGTCATCTTCCAGAACCGCATGGTTGCCAAGTTGAGGAAATATCCTGAGTTTTCTGCCCCGGGTCTTGCAGAGAAGCTGAGCAAGGATGCCGCTGTGTTAGTGCAGGTGGTTCGAGGTATGCCTGAGGGTCCGCAGAAGATGCATCTCAAGGAGGCGTTTACGGGCAGCTTGAGGTTTGTCTGGATCGTCTGCTGTGTGCTCCTGGCTGTTGGAGGGCTGTTGAGCGTATTTACTGCCTCGTATGACTTGAACCAGGGGATCGATTCGGAGCAGAAGCTGGTTGAGAAAAAGGATCGCAACTCGACGGTTGAGACGGGTGTCACACCATCTCAGAAGGCTTGATGAACGCTTTTGTTTCTTTTTCTTCCTACTTGTTTTTGTTTTGTACATAGCCATGGTTATGGCTACGGGAGGGGCGGTTATTGCTTTTCAAGAGGAATCCCTATAGATGGAGTTGATGCTATGGGTGAACATAATAATGTGATGACATGTATATAATGTAACGAAGAAAACTCTCGATTCAAAAGTATCAGACGCTGTATGTATATATTCGCACTGCATCAGGAAAAACCAAACCAATTCATTATTGCTAAAATCAAATCCAGTCTTTCTTCTTGGAGAAAAAAGTATGGGGGATAAATAGGGTTGAATATCCCCTAGGCAGACTATGCAAAAGGATGAGACAAGCAAGGCCCAACGTAGGACAAGATGTGTATATATGCAAGGACTGGAAACAATAGACGGAAAAAGTCCAGACAGACGGAGGAAAGGCAGAAGATAGAAGTAAAAGTAAAAAGAAGAAAAGAAGAAAAGAAAAGCTAGCCTGTCCAAGGCGCATGAGGGCTGATATATGTATATCGAGGGCAAGACCAACAACCGTACGATGCATGTATGTAGTATATGTCGGAGCGCGGGTGTGGGCGGATGTATAGGTGGTGTTAAGCTATTACGCAAGAGAAATCGTTATCCTTGGAGGTAAATGGCGAGAAGGTTAGAGCCAGAGGAGAAAAAGAGAGAGGGGGAGATAGAGGGAGCGGTAGAGGTGAGAAAAAAAAAAGGGAGTATCTAGCAAGGAGAGTGAGATGCAGATGCGCGCTGAGAAATAGGAATGGAAGGTAGATAGATGTGAACATAAAAGGAATCAGAAAAGACCGAACCGTTTCGTCTTTGGTTTTTCTCCTGATAGATAGATAGCCGGTTAGTACGTGCATCCAAGTTTAGGTATAGATAAATATAAACGGGAGGATGTACCATTTTTCTGGAGACGACGGGCGGCAGCAGAGTTAGGGTCGGCCCCTGAAGCAGCTGCTCTGATGGCAGCTATACGATGCTTTGCTCTCTCGTCACCGTGATCAGCGGCGCGGACATACCATACATTGGCCTCGAGGGGGTCACGACGACATCCAATGCCCATCTCCGTGAAGTAGCCAACTGCGTATTCAGCTTTGGCCAGCCCTAGGAAGAATGCCGGTTAATATCAGGGTTTACCATGTATAAGCTAGCGAGGGGTGAAACATAGAAGAACATACCACATTCGGCTGCCCGTCTGGCCCATTCATAGGATTCGTTCTCATCCTTTTCGAGAATGGGTTCAGCACCAACCATGAACCAGGCGCACAAAGCCATCATGGCCATGGGATGGCCCAGCTGCGCAGCTCCGGTATAGAAATGGACGCTCAGCGCCGGGTCTCGAGGACAGTTGAGCTTCCCATGTTCATATGCGTCACCCATACGATAGCTGGCCTCCGCATGGCCCAGTTCGGCGCTCTTGGTGAAAAGCTGAGCAGCGTAGGATTCGTCCTGGAACACATCGTCACCGTATCCGACCTCATGCAGCAGACCTAGCTCGTAGGGCGCAGCGTTGTACTGAACATCCGCGGATTCCGCAGCCCGTTTGAGCCAGGTGATGCCCTCGCGATATCTCTTGACCAGGCCCATGTCTCCAGCCAGACAGGCTCTTCCCAGCCTTGCCATGGCGCCTGGGTGGTTTTTAGAAGCGGCCTGGCGGTAGAACTGGACTGCCTTTGCGCCGTCCTGCTTGGTACCCCAGCCGAACTCGTAGCAGAGAGCAGCGCGATAACCGGCTTCTGCGTGGCCATGTTTGCTTGCAGCGACGAAAAGTTGGAATGCCTTGTCGTGGTCTGGTTTTCCTTTGTTGAAGAGGCCGGAAGCCAGCCCATCGCCAAGGTAATATTGGGCATAAGGATAGCTCCGGTCAGCCAGACGCTGCAGGATGCCCTTTGCTTCCCGGAGCAGCTCGGCCTTGGAAGTTTCTCTCTTGTCCGTGCTGTTATTGGTATTGTTATTGCTGTTATTGCTGTTGGTGTTACCGTTATTGGTATTCGAGGGAGATTCGTCTAGATCGATGTCCTGGGCTGCGTGGATCATGAAAACGGCAAATTCGTACTGGGCGCCCGGGTCGTTGGTCTTCTTGACGTTGGCCAAGTACATGTCAAACGTCTGCTTCTGGGAGAGCAGCGAGGCATTGTTGCCCACGGACGAGCGCAGGTAGGCGTTGTTGAGGGCATTGGGCGCCGGTGGGGGCTGCGGATAGGGGACGTTGAGCAGGTCGACAAAGGAGAGCGGCCGCAGGTCGGCCTGCGAGTGCGAGCTGACGGCGCGGGCGTTCGGCGAGCGCCTGTGGCCATGGGGGAGGCCGAGATGGTCTGCTCCGTGGGCATTCCTGGTGCTGGAGGAGCGCGAGGAGATGCTGGCGCTGGCGCTGGTGCTGCGGACGTGTCCGTGGAAGGGCTGGTGATGGTACTGGAGCGGCTGGTAGGACTCGACGACGCTCTCGGCGGCGCTCTCGTCGCTGTGCCGGGCCTCTGACTGCGCATCCGGCTGGCCGTCAGCGCCCTCCGACTGTCTGTCTGACCGTCCACCGGGGCTATCTGTCCTTTGCTGCTGTTGTTGCTGTTGTTGCTGTTGCTGGTGAGGGTGAGGGTGAGGGTGTTGTAGATGGCCCATGTCTGCGCTGGAGGACTGGTCTGCCCTAACGGGCGAGACAGGCCCTCCGTGCATGGCAACGCTGCCGGGCTGAGCGTCCCCCGGGAGCTCCTTTCTCGTAGGCGTAGATCGCAGGTAGACTGGCAGCGGCGGCGAGAGGGGAGGCTGCTGGCTGCCCATGTCTCTGCGGTCTCTGCGTGTCTCTGTGTGTCTCTGATCGGTGTCTCAGTCCCAGGCTCTTTCGATCTCCCAGACCAGGAGCACCTCCCGGCGGGTCTTGATATAGGTATTTAACCAGACAGCAACAGGCTGCTCTCCGCCGGTGGCCAACCCTCAGCCTGGTTTTCCGGAAGTTATGCAGCAACAAGGTGCTCTTTCGTCAGTGACCTGTCGAGACCCCGGAGTCAGCCAGCGGGCAGGCTGTAGCAGCAGACGGGCGAGACCTCAAGGGGGGGGAGAGGAGTGTTCCTACAGCGCTCTCTCTTTCAATGCAGCGAGAAGCAATAATAGACCATGGCGGCCAAACGAGCGGGAGAAGAAGACGAAGCAGAGATGACGACGAGGAAAAGGGAGAGACGACTGAGCGAAGGACTTCTCTTATTTTATTTTTTCTGTTCTTCTTCCTGGTGGAGTTTTCTGACGCAAAGCAGAGATCCAACTGCTCCACGGGATGATGGATGGAGGACGCAGCGCAGGATTGAGGGAGGACGGAGAGACCAGCAGCCACGGACTAGCGAGCGAGCAGAGCAGAGCAGAGAGCAGAGCAGCTAAGCGAGAGGAAGCTGAACAAAGCCAGAGCAGCGGACGAGCTGAACGAGGGACGCTTGAGATGGGTTTTCTCCTGGCCGGTGGCTGAGGATGAGGCTCGCAGGCTGGCTTTGGCCGCTAGTTAGTTATCTGCTGTTATTTGATATACGAGGCAGCGCAGCGCAGGGAGCCTCGACTGGACTGCGTGCAGCATGCATAGCCATCCATGGTTTACAGACCAGACGCCCCAGGACGAGATTGAACTAGTTGACTAGCTAGCTAACGACTCCGTAGGCTTGTCTTGTCGTGGTTATTATTAGAGCCGGAGCAGCGCTTGCATGGAGACTCGCTTAGGCGTAGCGAACACTCCATGAACGTCTCTCTTTTCTCTCTATATCTTCTCTCGCAGCATTGCTTTTATAATGTCTATTCCCTTCCTGTCATCCTCAACGTCACTGTTGCTCCATCCTCGGAGTTCTGTATTTACTTCTTCGCCAGCTTTTATATAGATCTGAGACACGCAAGGCGAAGCCCCTTTTTCTTCTTCCGCCAGCGCTCGCTCGCTCGCTCTACTTGACTGCTTGCCAGGCCGGCCTCTGCTAGCCTGCGCCAGCCGTCCTGCCGGCCTCTTCTTGTCCTTTTTTGACTCTCTTTTGACTCTCTTTTGTCTCCTTTTCTCTTCTTTTTCTCTTCTTTTTGCTGTGAATATCAACTTCTTCGGCTTCTTCCCCCTGAGGGCGTAATAAAAGTGTTATTCAAAGTGCCTAAAAGAGGCCGCTGTATGTAATGTAATTTCGGGGTCCGCCCAAGTTGCCCCTTTTTGGCCGGTAAACTTGTGTAACCTCGATACCACTAAACTCTATCTCCGTTGCCTGGCAAACAGCTCACGTGACTTTTCCTTTTGTCTTTCTTTTTTTTCTTTTTCTTTCGGTTTTCAAACATCAACAAAAGGACGAAAAAGCCAGCAAAGACAGCAAAGCCAGCAGAGACAGCAAAGCCAGCAAGAAGACGAAGAAGGACAGGTTGATGGCCTGCTAGACGACGAGAGACAGACAGACAGAGACTCTCCAGTGCCCGTCGGAGACTGCTGATGCCCGCTTAACGCCCTCCCGGTGTTGTCTGTCTTGCCCGCCGCCCCCTATCACCTCGACTACACCATCCATCGATATCATCACCACCACCAAGAAGACCACCCAGAGACCGAGCAACAGAGACGGCAGCGGTTCTCCGTGCATGATCGAGTGGATGAGACCGCTGGATATATAGATGTCCCTCCCGCAGCGGCCTGGGGCGTCCTCGTCCTCGCCCAGCCAGCCGTCCTTCCGCGACTCCTACCAGCGCCGGCGGCCTGACATCGAGTCCCCCAGTCCCTCGCCCTCGCCCACGCCCGCCGGCGAGCTCGGTCGCAAGCGCAGTCTCATCCGTCCAGAGCGCCATAGGATCAGCCGTGACCATCCAAACTACCACTACCGCCAGCATGCCCAGAACATGTCCGTCTACCCGTCCACCACGGGCAACGACCCCGTCTACGAGGAGACCGGAGCCCCTGAGCTCGTCGATACCTCCGAGACCATAAGCTCCGGCAGCACGGGGCTCAAGAGCATCACCAAGCCCGAGAGAAACACCACCAGCCTCGAGCGGAACCCCAGCATCGATGTCAACTCGGTCCCTTCCACCACCGGGGGCGGACCAACCCCATCCCCCCGTCCCCCCGCGGCCGCAGACCACGGCAGGCAGGCCGACTCCTCCCACCGCCGTATGCAGCGGAAGCTCTCTCGCAAGGCCTCCAAGTCCACCAAGGAGGAACGCCGCCTGGAGGAGAAGAGGCGCCAGCAGGAGATGGACAACATCAAGCCCCCCAGCTTGTGGAATGTCTACTGCGGCATGATCACCTTCTGGGCCCCCGACTTTATCCTCAAGTGCTTTGGCATGCCGGCCAAGGCTCAGCGGAGAGCCTGGAGAGAGAAGATGGGCCTCATCAGTCTGATCCTGCTCATCTGCGGCTTCGTTGGGTTCCTCACCTTCGGATTCACCCAGGTCGTCTGTGCTGCGCCTCCCGTGCGTCTCAAGGTCAACGAGGTCGACCAGGGCTACATGATCTTCCACGGACGCGCCATCAACCTCGCCAACTCCCGACACCCAGCCGTGCTCGGTCTGCCGGACGCCTCCGTCGTTGTCTTCTCCGGTGACGGATACGGCGGCCAGGACGGCAGTTTTCTCTTCCAGAACGTCAATGGCGCGTGCAAGGGCATGATCACCCCCAAGGAGGGCTCTGATATCCCTTCCAACAGTGACGGTGATATGGGATGGTATTTCCCCTGCGTCACCTTCAACCAGGACGGCTCAACCAAGCCCAACTTCACCACGCCAGAGTACCTCGGATACAAGTGCCATACCTCTGCCGCTGCTCGAGAAGCCTTCTACGATCTCCGCACCACTGGTGAGGTCTACTTCTCATGGGATGACCTCAAGAACAAGAGCAGAAACCTGCTCGTCTACTCCGGAAACGTTCTCGATCTCGACCTGCTCAAGTGGTTCAACACCAGCCAGGTCTCCTACCCGTCTCGCTTCGACCAGCTCCGCGAGAGCGAGGAACTGCGCGGCGTCGATGTCACCCACCGTTTTCAGACCGGCCCGGAGAAGAGGATGTTCAAGTGTCTGACCCAGATCATCAAGGTCGGTTCAATCGACACTGAAACAGTCGGGTGTATCGCCTCCAAGGTCGTGCTCTATATCTCCCTGATCTTCATTCTGGCCGTTGTTATCGTAAAGTTCCTCCTTGCCTTGGCCTTCCAATGGTTCCTGGCCCGCCGGTTCGCGGCTCCCAAGACAGCGATGGATCCAGACTCCAAGGAACGCAAGCGCCAGATCGAAGACTGGAGTAACGACATCTACCGCCCCGGCCCCCGCCTGGCGGATCCTGCCATGCCTGACCGCTCCAGCAAGCGCGCCTCTAACATCTTCCCAACTACGTCACGTTTCTCCAGCCCCTATGTCGTCGGCTCAAACAAGCAGCGCAATACCATCACCACCATGTCCAGCCAGAATAACTCTAACCGCCTCAGCGCCGCCCCAATGTACAAGCTCGGCAACCCAAGCCAGGGAACCCTCAGCGCTGACCCCCGACACAGTCTCATTGGCAGTCGTACCAGTCTCATGGTTCCAGGCCATGACCACCGCCACTCTACCATCAGTGACATCGAGGGCCAGGGCCCTGCCGAGTTCGTCCACGAGGCCGTCGTGCCACAGCCTCCACCAGAATGGCAGCCGTTTGGTTACCCTCTAGCCCATACCCTGTGTCTGGTTACCGCGTACTCTGAAGGCGTTGAAGGAATCCGCACTACCCTGGACTCAATCGCATTGACCGACTACCCCAACAGCCACAAGACCATCCTCGTCATTTGTGACGGTATCATCAAGGGTAAAGGCGAGAGCATTTCCACTCCTGATGCCGTGCTCAGTATGATGGGCGACCACGCTGTGCATCCAGACGACGTCCAGCCCTTTTCCTATGTTGCTGTTGCCTCTGGCTCAAAGCGTCATAACATGGCCAAGATCTACGCTGGATTTTACGCCTACGGTCCTGATTCCATCGTGCCCCCCGAGAAACAGCAGCGCGTACCCATGATGGTGGTCGTCAAGTGCGGAACTCCCGAAGAAGCCAACAAGAGCAAGCCCGGAAACAGGGGTAAACGAGACAGTCAGATCATCCTCATGTCCTTCCTCCAAAAGGTCATGTTCGACGAGCGAATGACCGAGCTCGAGTTCGAAATGTTCAACGGCCTGTGGAAGATTACCGGCATTTCTCCAGACTTCTATGAAGTCGTTCTCATGGTTGACGCAGACACCAAGGTCTTCCCAGACAGTCTCACCCACATGCTTTCTGCCATGGTTCGCGACCCTGACATCATGGGCCTCTGCGGTGAGACCAAGATCGCCAACAAGTCGGATAGCTGGGTTACCATGATCCAGGTGTTTGAGTACTTCATTTCTCACCACTTGTCGAAATCCTTCGAGTCTGTCTTTGGTGGTGTCACCTGTCTTCCCGGCTGTTTCTGCATGTACCGCATCAAGGCTCCCAAGGGCGGACAGAACTATTGGGTACCCATCCTCGCCAACCCGGACGTGGTTGAACACTACTCCGAAAACGTCGTGGATACGCTGCACAAGAAGAACCTTCTTCTCCTGGGTGAGGACCGATACCTATCCACTCTCATGCTCCGAACTTTCCCCAAGCGCAAACAAGTCTTCGTTCCCCAGGCAGTGTGCAAGACCACCGTGCCAGACAAATTCTCCGTGCTGCTCTCCCAGCGTCGTCGATGGATCAATTCCACCGTGCATAACCTGATGGAACTTGTCCTCGTCCGTGACCTCTGCGGCACATTCTGCTTCAGTATGCAATTCGTCGTCTTTATGGAACTCGTCGGAACCCTTGTCCTTCCCGCCGCCATCGCATTCACCTTCTACGTCGTAATCATCTCCATCGTCAAAAGCCCCGTTCAGATCATCCCACTCGTCCTCCTCGCTCTTATCCTCGGTTTACCAGCCGTGCTAATCGTAATCACTGCCCATCGCCTATCATACGTTCTCTGGATGTTCATATACCTTCTTTCACTACCAATCTGGAACTTTGTCCTACCCACATACGCATACTGGAAATTCGACGATTTCAGCTGGGGAGATACGCGAAAGACGGCAGGCGAGAAGACCAAAACTGCCGGAATAGAGTACGAGGGAGAATTTGATAGCAGCAAGATCACCATGAAGAGATGGAGAGATTTCGAAAAAGGTACGCAACCCTCCCCTTCCCTATACTATAACTGGCCAGAGCTTTTGGTTGGTTAGAAAATGAATGATCTCTTCGGACGATACTAACTCTTCTCTGCTAGAACGCCGACTCCGAAATGCAAATACAGCCAGTCACCATCACACGAATTCCTCGTTTTCCAACTATGCTCATAATTCCGTGTACGGTGGGTACTCCGACTACCAATGAATGCACGTAATCGGACATGTTTTTTTGTTATTTCTTTATATATTTTTCTTTTCTTATTTATATCCTGTCTCTCTGTCTGTCCGCTTACGTGCTTAAATTTAACTGCTTGCTTTTGTCGCATTCCCCTTGATTGATTGAACGCTCAAATTTACCCGGATCTATCGGATTATTACCTTCTGGCCATTTATTACCCCATACCCTTATTACCTCTATTCTCCGCTGCGATGACCCATGAAAGCCCTCGCATAGTTTTTTTTTTTATTCTATGCCATGTTCCATTTATATTCGTCAACCTCGGTTTGGCCATGATATTATTTGATATACCACCACACTCAGCTGTATTTACTAGTAATATCCCTGATTTTCCTCTGCTTGTCATTGGTGCTTCTCGAGTTGTTGCTTTTATTTTCTTTTCATGGCAGCTTACACTTCATTGGGGTCGAGCGCACTTATACCGTTTGTTCTGCGTTTGTTTGTCTCTCTGTATGTAGATATAGCTATATAAACACGGATATACAAGATGATATTTACTTCTTTCCCTCTTTTACTCGCAAAACGACCGAGAGCGAACTGCTGTAAGGTACTCTCTGTACGTAAGAACTCTCTAGTTTACATATCCCTATTCCGTGAACGCCTGCCTACCCGTCTAGGCCAGCCTGACACTCACCCTCATCCAGGCTCAAACTCAGTACACAGACAACCATCTCGGCCAGGGGGGGTATAAGATCGTAGCCTGCAGATTCCGTGTTTGGCACATCACGCATGAAACAATCCTGGTTCGTGCATGCAAGCGGTGGGCAACCTGGCTGGCCTTGTCCTGGTTCAAAGTATAGATATTATTACTCAAGTCATCCATTAATACTTACGTGGATGGATAGGCGGATTTTCAGTTATGTTAAGCAAGTTAAGTCGAGCCAAAAAAAAAAAATGCAATAAAATATTAATGTCGGGCTCCCGTGTTGGGCACCGAGCAGCGCTGCAGTGTAATGCAGGGGGATGAATGGAAAGAACCTGGAATTTCCACAACAGCCACTCATCATCTTTATGATCATAATACCTAATAATGGAGTCGCTGTATGGGCGTTTTGGGGGGGAGGGGGGGATGGACGGAGTTAGCCGTAAGAGGTATGTAGACGGGTACACATGCAGGGGTAATGGAAAGCATAACCTCATCTTTCCGACCTTGCTGTGCGTTCCAGTCTGTGTGTAACAAACGGAACCTGAGATGTTGTTATCTCGCCTATAGCTTAAGCAAGTAGCCATGCGCGGAGGCATCCGTATGGAGTCACCCTAAGCGTACACTTATGTATGCACTCCGTAAGGCATCTCCGTACCTACCGACCAGACACCTCCGGCGCGCGCGCGGGAACAAGGGGGGCACTTCTGGGCTCGGTGACTAACGAGCCCGGTGGATCAATAGGGTTAATTGGCTGTTTGTTTGCCATCTCAATCTCCCCCGGATGATTCGCTGCTCTCCCGCTCCCGTGCCGCGAGAACAGAGAGAGGCTGCGTACCTGTGGCTAGCCGTAAGTATAGTACTAACATGTACGGACGGAAGACAGGCATGCGGTAGCGAGGATGTGCAACCCTTGCCTTCTTTGCCCTCCCACATCATGCGCCCCGTCATGCAAGTCCAGTGTCTGTCAAAAGGTGCTGCATCCCTGCAGCCTTCTGGGTCCCCCCCTTACTCCCTCCCGTGCGGGCCATGGCCACCTCGACTGGGACTGGGCTAGCGCATGTACCATCCATGTCGCAAGGGCAACAAACACCCCATCGCAGGGACATCTCAGCGCGTATAAGTGTCGGCCATGGTGCCTCAGGGGAGGGGTGTCAGTAGGTCGGTCTATACGCAGTCTCCAACTAAACTTTTATATCGAAAAGCCCGGCGGCATCGTCCCAAAGCGGCTAGGGCAAGGACGGGACATCACATGACCTCGGATCTCGGCGTTTCTTTCCTTGCGCGGGGCGGAAAGCGGAACTTAAGTTCGAGGACGTCGAAAGTCGAGCGACGAGACAAACATCGACAACAACAACGCTGCTTCGACTGCGCGACTCTCGACGACTCGACGACGGCGGGCGCGGGGACTGCGAAAGACCGGACGGCGATTCACCTGGGGCGTCGAGACTCGGCTCGTCTCGGCGGTGAGAGGCTGTCTGTCTGTTTGTTTGGCCGGAGGAGAGCAGTCGCTGGCTCGGGCTTTGGGGCTCCTGCTGGCTCTCCCCGTCCTCACTTCTTCCCCGGCTTTGTTTTCAGCTGCCCGTATCAAAACATCTGCTCCTCCACTGCATCGAAGGAGCCGTCAATTGCTCAGGCTCGTCTTCTTCCTTTTCTCTCGGGGAAGAAGATACCTGCTCTCGTTGGACTGTCTATAAGACGGACAACTCAACTCCCCAGAAGGATATCTTCTTGACTGTTGGACGCTGCGCGCGCTAAGCTAACATAATAACGAAACCGCTGCATTGGCTGCCTCTTTGCATAGCTCTCTTGTCTCACCCATCTTGCTATTCCTCCCCCCTTATTCCCTATTCACCCCTATTACCTCCTTGTCCCTGCTATTCACTCCCTCCTGCGCTGCTGGTAGTGAATGGCCTGAACAAGCCTGCCTCACTTCTCGCTTCCTCACCTTACTTCCCACCCCCTTTGGAGCAACACACATACTTGGCCCTGTTTTCTTGGCCCCTCCATCTTCTGGCTTAATCGCCTGTGTAACAACATCTTTTTTGCTTCTTCTTCTCCTTCATTTTTTCTTTTCTTCTTCCATCTAACTCCCTTTTCTTTTTCTCTTCTTTTCCTCTTCTTGATCAACATATTCCTTTTGCTCCTATTCTAAGCCATCCATCTTGTGGTGGCCAAATCTTCAAGGAAGAGCAAGAAGCAGCAACAAAAGAATACAGCTCCCTTACGCCGTGCCCTTTTTTTTGGCTCCAAAGGTATGTGCTGGCTCCTCTTGACTTCGGTTTTTTTCTTCTGATGTATAATTCGTCGCTTTTTCTAGTGCTGGATCCAGTCGAGGACTTTTTAAAGAGACTCATCATCTACCTATCCAAGGTCCCTGAGGCCTTGTTGCTTGTATATGAACTATTGTCCAGATTTCAAAGTCTTCGGGTCTTTTTCTTTTCTAGACGAGTTCCATATTCAAGCTACCTGGTGACTGAGATCTAGTGATGTGCTTCTACCTGTGAACAATCTAGTGAAGATATGGTTGATCAGACTGAGACAACAGCCGGGTCATCCTCCTCTCAGAGCGTTCCATACCTATCTGCTACTGAAGCAGTAGATGATATCACCAAGCAAGAAGACCTAGTTATGAATGAAGAGCTTCCACACACCGCCGAGACCCGTGAAGGTAGGTGATATTGTTTTCTTTCCTTTTTTTTTATATATATTGCTTTCTTTTTCATGCTACTCTATATTTATACCTATTTATTTATATATATACTCTATCTAACTTTCATTTTAGACTCTCCTCTATCTCTCTTTGGGCCATTCGCGCAACCAACAAGTGGCCTTCTGTCTACTCCTCTGACCTCCTCACCTTACCCAGAAGAGGAACATATAAGTGAGGACGTGCCGGAAATCACTGGCTCCCTGGCTCACATACCCGATCCTTACCCATTAATCGGTATTTCGGCTCATCTGACCCTCTACTCTAACGGACATAGCTTTTACCACGATCGCGACATGGACGAGCAAGAGGACGTCGAGGAGCTCCTCGACCACCCGGCGCCTTTCGTGCCTGAATCGGCCAATGACGACACCGATGACGGCTGGCAAGAGGACCAGTGGATGGAACCTCCAGATGGTAATGGTAGCTTGATTGAAATCACCGAGCTTTCTGGTTTCGAGCTTGATAGGCTTCCACACGACAGAGTGGGCACGGGCCCTGGGTCCATCTCTACCAACTCCGAAAAGGATAGCAACGATGCCACCGAGGGGTTTTATCCCTCTGACGATGAAGACTCGTGCCGCGACACCGAGAGTATATGTGGCAATGTCTCTTCTTTACCATCCACTCAGCAAGAACAACTAAGCACAAACAATGATATCAGCAACAACCCTAATAATACCGCTATCGGTCCTATTACCCCGCCAGTTGAGCAGGCTGAGTTCCCTCCAATAGAGCTTCTCCAATTTGCCTTACCAGATCCTGGAGATCACTATTTCGATCCATCCGGGGTTGACTCTGATATGGCAGACATATCTATGCACACCGAGAGTATGTATTTTTTTTTTCTTTTTTCCCCCTATTATTTTATCGTATTAGGGGGGTTTTGCAAACACCCCATGAACACCCATAGTACTTAACCAAGTATTTGCATGCAACCTGGCTGCTGTCTGGCCAGTGTGAAGCTCTCTGTTCTGCTAAGCATGGTGCGGCGACGCGTCTTGCTTTTGCTTCTTTGTTTATAAAAGGCGCACCTCCCCCCTTATGAGCAAAACATCTCTTCTGTCAACATCACCAGGAGTCAGGGCCTGAACATGGGCCTGACAAACATTCTTCACCCTTGATACCAGAGGAATCTACACAACCCCATCCTTATCTTTCTCCATTCCTACCTGCATTCCTTTCACCATGGTTCCCTATACGTTTAGAGTCTATTCTCAGAGCATTTTGCCTCCAAACCACATTGTTCCTGATGAGTATACTAACAAGCGCCACTCGCCAGCATTCGAACGCAACTTGACCGTTGAGCAATTCATCCGCCAATGGTACCTTCGCGCTCGTATGTCTCAGGATCGACTTGGTATCAAGCATCCGTATCCCCCAATTGCTTCTGAGGCTATGAACGTGCAAAACTGGCAGAGACCAACCAAGATCTCCCGTCCGGATGATCACAAAGGACGCTATTTTGATATCCAAAACATTCCATGGTCTTCGAAGTTGAACGTGGACAGAGCTGCTGCTCGTAGCTTACGGGACCAGTGGTATACTTCTTACCATAATTTACGATTTCAGCCCCATGGTGTATGTCTACTCCTTCTCAACCCTTATATCTATCAGGTTTCTAACTCAACACTATCTTTTCTAGTATGCCATCACTCCGCGCAACACTGAGAATTATTTCAAAGCCAAGAACATGTATACCAAGTTCAAAGCCACAATGGCTCATTTTCAGCTCCGCAACCTCATGTCTGTGAGAGCATCCAACGTTGTGCAATATGTCTATCGTAACAAGGTCTACTCTGTCACTCCGTTCTACGATGTGCAAGACACTATCCTTGAGCTTACCGAGTCGGTTTCTTCTAACCCTGTGGCTGAGCCTCTGAAAATATCTACCATGAAGGCCAAACATGGTGTGACTGTTGTCGGTGGTTTCAGTGGTGAATACTCTTACAAGGGTGAAATCCACGGCTACGACAAGGTTGAAGGTCGTATTACGAAGCATCTCAACGGCATAACCAACCACATTGACATTGTTCAGCATCGCACCAGCCACACTCCACAGGCCATCATTGCCTCTAACGATAACTCCATCCGCATTCTCGACTGCGAGACAAACAAGTTCATTGCAACCCACCGCTTTGCTCGCGCTATCAACTGCACGGATACCTCTCCAGATGGTCGTCTTCGTGTAATTGTTGGCGATTCTGCTGATTCCTGGGTTGTTGACAGTGAGACCGGAAAACCCGTTCAGCCTCTTGCCGGCCATCGTGACTATGGATTTGCATGCGCCTGGTCCCCCGATATGCTGCATATAGCCACCAGCAACCAGGACAAGACTGTCAACATCTGGGATGCCCGTATGTGGAGAATCCTCCAGACTCTTGACTCGGACGTTGCAGGCTACCGTTCCCTCCGTTTCTCCCCTGTTGGCGGTGGCCCGCGAACTCTGCTCATGTGTGAGCCTGCAGACCGCTTCGTCATCGTTAACGCTCAAAACTACCAGACCCGTCAAGTTCACGAGTTCTTTGGTGAAATTGGAGGAGCAGACTTCACCCCTGACGGCGGCCGCATTTGGCTCTCCAACATGGATTCTCGCTTCGGAGGTCTCATGGAGTTCGACCGCATTCAATGGGGCCAGGAATTCGGCATTGGCCATACTAGACGCGCCAAGATCGAAGCCCGTGGTGATGTCTACTATCCAGACCTGCCTAATGAATGGCTCCCTGAAGCCGAATTGGACGATGATCCACGCTGCGTCTTGAGTGCTAGCGAGCGTAGGATCCGATACTTGAGACTCATGAGCGATGCTGAGTTCTCAAGATTCAATATTTATTTGGGATAAAACCTGGAAATACTCTCTTCTTATCCCGCCATCATTTGGCCTGGCTTCTTTGGCGTACTATGCTCTTTGGCTTCTCGCCTTTTGGCATGATTTGAAAAAAGAACCATCTATGATCGGATTGATCCCAACCTTCCCCATGACTTTTTCCATCGATAATATCCTTCTTGCATTCCAAGTTGGTGTTCTTTGGAGTCGAGTTACCCTACGAAACCAATTTTTTCCTGCTTTCGTGCGCGGCGTGTCTTTTCTCGACGAGCGATACGATATCCCTTTTTCACGCTTTTCAACGACCAGTAACGACTCGCAATGACCCATACAATGGGCTCATCACTACGAATTCACGATACCTCGCACCTTATTTTTTTTTTTTTTCTCTTTCTTTTGTTACCTTACCTCTCCCCAGAACAAGCTCTTTCATCTTCCCGACTCCCAGAAAAATGACACCCAAGGAAAAAAAAAAAAAGAAAAGAAAAGAAAGCAAGCAAAAAAGAACAAAAAAAGAAAAAAAAAACGGCTGCTTTGCCAAAAATGACTTACTGCAACTGTGCTTTTAGATTTCCTTCTCTTACGGCGGCTTCAAGTGATCTCCATGCTTCGGCAGCTCTCCTTGAGCTTCGCAGCATCCACCTCAACACATTGCTTTTCGTTCTTTTCTTTTCTTTATCGTTTCCAAAGGGGCGCATGTTTTATCCGGGGGGCGCATCATGCATGGGATATACTCAAGACGGCAGTATACATACTTTTTCTTTTGCAATTCTTTTCCATCCCCTTACCCCAACCTTCCCTTCTTTCTTTTCTAATGCTTCACGCTTTATGATTATATCTTGCTTTCCAATCGTTCAATTTATCGGACTCGGAGAAACGGAAATGGAAACGGACACGGGCTTGTATTCTGGGCGCTGCATATTTATTGGGAGGAGCAACGTTGCAAAAATAATATACACATTCAACGGACCTACACAGGAGGGGAAAAAAAAGAAAGAAACGGAGAATTAACTAATTCAAGAAACCTCCTTAGCTAGCTTTCAGATAGGTACCTATCAAATCAACCAAATCTACGTGTTCTTCTCTTCGACGGTGTTCTTCTGTGTCTCATCTTGCTGCTGCCTGCCTGCCCGTTTCTTTTTCATGCGATCCATCAGATTTGCTGCACCCGATGTCGACTTGGCCATGGAGGCCGCATTGGCTGCTTTCCGCCCGTCCCCCCCTCCTCTCTCTGCAGGCCCCTGTCCATGCTGCCCGCAGTGACTGTTAGTTGTTCATAGTGTATCGACCTGTGGCGGTGGTGGGGAGGAGGAGGAGTTAGGGGGCTTAGCAGGCGGGAGGTTTGTTGCCCCTCCAGCAGCCCATCTCGCCACCCGCAAGCAAACAGCTCGTTATCTAACTATATAAGAGGGCCCCGGGGGGGAAGACAGAGCAACAGCCAGCAAGCCATCCAGTCAGTCAGTCCCCATCCTCCATCCTGCCTATCAATCGACTTGTCAACCGGCCAATTCGTTAGTTGACTAGTTAGCTGACCAGCAAGCCTCTCGCCTCTGCGTTTCATAGATCGGACCCCTCTATTTACCTTCACGAACACACCTAGCTACCATGTCCTTCAACGACCAGCAGCACCGTGGTGAAGCCGCAGGCTACTACGACGGAAACAACCTCCACCTGGACCAAGAGCAGGCCATCAGACAGGCCAGATACGAGAAACATGGACGTGAAGACAAGGAAGACGACGATGACTCCCTCTTCAGCAAGGCCTTGAGCTTCCTGAATAATAAGAAGGACAAGGTGGGCCGCGAGGACATCGACGAGCAGAAGGTGGTGCAATCCCACCAGATGCTTTACGGAGACAAAGACGACCGAGATGAGAAGCACGGTGCTGAGTCTTTGGGCTCCGGAGCGGCCATGCAGGCTCTTAAGATGTTCATGAGCAGCAGTGGAAACCAGAACCAGAGCCAGGGCGGTGGTGACCAGAACAAACTTGTTGGTATGGCAATGGCACAGGCTGGCCAGATGTGGGAGCAGAAGAACCAGCAGGGCCGTGTGGTGAGTCCTTGATATGCCGCCAGCTGCTTCATTATATCGGTGGTAGTTAACTAGTTACTGACAACGAATCTAGAACACTGACAAGCAGACTGCCGTCAACATGGCTGCTGAGTATGCTCTTAAGATGTACATCAAGGGCCAGATGGGTGGTGGAAGCACTGGAGCAGGTGGACTAGGCGGTCTCGGTGGCCTCGCTCTTATTTCTAGTGCTTTGGGAGGAGGCGGTGGTCAACAGCAGCAGGGTGGACTTGCTGCCCTTGCTGGTGCTTTGACTGGTGGAGGCCAGCAGCAGCAGCAGCAGCAACAGCCAAGCGGATTAGCTGCTATTGCCGGTGCTTTGGGAGGCGGTGGTGGCCAGCAGCAGCATCAGCAGCAACAGCAGCAACAGAACCAGCAGCAGGGCGATGGAGCTTCTAACTTATTGAACATGGCTTCGAAGTTCCTGAAGTAAAGTAGATGGAGGGCTTAATTGCGCCTATTCTAGATGATGTGGCTGTTTCGGGGCTATGTCGTTCGTTGGGATATAGTATATAGCTATTCTTGATCTTAGCCAATGAATCACGATGTCTATGTGACACTTTGCTTATATTCCGACAGCTCATTGAACAAGTTAACTACTGGTAAGTTAGTTGAGATCTAAATAGTGCCAGCATATAGTTATCTTTAACTTTTAAGTACGGCATATTAGATCCACGGCAACCACTTATACTAAACAAAGGACAAGATTTCCATTACCCACGGTAGAATATAGGCTGTTAATCTTATAACTCTATCAAGTTGTTTGCTCTCCTTGCCTTTCCCGTTTTTATTCTTATAAAAAAGACACATACTGTCCGCTGATACCGAGGATGGGCACCTATTAAATTCAAGCAACCCGCCCGATGTTACTCTCTCCAACCCTAACTGTGGCACTAACAAGGAACAGCCCAGTAGTTAGTTACGGCGGCTGATCACCGGGCAGACAGGATGTCTTTAAGAGGATGGAAAGACCTGCATCAATCCTTCTCGGCACATCCAGGTGCTTCAGCCTCGGACATAAACAGATACGATGGCTGCCGAACGTGCTGAGCAGGATCTGACGGGTGAGGATGCGGCAACCAAAGCCAGCGTTGATACAAGAGACGCCGAGATACCAGACGGACCTACCACCGAGACGCTGGATGAGAAATTCCAGACCTCTAAATGGGAGATTTGGGCATATTATGCGTGTGTTTCCTCTCCCGTGCCATGAAAAGAAGATGAATGGCTCTATGGCTGCTCCGTCTTCAACATTGATATACTGACACATTCTGCAGCTACTACGTGGGGAATAACGGACTCACACTCTTCAGTGGGTTTCTGCATCAAAATTATTTATTTTTTTTAGGAACATTCATTCTCATCTGAAACATGCTTCATAAATATCTAGACTTTGCTCCCACTGCATTTCAAAACCTGCTTTCTCAAGCTGCAGGTCCCGGGGGAACGCTGGTATTTGCAGGCTCCAGACGAACAATAAACAGCATTGTACTGTTGAGCAATGGAATATCCTTTGCTATACAGGTGCTTGTCTTTCTTTGCATCGGTAGCTTTGCTGATTTTGGCACCTGGAGGCCAAATATACTCATTGCGTTGTCTATCATCGCATATGCAGTTGGCTTTGGGTGGATAGACGTCCACACTTCTGAAAAATGGCACATTGCATCTGGCCTTTACATTGTAGGTCTTATCGCCTACCAGACTTGCCTGACCTTTTGGACAGCGGCCTTTCCCGGCCTTGCAAGAAATACAGCCGAAATTCGACAAAAGGCAGATGAATATCGTGCTGGCCTCATCACCAAGGATGATTTTGATACCGTCGACTCGATGAAGCGAAGCCAGTTGTCAAATGTAGCCTTTTATGTCCAGTCTGTTGGCGAGGTGTTTATACTAGCCATCATTGTAGGCATTATGTTTGCATTGGACGTCAATGCCAGCGAGGCCAATAATAACAAGGGATTGAGTGTTCTTATTGCGTTTGCAACAGCTGTTTGGTTGCTCTTGTCGATACCCTGGTTCATCTTGGAGAAGAGACGGCCCGGACAAGATCTGAATGGAAAGAACATCGTTCTGGCTGGTTTAGGTCAGCTATATCGTGCGGCGACTGAGATATGGTCTCTAAGGCAGAGCTTATTCTACCTTATCGGTAAGTCATCGCATTACCTTGTTTGTCTGGCTAGGTAGTTAAGCATGCTAACCATCGAGCCAAGGGTACTTCTTGCTCGGAGACTCTCTCAACACCACCGTTACAGTGATTGCAACGCTTCAAAACAGTATCGTTGCATATAACACGCTCCAGTTAACATACCTTCTTATAGTTGGCATCGTTTCTCAGGTAAGCCAGCCCATGCTACCTAGTCATAATCCCATCTGACCTTCATGGACAATTCCACAGGCCATCGGAATCTATGCCTTCTGGGCCATACAGCAGCGCTTCAGCTTACAGCCCAAGACTATGTTCAACGTTATCGCAGTCGCCATCATTCTCCTTGACGGCTGGGGGATGGTCGGCATCTGGACCTCTCGCTTTGGATTCCACAACACCTGGGAGGTCTGGGCCTACCAAGCATTCTATGGCCTTTTTGTGTGTCCCTGGTACAGCTACAGCCAGATCATGATATCGGAAGTGACTCCTCGGGGCAAGGAGTTCCTCTTCTTCAGCCTGTTCAGCATCATTGGTAAGACGTCTTCTTTCATCGGCCCGCTGGTATCCAGCGCCATCATAGATGCTTCGCCATCAGGGAACAATTCGACTCCGTTCTACTTTCTGTTTGCTCTTAGTCTGGCAAGCTTTGTGTTCCTTTTCTTCTTCGTGGATGTACCGACGAGCCGGAGGGAACAAGCGCTCTTTTTGGCCAGAGAGAAGGCGAGAATTGCAGAGAGGGAAGAGCCTTCGACCGGCTGAACATGCCAGAACAGCCTGCGTATATAATACTTTGTTATCTAGTCAGTATCGAATGAATGAATCCTGCATTGATTGTTCATTGAATGTTCTTCTTCTGCGATGTTGGCGTGGCTGATGTCATCATCCACGTGACATGCCATAACGTAAGCAGCCTCCGTCATCTGACGACGGCGTCCAGAGGAGCCAAAGAAACGACAAGCAGAGCAAAGCAACAAGCAAGCATCAGCCAGCATCAGCGTCATCGTCTCGACTGTCATCTGCCTGCTTAGGAGCACCGCCAGAGACGCCCTTTGCCCACAGATATACAGACTGCCCTCCGGCCTAGCAGCCCCTTGCCCCCTCGCACCGTCTGCTCGTCTTGCCTACCGTATCTACGACTCGCCCGGACCTCAGATCTGCCCCCTCTACGCCCAAGGTGTCCAGCTCTTACACAACAACCATGGCTGCAAGAGCTCCAGGAGGCCGGACCAGTGCTAGGTTCGCCCAGTTCAAGCTTGTCCTTCTTGGTAAGGTATCCCGCTTCAATATAGCGGACGTTCGGTTTAAAAATGAAGGTTTCATGCTAACCACTGTATGGTGCATGTAGGAGAGTCGGCTGTCGGAAAGGTGAACTTCCTGGCCCCTTGATCCATAATTATGCAGCCTTCTCTGATAAGATTACTGACGAGCCTCTCTGGTATAGAGCTCCCTGGTTTTGCGATTCGTCAAAGTGAGTAAAAATCTTTGTATATAATAATTAATATTTCTGCCTTGTTGGCGGTGTACTGACGCCTGGTCCACTCTGCGTTAGGATCAATTCGATGACTACCGAGAGTCTACCATCGGCGCCGCATTTCTTACACAGACCATATCACTCGACGAGACTACCACAGTAAAGTTCGAAATATGGGATACCGCTGGCCAGGAAAGATATAAGTCGCTCGCGCCCATGTACTACCGAAATGCCAACTGTGCCGTCGTCGTTTATGATATAACCCAGGCGGTAAGGATCGTCCTCTTTTCATGCTACTACTCGGAGATTAGCAGAACTGACGCCATGCATAGGCGTCCCTTGACAAGGCCAAGTCGTGGGTAAAGGAGCTGCAAAGACAAGCGAACGAGAATATCATCATTGCGCTTGCTGGAAACAAACTCGATCTCGTCAACGAAAGCCCTGACAAGCGCGCCATTGAAACCGCAGATGCAGCTGCTTATGCCAAAGAGGCCGGTTTGCTGTTCTTTGAAACATCTGCCAAGACGTCAACAAATGTACGGGAGCTATTCACTGCTATTGCGAAGAAACTACCGCTTGACCAGGCCGGCCCACGGAATCTGCGAGCAAACCCAAGACCGGGTGTTGATTTACGTCCAGAGTCGGCGAACACACAAGGAGGAGCTTGCAGCTGCTGAGTGTATTAGATGACCTCTACCCTTTATCTCCTTCTTTTTTTTTCTTTTCTTCATGATGGCTGCTTTTGGAATGTACATGGGTAATGAAGAAGTGGAAACGAGTGACGAGAGAAACCTGGCGTACCTCCCAGGCACAACAGCGCGGTACTATCTAATACGGTTTCATTGGAGCCTTTTCACATACCCCCCCGTCTCCAGGCCCTTGAGACATCGAACCGACAGCATCTTGGAACAGTTTCTCAGTATTCATTCGTCCACCTACCTTATACACTGCTCTTGATGGGTTTTCCTCTCTATCCCTCCGCCTCTCTCTTATACTTCATTAGATATCAACTTGCGGCGCGTGTTTCCTCCTGCTATCTACGGTTTAATATCTGTTACCTTTTCCACTGACATGCTCTGCCCTGGTGTTAATATTGGCTTCACTGCTATTCACATTTGTAATTTGTTACGCCTTCCTGCTATCATCTTTACTCTTCCTGTCCCCTTTCCTTCTGTTACTCCGTGACCTCGGAAACGAGCAAGTGTAAACAGCTAGGACATCATCTGCTATCCCAAGTATAACCAAATGAATTCCTCTATCAAAAGTTGCCTGCCTCCTTGCAAAAGCGCCTTGCCTGTCCGTAAAAACAGCGACGTAATAGCTTAAAGCGGCGCTAAACCTTACCGGGCGAAACTACTTTTTGCTTGCACCAAAACATTCGACCTCGCCGTCTCACGACACAGCACACTCTCCGTCTCTCAGCCCATGAGCCGACAGCCATCCAGCTTCTGTCGACAATCCAGCGGCATATAACGCCCAGCATGCTGCGCAACTCAATTGCGCCGTCCCGAGGACTGGGCTCGTTGGCCCGGCAAAGGCTCACCACATCCGGACGAAACCTCATAACCAAGGTCCGTATTAACACCTTCCGACGGCGAGTGTACTAGATGGTCACTGGCTAATGGTGTCTAATTTCGTTATTTAGAGGAGTTACGTTAAAGGTAAAAGCGCCGCCTGGCCTCCTGGGAGGTCAATTGCCAGTGTACTGCCAGCCCGAAAAACCTCATGTGCCACATTTACCACCAGCGCAACCCGTGGGAATGAGCAAAATATTCGATCACCACCATCTCCATCTTCCGCCTCAGCTATATCGCCCGAAGGTATTTCGAAACCAGCATCTTCTTCACCTGCTGGCCAGACTTCTCCTGGCTCCTCGGTCAACTCGCCTGAGCCCCCGAAGGCTCAGACCAGCGCTCCTCCACCTCCACCTCCACCACCACCTCCTGCTCCTAAGGCCAAGGGAAGATTCGGCAGGTCCCTGCTGTACCTTGTTCTCACGGCTGGAGTTGCCTATGCCGGAGGAGTGTGGTTTTCTCTCAGATCCGATAACTTCCATGACTTCTTTACCGAATATGTTCCCTACGGCGAGGAGGCTGTATTGTACTTCGAGGAACTTGATTTCCGCCGTCGTTTCCCCAATGCTACCCGACATATCAACACTCGTCCTGCAGCTCCCCGCGATGAAGGCGAAAAAGTGACTATACCCAGCAAGAGCGGTGTTTCATGGAAGGTCGCTGAGAACGAAGGTACAAGTGATGTAACTCACAAGGGAAGACATATGAGTGCCGTGGATGCTGAAGTTCCTCGCACCGGCGGAGATGCAAAGTCTGCGCCAAACAAACCCACTACCGAGGACAAGAAGGATTCTGAGAAGACTGGTTCGAAGAAGGATGAAAGCAAGGAAAGAGTCCCCGTTACAGACACCAAGAAGTCGACTGTTTCGCTAGATGAGCCAAGGAAGCCAGCAGTTGCTACTGTCGCAAGCATTGAGCCATTAGCATCCCTACAAGATGACCCGATCATCCAGGAATTGACCAAAATTGTTAATGGACTTATTGCTGTTATAAACGCGGATGAGTCTGCTTCTAAGCTTGCTGCTCCTATTGCCAAGGCAAAGGATGACTTCCTGAAGCTCGGAGAGCAAATTTCCAGTATCAAGAAGGAGGCGCATGCTGCAGCTCAGGAGGAAATCAAGAATGCTCACAAAGAGTTCGAGCGCTCTGCTACTGAACTTGTCCGACGAATCGATGAAGTTCGCTCAGAAGAGGCCGCTGAATACCGTGAAGAATTTGAGACAGAACGTGAGAAGCTCGCGAACTCCTACCAGGAAAAGATCAAGACCGAGGTTGAGCGAGCCAATGCAGTTGCTGAGCAGCGACTTCGAAATGAGCTAGTTGAACAGGCCATCGAGTTGAACCGCAAATTCCTTAGTGACGTTGACACGCTGGTTGAAAAAGAGCGTCAAGGCCGCTTTAGCAAGCTTTCTGAGCTATCGGCCCAGGTTGCCGAACTTGAAAAGTTAACTGCAGGATGGAACGAGGTCATTGGTGCCAACCTGACTACCCAGCAGCTTCAAGTCGCTGTTGATGCTGTCCACAGTGCCCTTGAGAGTGAGAGCATGCCTAGGCCATTTATCAACGAACTTCTCGCTGTTAAGAGCCTTGCTGGCCAAGATCCAATTGTCAACGCCGCTATTTCCTCGATAAACCCCACTGCTTATCAACGTGGAATCCCATCTACTGCCCAGATAATTGATCGATTCAGGCGAGTTGCCAACGAAGTCCGCAAGGCAAGTCTCCTCCCCGAGGATGCGGGAGTAGCCAGCCACGCTACCAGCTACCTGATGAGCAAGGTCATGTTCAAGAAGGAAGCGTCCTCCAGCGGAGATGATGTTGAGAGCATACTCACCCGCACAGAGAAGCTCCTTGAACAAGGGAACCTGGACGATGCAGCTCGTGAGATGAATGCCCTTCGCGGATGGTCGAAGCTGCTCAGTAAGGATTGGCTGGCTGATGTAAGAAGAGTTCTGGAAGTTAGACAAGCCCTGGAGGTATGTTTCCTTTCCCTGTTACCAACACTCTCTCTACTTATATACTACAATGAATGCTAACTCTAGCTGCTCTAGGTCATTGAAACCGAAGCCCGTCTTAAGTGCCTCCAGGTCGAGAGCTTGGGACACTAGCTCCCTCTGCCAATTTTTCCTTAACCGTCTTTGCATTCAAAAGCCCTGTCCATCATTTAGAACCTTAGTTTCCTGCTGTAAAACAGATCTCAATGTATCTACTAGAATTGCAAAACGTAACTTCTGGACTATTCGTCCTCCTCCATCTTCCCCTCCCTTTTTTTATCTCCCTTTGCCAACTTTTATATCGACAAGTCTTGGCATTGGGCCGCGCATACCATCACGTGGCACTGTTTGCCTTGTTTGCACATCTCAACACTCCCTAAAGAGGCAAAAAAGGAGTAGCCGCGCGGATCTTCATCGAACTAACAAACATCAGACATCAACACCAGCAGCAGCCGCTTGGAAGATGTGAATGAAGAGCAGACGGCCATGGTTATCGACTATATTTCGACCAGGTTGGAACCGCTCTGAACTGGTCATCTTTTCTCTTCGGGCGGACTTTGTCGTTCTTGCTTTCTTTTCTTGTATGACCTAGTCCCATGTCTCAGCCAGGGCCTAATCACATGCATAGCTACAGCTTTGATTTTGATAACATTCCCTCAGCCCAGCTTTCTGGAGCTATCATCAATTCATAGCCTCGATGGCTCGTTCTTCTCAAGAGTCAGATCAAGACCGGAGTGAGTACGCGGGCAGGCGTGCATCCGAGGGCTATGGACAAGTCACCCCTAATTCCAATAGGGGAGGAAGCCTTGACCGAACCCCCTCCCCAAGTTCAGATTTTCTTCAAAGGAGGCATAGAAAACAAGGAAGCAGTACATTTCGACTAGAGTCTCCCACAGGGCCGCCTAGTTCAAATTCTCTATGGGGGGGTGTCAGTCGACGGGGTAAAGACTCCATTCGTCATCAAAGTGATGATAGCGATCTGGTCATCCCCAAACGCAATTCTCAGCAACGTCGTCAGCTTCATACGCCTAAGCCATCCATTGGTAGCTCACCGCTCTCGAATGTTGTGTCACACGAAGAGAATGACCAAAGAGATGCACCCTATACCCCAGACGGTCAATCACGCGTACATCATCGACAGTCTCCGTCAGTTGGACTGGATACAGATCCTGCCCAAATTGTCAATCTTGCGCTAAGCCTTAGTGACTCGCGGAACAGGGTTTCTTCGGCTCGTACCGTTTCGAGCGGAATTCAGCGTACGAGACTGTCATCCTCTATGATCCATTCCAAACCTCAGGGTATTCAGTCGCCGAGGATTTCTGAAATTGAAACGCCAACGCGAAGACCATCAACTTCTCAGGGAACAGTCGATCTCAGATATGGAGCCACGCATTATGGCGAGGTTCAGCTCTCCCATGCAACTCTTGCCAGGGCCGAGAAGGCTAAACAACACTTTGAGTTGTTTGAGAATTATTTGCGCCTCCTTCCACATCTTCCGCCTCTGCCATCCCCTGGAGATGCATCTGGCAGGCACCAAACAAACCGAGGGTACCAAGAGGATACCCCAGAAGGCAGACAGTACAACCCCTTGCAATATTTACGCAATAGAAAAGTCAGGTACAGGGAAAGACAAGCTATTGATTCCGAGGCGGCAGGGTGGGGAGATGTTGAAAAGGTCTCAGAATGGGTCGATTCCATTGTTCAGACCCCCAACTTACATCTGCGGGAACCCGATGAATATATTGATCTACCAGAATTCCAGCCTAGTGCTTCCAGGGTCGATCCAGAAGACAAGTCTGATCGAAATTTGACGCATACCAAATCTGGTGAAGTTTTACGGCGTCGCCCTCGCATGGATTGGGCTACAACGCCATTAGATCTTCTGGCAGATATTGTTTGGTATGAACAAAATGGCAACAAAGCCAAGGTCGAAGATCGACATGGGAAGAAGCTATTCCCTCGTGGCATCATAACCAGACATCATGCCGAGCCCCGCGCAAGTCAAGCAGAATCTCTTGACTCTACGGAGCAATCAAATGCACAAGCTGATGCTAGCTCGGAGATAAATGATATCCAATACCTCAGTACACCTACACCAGCTGGTAGCCGGAGCCAACAAAACGCTGAAAGGGGGCGCTTACGGCACCGACTGGCCCATTCCATTAATTTGACACCAAACCATAGCAGATCGAGAAAGCAAAGCAAATCTCCAGTTAAGAAACGACCTCGTAGCTCTTCTGAATCATCGCGCCATTCATACGGTAGCAACAGTGGAAGTTGGAGACGAATATCCAAAACAAAAACTAGAGAACCCGGCGATAATGGAAAGAATTCACGAAGAAACGCTGCCGTCTTAGATACCGGCAGACCAGTCACGCCAAACCAAGCTTCTCTTGACACTGAAAACATCCATAAAAATCATTTGAGGGTTCCAAATACACCAGAAAACATGCTTCTCCCTAATCCAGACTTTGAATCTAACCCTCACATATCACCACGCCACGAATATTCTGCTTCTAATTCCTCCCTGGCAAGTGATGGTGGGATAAATGGCTCTCGAGACACGCAGAATCAGGATGACAGCGGCCCTTTCCAGACACCTGGCACGAGAGGGTTCTTCCCGAATATGTCAATAAGCCTTTCTCCCCTGCGTGGTCGCTCCACGTCACCCAGTCGACGGCATCCCTTCCATTTGGGGCATTCGAGGAAGCCCAGCCGGCAAAAACAAGGGCAGATTCTGGATTTCATGGAATCCCAGGGTGACCTTGGCACTCTATCTCATCGCCATACGACCTCTAACCTCTCTCCCCCAGGCTCTCCTTCGGGACCAGAGGGCCAGAAGACCCCAGTTTTCCGAAGAGCAGATAGTTCTCCTGCTAAGAATACTCGTAGTAGCGGTCAACAAGACTGGAAAAGGCTCCTTAAGGGAAGCCGGATCGCAGAGTTAGTTGGGAGTGAAGTGTCAAGGGTGGGAGACTTAATACGGAAGAAAGACAATTCCAGCCACTCAAGGCGATCGTCTGCGTCTAGTTTATCAGAATATGTAGATGCCGATACCAAGATACCTACTGAGGATGATTCATTCTTCTGTCCAGCACAAAGGGTGGACTCTGATAATTCCAAAGCACATCAAGGACAGCCTCCGGATTTCACCTCCAGTCCACAAACCAGGCCTTTAAATGACAAGGATGATGTCGCTGAGCATGAGGTGACTACAGAAACCCCAGACCCTGATTCCAATATAGGTTTGACTAGCCAGGATATATCCACATCAATGAGCCTTGACGAGATTACGAGGAACTGGACACCTCGATATATCCCTTGCTCTGGTCGTGTCAGCAAACGAGACATTTCTTTCGCTCGCGCTCGTCTCCTATCCTCAGGCATCAAAGCCTTGGAAATATGCCGTTATGCCGAGAGCTCTTCTACACCCTTCGCAGACTCATGGTTGAACGACCCGGTTAAATACAACAATATCGGTCCATATATTTTAAGTACAGGAGCAGCTGCGCTTCGCACCAGACGAACAGTCGCAGAATTTGACGAGCGTGTGACTGCGTACAATAAGACCATCGTTGATTTTACCAAAGTTAAGGCTCCACCCATGCAATCCAGGATCCGAAACCTCGAGATGCAGATAAGCAGTACGCTCACGCTTCGCATAATACCGTTAACGGCCCGGTCGGAAACCCTGGCAAATGAACTTGGGACAAAATGTACATTGCCTGTCAAAAGGCTTGAGAATATATTGAATAAAGGTCTGAGAAAGCGAAGTCGCCGAATCCGCTCCATCATCACGCTATTATCCGCAATCTTTGAATGGATGCTTATGGGAGTTTTCTGGGTTGTTTGGATCAGCGTCATGATCTGGAAACTAATCCGGCTACTTGCATTTGGAGCATTCAAGGGTGTTCGCTGGGTTCTCTGGCTATGATCTATCTTCACACCAGCTATTCTAAAAGGGTAGCACTTGAATTTGTTTATCCTAGCCATGAATATTGCCCTTTAACCTATACACAAGCACGTCTTTTCTTGGTCTCGACTTATTGAATTAGCCTGTTTTAATCATCATGCAGTGATACCCTATTTGATAATTTGACTTAGCTCTTCTTCCTGTCGAGTCACTTTTATCGTGTTTTATTAGAATTTTTTGACCTGAGTGGCGTTTATGGGTATAAAAAACTGCTTTAATTCACTAAAATACCCCTTAAATTGTATCCCTAGAGATCTTACTTGAGTGTATGATACTTTAATACCCAGTGAATACCCGACACTAGTGATGGGTGTCTAGAAATAATTGTTTCTCACTTCTTTCAAAGGAATATTCTTTCTCCTTTATTCATATCTATGTCTTTGCGGGTATCTCTTCAAGGTCAGTTTTAGCGGAAGTCTCCTGCCCTACAGATGTCCATGCATCCTGTCAGCCAGATTGAAATCACTAACGGTGATGATCTCATGTATTTTACCGAGCTCGGTGAGTTCACGGGAGACCTACCATATCACTAGAACCCTTTTCAAGTGGCCTTGCTTCCAATATAAAAGGCTGCCCTTTCTTGGCTACCTTCTTGCTCCTCTTTTCTTTACTATTTACCACTGCCTGTTTCTATTTTATTGAGCTATCAAATTTCCGTTTTGTCTTTAACGAATACCCTTTGCATTGCCAGGTGTGCTCAAAGGGTAGTTGAAAGCAACTACCCAGGAACCCAACGCTGTGATTCAATATATTCAATATACCATTGTCCGGGTTACGTTTTTATCCAGGATAAGCAGCAAAATTCAGCCCCTCAGATCCAATCTCGCTTTGACTCTCTTATTGTGTCAGGAGAAAACATCTATATTCGCCTTTGCGATTCTGTTTTCAATGCGTGGGATAAGCCCTGTTAACACCCCCACTGGTGGTAGAAGTTCTGTCCCATATGCAGTCAGCCCTGTGAGTTCTATACGCCATCATAATGTCCTCGACGCAGGACAAGCGTATAACTTCCAGAACGCAGAGAGCGGCTCCATGGTGCAATATGGAGGGGCTCAGAAACGAGACACGGGCGTTGTAGAGGTCGAGGGCAGACAGTATCCGTATGATATGGACTCACGGGAGAGACTCAAGGTCCGCAACATGCTCGAGAGACAGAAAAAGGCTGGCAAGACCAGCGTTGAGATTGGAAAATATCTCCTCCAGACGTATAATAATCGGGACCAAGGACTTGGGGGTATTGTGACGTATCTGTTTGGCAACGGGCATCCATACGTTAGCATCACTGCTATTGTTATGAAGGCTGTTGGTTTGAATCCACCGGTCCAGAACAGCTATAGAGCAGAGTCAGCTTATGCTACTCCAACGCCTTCCCGCCCATCTCCAAATGGTCATAAGTTGTTGAAGTATGAGGCTAACAGCCGGGCTGGTACCCCTGCGCGAGGCACAGTTAACCCAAAGTACATCTTTGAAGACAGTGAGGAGCCTCCCTTTTTGCGACCGGCTACGCTCGAGCGTATCCAGAGGGGATATTTCGATCCAAAGCTTGACTGGGGGAGAAAGTAGGAATTGGTTTTACCGCATGATGCAAAGCAATATCATAGATAGTATGCCATAGATTCAGCGTTCAGCGATGGAGTTGGAGGTTTCGGTCTTATTATTTCAATCACAGCTTAACTATTACCAATTTCTCTGACATCATCATTGAAGACGAGAAAGGAAGTTATAAACCTGGTTCCATTGTAGTAATGCTAGCTATAAGACGCAGAGAGATAAACCAACACCGAGGTTACCTATGCTAATGAAGAAAGAGAGGAGTAGGAAAAGGCAGTCCAAAGGAATAATGAACATAAAAAACAGGGAGGATAGCAATATGCAGAGGCTAGGAGCCCAACGAGTCTGTAGCAACGGTTTGATAAGGAGACCTTTTCTTGACGTTTCTTTTGCGTGTAGATGCTCTCAGGCGGGAAGGGATACCGGCAACAAATCCAGTAAGCTTGGACCAAGAAGACCTGGAGGGAGCAGATCCATCGCTATCTGTGGCTACTGTGCTGCCTTCTTCATAGACTGTGCCGTCGGGAAGCCTACCGCGGGTCCGGAGGCGTGGAAGGATAAGGTCTTGGTTTGTTATCGGGCTATCGTTAAAAGGCGGGATGGTAGAAGTAGACGGTTTGGACCGGTCTCGCAAAAAGGAGAGTGTCTTTCGCAGAGATCTCCCCATGGTAGGCGGTTTCTCGAGTGCTGGACAAGGCCGCGGGATTTGGGCGCTAGGCGACAGAGCTGGGTCCGGGAGTCGCTGCAGACAAAACTGACATGCGTCCGCAACGGCCGGATCTCGATGAGCTGCTCGGACGTCTGGACTTGGACTCGCTTCTGAATCTGACGGCTCAGGCGGGTCGTTTTGGAGCGGTCTTATATTCCAGACAGGTGGTCGATGGCTGTATTCCCCCTGGCGTCTCTGTATGTTCAACGATTCATCGGGGCTGATTGCTATCGGAGTGCCACCCTCTGGGTCTAGGAATGTCCTTGGAAGCTGTTCGGCCTTATCTGGGGTCTCTATCTTGGTGGTGCCCGTTTCATTCATGGTGCTGGTGACGCTGTGTAGCATTCTGGGGGGTCTGGCCGCCTCCACGGAGAGACGGCTGATATCCGGCAAACGCCAGCCCTGGAGCTCTTATCAAGAAACCGAGTAACGAGGCAGGCTAACTAGCGAAGTGAGAATCGTTACAGACCGAGAGGAGCCTATCAACCGGCGAGAGAGATAAAGAAGACGCCCTTCACAGCTGGCCCAGCTAGTATAAATAAACACATCCTCGAGAGAAACCGCGATAGAGCCAGCCACAGAGAGTTAAGGGAAGGACGCGGTGACGAGCAGAGCATCATGAGAGAAGCCATCGAGCAGGCAGTTGGTGAGGCTTGACATCGTTATTCACTGGGGTATCAATCAGTTGATCACCGTCCACGCTGCTGGCTGCTGGTTCCATGGGGTGCAACAAGCAGCCCTCGAGGCGACGGGGTGTATGTAACACTGCGACGAGAGAGAGGCGTGGAGCCCATCACGCTGGCCGCCGTCTATCAGCATGATGTCACTATCTGATGGGAATGATGAGGTTGATCGCCCTCATAAACGTGTCGAGCAGTTAATCCCTGCGGCTGGCGCTTGTTGGGACGCTGTTCGGCTCATATCGTATCCAGCCAGATGAATATTTAGCCGGGCTGCCTGGCGAGATCCAACACTGAGGCTCACATCAAGCGCCAGAAGAGCCCTTAAACAGCTTCGCCTTCGCCCTTGCACCGACTCCGACTTCGTCTACCCGTAGCTATCATCGCAACAGAGTTCCAACCCGACCATCAGCCGCCCGCGATGCTTCCCCGGCGCCTCCTGAGCCCGCGTGCGGTGCTGGCGATGCCTCGGCCCCGGCAGTCTCGGTGGGTCAAAAGCCTCAACCTCCGCCTGATCGAGTTATTCTCCAAGTTGATAACTCCGGGATCTCTTCCCCCTATGCATGAAAGTCACCCATAGCCACGGCTAACAGACGCCTGCAGGAGTCAGCATCTACCGCTCTCGTCGGCCTCCCCATCCTCGGCCTCTGCGCTGTCGCTCGACCGGCGGTTTTCTGCTGCTGCTGCTCCCGGCCTGCCCTCTACGGACACCAAGATGGCTGCGCCCAAGATCACTCTCTACGTCGACATCGTCAGCCCCTTTGCCTACATCGCCTACCATGTGCTGAGGGTAAGCACGAGATTGGTCGTCCTGTTTCTTGCTTCTTGCTCCTTGCATGGACTTTGATTTAATTCTGACTTGCGCTCTCGATGGCGCCAGAACTCCCCTGTTTTTGCAAAATGCACCACGACGTACGTCCCTGTCCTGCTTGGGGGCATCATCCAGGCTACGGGGAACACTCCTCCAATCCGTATCAAAAGTAAGCCGTTGACCCGTCCTCCACTTGCTCTGCTCAATCTCCTCTTGCAGGCTCGTCTAATTTCATATATTTTAAATCCCGCAGACAAGGATAAATGGATCAACGTGGAGCGCCTGCGCTGGTCAAAGCTACTGGGAGTTCCCATTACTGAGGCTATGCCAGACGGATTTCCGGTTTTTACTCTAGCTGTAAGTTAATCTCCGGCGGTGAAGGCCCCTTGCTGTATTCATCGTTGCTCCTGTGCGATGCCTCTTAAAATTTTTCTGGCTTTCTTTTGCTTGTGGTGTTTTTCACTGATTTTCATGCAGGTCCAGCGGGCTCTCTGCGTCGTTGCGGCCGATCACCCTGAAAAATTGGCCGGCTGCATTGATGCGCTATACAATACGCTATGGGTCAAGAGAGACTCGTCTGTTATCAAACCGGAAGGTTATGTGCCGGTGCTAGAGACCGTGATTGGCAAAGACGCTGCCATCAAAGTAGCGGAGAAGGTAAGGAATTTTTGAGTGTCTGGAGGATGTCATACATGTGAAACTGGACTCTCCCTGTTTTTCCTCCCCGCTAACTGTGAGGGTAGGCAAATACTGCCGAAATAAAGCAGAAGCTGGTATCGAACACAGACCGGTCCGTTGAATCTGGTGCATTCGGCTTGCCGTGGATGGAATGCACCAATTCCAAGGGTGAGACAGAGTCGTTCTTTGGCGTAGATCACCTTGGACAAGTCGTTGCTTTCCTGGGCTTGGACGGCACGCTGGGACAGGGCTTTAAGGCGTTACTCTAGAAATTTTCTTAGTGCAAGTGCAGTCATGCTTAAGGGGCCCATAAAACGCACTGATAGACAGAGAAGACACACATCATCTATTGAAGACGAGCAGTTGGACATTGAACAATTAAGAAAGATCTACGTATTTTGTCGTGTGTGTAAAGGACGCCGTCCAATAATAATAAACCCAGACTGGTTCTATTTTCAACTATATTATTGGCCAATCTGTCGAGATATTATTCGCCAGATTTACATTAGTCATTCTCTTGGCAAGAAAAGCTTATCTGAGTGTCAGGTAGCCGTCCCTTCTGACTCCATCTGAAGAGCACTTCCTGAATATCAACTGCACCACAAAGCCTATCATTTGCCTCTTAGATAACTACAGCCATCTTACTTCCCACTTGCAAGTTCACCCGCGTACCAGGAGTCCGAGTCCCCCGATCACGTCTCGGCCCGGAATAACATCTTTACCGGTGATTACTTCACAACCTCCCAGGTAGGAAGGCGCGTCCCGGCCCGGTCCATGCAGGCGGATCTACTTTAATTCCGAAATTCAGCCAATAATATTTAAGTAATCCAGTATGTCCGAACTCAGATTTCGCCGCAATAACATGAGCTAACATCATTTCTATGGAGAAGATTCAACTTCTTATTATTCGGGGAAAAGGATGTCGTTGTTTAAGCGCAGATAGCTTGCATAGACTTTAGCTACTTGTCTTAATTCCAACCTCGCCGGTGTTCAATACAGATGGACAAAACAGAGTTGGAGCAACCATGTCCAGCTGAGAGCGAGCAGAATCACAAGCGGCCGGCTCCCGAAGAACTTTCTATCGCCCCTGACGCCAAAAGAAACAAAGCTATTGATGGGGGGCCGACAGTGCCGGATCTCAGCATTTCTACTATTGCTCAACGGGTTCCTCCCCCCCCCAACCCGGCATCTCTTAAGTACAGAATATGTGCTAACAACATTGTCAAGCCTGCGGTTCTGGAAGAACAGAGAGGCGAGATAGAGTACCGGGTAGTCAACAATGACGGTTCCAGAGAAAGTACAATTATTCTCACGGGACTTAAATGCCTATTCCAAAAACAACTCCCAGAAATGCCTAAAGCTTATATCGCACGTCTCGTTTACGACCGTGCTCATGTGTCTCTAGCCCTTGTTAAGATGCCCCTTGAGGTTATTGGCGGAATATCGTATCGGGAATTCCGCGCTCGCAAGTTTGCCGAAATAGTGTTTTGTGCAATATCCGCTAAGCATCAAGTAAAAGGATATGGGGCGCACCTTATGGCCCATCTGAAGGATTATATCAGAGCTACCTCCCCAGTGATGCATTTTTTAACTTACGCTGATAATCTTGCCATTGGCTACTTTCAGAAACAGGGTTTCACAAAAGATATTACTCTCGAAGAGTCTGTCTGGATGGGGTATATCAAAGACTACGAAGGGGGAACGCTTATGCAATGCACCTTGCTTCCCCGAATGAGGTATCTTGAAGCTGGCCGTATGCTCCTTAAGCAGAAGGAGTGTGTCCAAGCCAAGATACGTACCTTTAACACCAGTGATGTTGTCCATCAGCCACCTGAGCAGTGGGCTAACAGCCACGGTAACATCGCCCCAATCGATCCACTCTCTATCCCTGCAATTCGTGCAACTGGTTGGTCTCCTGACATGGACGAGTTATCACGGATGCTGCCACGCCGCGGGCCTTATTTTAAGGAGCTCCGGCATTTTTTAACTCTTATGCGGAACCACAAAAGCGCATGGCCCTTTGTTCACCCTGTTAACAAAAATGAAGTCCCCGATTATTACAACATTATTAAATCGCCCATGGATCTGTCGACGATGGAAGAACGATTGGAGCATGGTTGCTATACTACTCCAAAGGTCCTTTTTGACGATCTTAAGCTGATTTTCAGTAACTGTCGAAAGTATAATAGTGAATACTCGATATTCGTTAAATGTGCACGGCAGCTGGAAAGGTACATGCGGAAGATCGTCAAGGAAATTCCGGAGTGGCAGAAGTTTCTTGAAGAATAGCGTCTTCCCTTGTTTGAAACTAGGCCTACTGCCGGATAAGCGAGGGCTTTACACAGTAGGATTCTGCGTCGGACAACCAGGCTTGATCCTTTTGACTCCTTACAATATTGACTAACTTGTACGAGGGTAGAGCTTCTAGAACGGTGAAGTGTATTATTATTGCATGTCCTACGCTAATTAGCTGGACTGAACGAAGAAAAGTTCATAACATATATGCATGAGTCATTATTGTCCCTAATTATCCACAAGTAAAAACAATTTCCATGAGACATTAGAGCTTGCTATATGAAAGACAGTAAATGACAACATATACATGTGTTGCAAGCTGAACACTCAAATCTGTTCAACTTTACCGGGTGTGGAAGCTTCAAGCTTCCTTGATGCTGAAATGGCCTCCTGGGCATAGGTCACAAATATTCTACAGGACGAAAAGTAGTTAAGAGGTAAGTAAGGTATGGCAGTGGCGGAAATGCAAGGGTGGTCAGGTGTTCATGTCATAAACTCATGAGCCTGATGGGTCGGCATCAAGGCGTTTAGAAGAATGGGGTTCGAGGTCAGGGTTGTTTACGTTGATGGCGGTGCCGTGACTTTGGCCTGGTTGTTCAGTCTGTGACATTGAAACAGGGGTGTGGGGTTGAGAGTTGCTGTTAAGAGGTGATAAAGGCTGAGGACGTCCAAGGCTTTGATCGGTTGGAGAATTAATACGTTCCGATTGAGACGATGAAGTGGGGATTGCTTCAGTGTGAGGCAGCTTTATGGGGCTATTGGTTTCTTCATGGACGTTACTTGAAAAGCGCTAGATGGATGTTAGTACAGTGTCCATTAACGTGTTGTCGACATGCAGTAGGAAAATTCACCTCTAGAGCGGAATCGGCTAATTTCAGCCCTTTCTGTCTAGCAAGTTCCCTTGCAGCCAGCCGGCTTTTCTCTATCGCCGTTTCTTCCTCTAGTCGAGCTTCCTCTTCCTCTCTCTTCAAGTCATCTAACGAGGCTCCTTCCACTGTCGGTTCAATCACAATACTGGTATCTAGTTCGGAAGTTGAGTGCGATGATTTCGACATGGTACGGCGCCGCTTCAAATCTCTGTCTCTTTTTCTTCGTTTGCCTTTCCCTTTACTTGTGCGTGAGGCTCGAGATGAAGCTGTCTCTTTTGTCGATGTAGTGATAGAGTGCGGAATTGAAAAGATAGACTCATCACCGCCACCCAGGCTGGGTCTGTGGCGACTGAGAGTCATTATATTGATCTCATCATCTAGAGGAACGGCATCCTCCTCTTCGTCACTATGAATGAGGTCGCCACGGGAGCTGAGAGAATTGCTGGTTTCATGAGACGACTGAGTACCGCGGCGCTTCCTCGGAGACGTTTCTGCTTTGTAGTTGTGACCGCCGTCCTTATTATTGTCTCCAGAATGATCACTTTCATCGCTGGCTTCCAGTAATGGTGCTTGTTCCGGCACATCACGCTTCAGGCCACCAGGGTTGTCTTGTAAATTAGCAGCAGATGGACGATACCGAATGCCTCTGGCGCCTATTCTCCACGGAAACCGTTCTAAGAAACCAAGTATAGACGAGCTCGGGATGACTGTTGGGTCCTGGCGCTCGTCGCTGGGTAAGATGGATCCCCTCCGCCGGGCACCGTAACTCATTCGCCTGTTCATGCGTGGCTGGTCATTAGACGTGCGCGCAGAGCTGCTGCCAGCTAGCAGTCTGTCAAGCTCATCATGCCTCCAGCCTAGCAGCCCATCTTCGCGCGCATCCTCATCGTAGTCCCAATCATCGTAGAATCCAAAGGTAAACTCCGCGCGACCATTGGAGCGTTCTCGTCGCCGTCGACGCAGCTGGTCGTCCCGGCTGGGGAAACAGGGAGCAGTACAAGAAGTAAAGCACTCCTGGACGCTCAAAAAGCACGGTTCGATGTAGTGGTGGGCAAAGGCATATATCCCTTCCTGTGCGGACTCGTTGGCGGATTCGAGGTTCTGCGAGATCTGGTTGATAGTCTGGCGAATACGGGGGTCTCCTGGGCGCATGATGAGCGAATATAAGTAGCAGGTAGCGTAAAATAAGCTTGGTTAGGCGTCCCTTGGACCTTTTAGAAACGCCGTCTGTCCAGCGTTGGTTGTTGATGTGGTTGGTATATGAGTTATACGGTAACTAGTGAGGGCGGCTCAAGAGGAGAGTCGCCTATGCTGGGGGCATCTCTAGGTGTTATCGTATAGTTTCAAAGCGCCGATATCAAACATTCCGGGGCAGTCAGTCAGGTGGATAACTTCGCATGCAGATGCTCATCGCACAAACAGCAGCTGAGGGCGTCGCGAACCGAATAGTCCGTAGCTGTCATAACTTGATCTTCTTGATGTCAACGTCAAGCCTGCAAAAGCGCCATGTTGGGGGACTGACCAGCCTTGATTATATAAGCACGCTACTTTTCCTTTTTCTCGTCTCGAAACGTCAAAAAGAAGAAGCAAAACTCGCAACAACAACAAACTCGCAACGACGAGAAGACGAAGACGAAGATTACGGGAGGAGATAGACGATGCCTCATTATGTGAGGTTTCTGAAGCCGCCAAGGATAGAGACAGGCAGCATCAAGACGTTGGTCACACTGACAACTGACCTGGGAGACTCGTTCCTGGCGGAGGAGGTCGAGCTCAGGGCTTCGGTGCTGCGTGTCGACAGCGACAGCGACAGCCGCAAGAATGATAGACGCAGTGTGCAGTGCATAAAACAGAAGAACTTCACCTGGCCGGCCGCATCCCGGCAGTTGTTGATAGCCATTGATGGTCTTCAGCTGGATCTGCGACGCCACGCCGTGCAGTTGCATGTTGGCCCGGCAGACCGTGGGCATCAACCCGGACCAGACGACGACTTTGCTGTCTCGTCAGCTATCCCAACATTGATATCGGCGTGGAGTCCGCCTTTTGGTGGCTCAGAATCTCAGGCTGATAAGCTGGCACTCAGATGGCTCAGGACTCGATGTCCTGCTGAGGTGCGGATATGGGAAGAGACTGGCAACAATCTCGCAAGACATATCTGGTACGTAGGGCGCAGACAGGAGATGCAACCATCGTAACGATGGTTGTAACTTGTCTCCAATGTTTGATGATGATGATGTGATGACGACAGCGGCCACTGCGGATTCTAGATATCAGTAGGATTTTGAAGATTCCATTATTAACTACCAACCTCCGTTTTTTCCTTGTATCCATTCTTCTTCTTTCTTATGCATCATATATTCAATGGCTCTATCTAACTTGTACAGGGATGCTTCGCTCGCATGGCTGATACTCTTCCAAGAGACTCTTTCTCCAGTTGTTGTTGCTGCTGACGGTGACGATGGCAAGGCTACGTCTCCGTTTCTCATGTTCAAGGACCTGATTCGACAGAACGACAACAAGTCGCATTTCAACGTAATTGAACTGGGAGCGGGCTGTGGTATTGTCGGAATCGCGCTTGCTCAGTCGTTGACGGACTGCTCTGTCCTGTTGACAGACCTTGAAGAGGTTCGCGACATCGTTAGCCGTAACATCAACATGTCCAACCCAGCGGCGGGCTCTAAGATTGACTTCCAAGTCCTTGACTGGGAGGCGAGCGTCCCTAGCAGGATCTCAGGGCAGCAGTATGACCTTATTGTTGTATCAGACTGTACGTACAATTCGGACAGCCTGCCTGCTCTTGTTGACACAATGGCTGCGCTGGTTGAACGGTCTCCTAAGGCTGCCATCATCGTAGCACTTAAAAGACGCCACGAGAGTGAAGCTGTCTTTTTCGAGCTTATGCATCGTGCAAGACTGGACGTTTGCAGCAAGACTCACATTCAGCTGCCTAGTGTCTGCTCAGACGAAAGGGTAGATATCGAGATATACTGTTTTCGGTCATCACCCTTTTCTCTACGATGAATGAATCTTTCCTCCGACATGAGCATATTCTACGAAGTACACCATCAAAAATCGCCTTATTCGTTAGACAAATCTCAGGTTGCAATTATTCCTGGACAAGAATCAATTCAACCTCTTAATTCCATCATTTGCTTTCTCGGTAACCGATCGATGCCTCACGCCTAGTTTTCCGATAATTGCTCAGAATTTGGTCACATCGCCCCTATCAGCTCCTCGATCTTCCAAAATCTCAAAATTTTCACTCGGCAGTACTCCGTGACCTGTCTCTACAGAGACATTATTTACTTCTATAGGAGACAAACCTCGTGCTCGGAGGATTACCAGGTCGGTGATACAGCGCAAGCTGAAGACCGCATCGCCGTGGCTACTGCAATTGCGATAACTATAGTCTGTCCAAGGACGCTGCTCCCTTTCGGAGTGTTCAGCTGGAGCCCAAAACACCAAATGGATAACACCCACAGTTGATAATACGAAAAAGGATCCCGCGTATGCTTTCCACCAAATATCGCAACACACCGAGCTACAGAATTATGGACCTGAAAACCAGAATTTCCTCCTTGCACCGGGCTAACGAGTCACAAAACGGAACCGGCAACACAAGGATATCCATCCGCGACGGCTCCTGGCTTCGGCTGCCCCTCTCAGCGTCATCATCACCCTCGCACTCACCGTCCTGCCGGCCAACATATGCCTCATACAACTTTACGGTCTGCAGCCCGGACGAGGATTTGTGGATTTTTTTCTTTTGGGGGGGTATTTTTTGCATCCCACGGCGTTGTTAGTTACGGTAACGAAGTAACACACTATGGACGGATCACCCTCCTCAGCCACCTCCGCAACGGCCAGCAGGAAATGAAAAATGAACGAAAGGAGGAAAAAGCAAGAAGCCTGCAGGCGCGATGCAATGCATGGACGAGGGTCCCTCTCTGCTCTGCTCCCTGAACTACGGAGCACTCGTTTGCTCTTTTGCGTCTTTGCTGCCCATCGCCTCCTTTTCTGCGCGCGCTGCAAACATGCCAAACCCCGGGCGAAGCTAGCTAGCTCCTGATGACTAAGGCACACAACTTCCCACCACCAGCCCAATTTTTTTTCTTCGACCTTCTTCCTCGCAGTCAGTCACCCCATCCGCGCTCTGCTGCTATAAATCACGGCCTCGCTCCTCGTCGACTGGCAGTTCTGACTCTTCTCTCACGCTCAACTGTGCTCTTCTCTGTCCTGTCTGCTGCAGACAGCCTGATTTTGGCCTTTGCCTGAGAGGTGAGCTCTTCGCTGACCTTGCCTTGCCCTCCCCCCCAGATATCGTCACCATGGTGGCTCTGCCTCGACCAATTCACCTCGCTCGTGTCCCCTATTCACCGCGGTCACCATCACATTCACAGTCGTTACAGTCACTCCGAGCCGCTAGCTAACCTCGTCTGGTCGTTGGCAGGAATATAAATTTCCTCTCTCGACTTCGAAACCGCCTTTGGGGTCTCTCTCCCAAAGGCACCTTGATCGACCGTGTCCTCGCCACTCCAGCCTCATACGTTGTTCCCACCAGCCCTTTTCACCGGACTCCTTAAAAATCTCCCTCTTCTGCAGGACACCTTCCAAAGCTCTCCGTCTTTGCGCTTGGTAGACGTCCTCTACACCCCCACCAATTCCGAAACCCTTGAGCTGCCGCATAGGACTTCTCAACGGGTTCTTCCTCTTCCAGAGGAAGAGTCGAGGAGGCTAAGTCCAGTGAGCGAAGGCTGCGATCCATTCAGACCTCCCTAACACGTGGTACTCCCACATAATACCTGACAATCAAACCCAAAAAAAGACCAACCACCAAATCAGACGCATTGATGGTTATGGCACCTTCGGCTAGCGACCTCCCAAGACTATATTTCAATGATCATGTACATGAGAAACTTAAACATGTCGAATGTCCAGACGATGAAACTCGCGGCATCTCCCACTTGGCTGAGGCCCGAGCCGCGTCCAGACAGCTTGTCTTTGAAATCCTGAAGCAGAAGGCTGCTGCTGTCGATGTCAAGACCTGCTATCCTGGAGAGGAGGATCCATTCTACGTTGCTGACCTCGGTGAGGTCTATCGCCAGCATATCCGCTGGAAGACCAATCTTCCTCGCGTCAAGCCCTTCTATGGTATGTTTTCTTTTCTTCTCTTCTCTTTTCTTTTTCTCTTTTCTTTTTTTACGTCGTTAGTTCCTTTTTATCAAATGCCGTTGTGTGATATAATGCTAACTCGGCCATAGCTGTGAAATGCAACCCAAACCCTCAGGTCCTCCGTCTGATGGCCGTGTTGGGTAATGGCTTTGACTGTGCATCCAAGGCTGAAATCGACCTCGCCCTCGCTGCCGGCGTTGACCCGAGCCGCATCATCTACGCTCATCCATGCAAGACCAAGTCCTACCTGCGCTATGCATCCCAGGTTGGCGTCAAGCAGATGACCTTTGACAACACCGATGAGCTGTACAAAATCAAAGAGATGTTCCCGGACGCGGAGCTCTACCTGCGTATCCTGACCGACGACTCCGCCAGCCTGTGCCGTCTGAGCATGAAATTTGGTGCCTCTCTCTCGTCTGCTCGCCCACTGCTGGAACTCGCTCACGGACTGGGCCTCAATGTCGTTGGCGTCAGCTTCCATGTCGGATCGGGAGCCGAGGACCCCAAATCCTTCATTAAGGCCGTCCAGGACGCCCGCTTCGTCTTTGACCGCGCTGCTGAAATCGGCTTCGACCTGAAGGTACTCGATGTTGGCGGTGGGTTCTCGGACGACACCTTCGAGCCCTTTGCCGCTGCCCTGGGCGACGCACTGGACACGTACTTCCCACCACACATCAGAGTCATTGCCGAACCAGGACGTTACTATGTCGCCACCGCCTTCACCCTCGCAGCCAATGTGATTGCCCGTCGCGACGTTGGCGTGGAAGAGCCGCTGTCCGACTCTGAGTCTGACTCTACCACCCCCAGCCGTGCCTCGACTCCCTCTTCCAGCGGTGCCTACATGATCTATCTAAACGACGGGGTGTACGGCAACTTCTCCAACATCGTGTTTGACCACCAGCACCCTGTTGCCCAGATCCTGACCAAGGATGACGACTACACCTCTGCACCGATTGAGTATTCCATCTGGGGCCCGACCTGCGATGGTATCGATGTGATCAGCGAGCGCGTCACTCTGAACGGCTTGCTGGGCGTAGGCAACTGGCTCTACTTTGAGAACATGGGAGCCTACACCCAGTGCAGCGCAACGCGTTTCAATGGCTTCAGCGACAAGCATGAGGTGATCTACATTGTCACTGAGCCTGGTGCGGCGGCGCTTCTGGGCTATTAATAGTGATAACTACAACTACAACAGCAAAAGGAAGTAGAGGGAGTGATACAATGTTATGGTGGAAGTAGTGTTTTTAATCAAAATGGGGTGAAGGATATACGAGATGTGAACTTTTGATTGCTTTTTTTGAGATGAATCTAGCTATAGAAAAGAAAAGAAGACACAAAAAGGGGGTGATTTGGTTGCCTAGTTAATTTTGCTCTTTTATTTAACTAAAACAATAAAAAAAAAATCTGCCATCTGGCAAAACTTGGTCTATCAATCGTAGTTTTATCAAGTATCTAACACTCTTAACACTCTATAAAGATGTATCCGTATGTAGGTCTCTAGATCTATGTCGTCATGTCATGTATGTATCATGCAAGCCATCCTTCTCGATGCATATTCCGCATATGTATCTTGCTGCATATGTAGTGTAACTAATGTAGATTAATTAGTTAGTTATATGGAGCAGTTTTCTGGCCAATTATGCCGACCTGCAGCGAGGCCGTGGCAGGGGAAGCGGCCTTGAGCAGCTGTCCTGCTTCGAGTTTCTTCTTCCACTTGGCCGCTTCATACCGGGCGAGGATCAAGGTGAGTCTGGCAGCAGTCGTGGTTTCTGACGGAGACGGGGTGAGAGTCCATCGCCCAAAGGCCCAGTTGAGGATATATGTCTGCACCGGCGGCGCATCACGGGCAGCAGCAGCAGCAGCCGTGACTTCACCGGACGAGTCTGCAAGGATCTGGTCAGGGGCAAACCGCACAGTCCCCTTTATCCGGTATATCTCGTCCTTGGGTGAGGAGTGTAGAAAGGCCGAAAAGGCAGCTGAATCCACAACTACTGTGTCTGCGTCTGCATCTGCGTCTCCGGCCAGCGAGACAGAAAGCACCTCGACCTCAGACTGGTGTGAGTGCGCATGCTCTGCCTGCCCCAGGGCATCTGTAGCTTCTGTAGCTTCTGTAGAGCCAGCCATCTTCGCCAGCAGGGCGCCGTCGATGCCCAGCAGCACGTCTCTGTCGACTCTGCCCTTGTCCGACTTGACCCAGGCAGTCTGGACGTCGAGATCGCCCACCCGGTCCAGACAGATATCAAACCGCCGCTCGGAGACGAGCTCCCACTTGTTGAAGACGATCAGGTCGGTGTACTTGGCCTGCAACTTGGCCGTGTAAGAGGTATCCTCGTAGCCCTCCCAGTTCTCCACGTCGATGACAGCCACGACGCCGTCGAGCACGAACTCTCCCTTGCGCTCGCTGGACACCCGGTTCACCTCCATCGCCAGGGTTGCGGGGAATGCGCTGCCGCTGGTCTCGATGACGATGCGGTCTGGGTTGACGGTGTCTCGGAGCTGCAGGAGGGCGTCGCTGAGCTGGCCGACGAGGTTGCAGCAGATGCAGCCGTTGAGCAGCTCGCGCACGCCGGAGATGGAGGAGGCGGCGGCCAGCTGGGAATCGACTGCGACGTCGCCGAACTCGTTCTTGAGCAGGGCCAGACGGTAGGAGGACGGCAGCTGGGGGATCAGGTTGAGCAGCAGCGTGGTCTTGCCGGAGCCCAGGAAGCCGGTGACGATGGTGATGGGGATGGGAGCCATGGTACTATCACAATCAGAACAGTCTAAAAAAATAATCTATGAGTATCTAGGAATATCTAAAGAATGAATGTAGATGTAGATGTAGATGTAGATGCTGGTGTATCAATTCCCGATAGTGGGATGTTGTGATGGCTTTTATTGCCTGGGATGATGTTATATAAAATAGTTATATGTAGGAGGATCCTTCAACCAGGATCATGATGTCATTTCTATATCGATAACTTTTTATATTCAACATGAAAATACTCTGTACAGCCGTTGATCTATCTATGGTCTATAGTCAATTGCCCTCTCGTTCTCCCTCTCTCTCTCCGAGCAGCGCCCTGATGTGGTCGCTCAGCCAGTACCGCTGCAGCACCTCGGCGGCCGTCTTCTTCGCGCCGTCGACCCAGCCGAGACACTGGCTGGCGCCGCACGAGCAGCGAAAGGGCTGCGACATCTCCCACTCGGTGCTGGGATAGAAGAAGCGCAACTCCTCGCCGGCGGGGATGGCGCGGGTGCTCCAGACCTCCAGCGCACCGGCAACGGGGGCCCCAGGCGGGCCGGCCAGGCTGTCCGCCGCCAGCGTCGACGTGACGAAGCGCACGTTGGGGTCGCACGAGTGGTTGCAGTAGAGCAGGTCGGAGTTGAGCTCGATGTGGGCGTTGCGGGAGACCTGGACGGTCGAGTAGGCCTTGACGGCGGCGAGCGTGGTGGACGTGTTGCGGGCGACGAGCGAGGCAGCTGGGATATCGCGGGCGGCGACGGCGGTCAGACAGAAGGAGGCGGCCTTTTGCTTCTCCTGTTCATCGTCTGCAGAGGAGTCTGCAGAGGAGTCTGTATCTGCATCTGCATCTTCGTGAGGGTCGATGGAGGCGAGCAGGCGGGAGGAGACGACGCGGACGGCGGCCGGATGCGAGGGCTGCGGCCACGCTCGCTGCATGGGAGTCTGCGCTGCGACGGTCATGGGGGGATGCAAGAGGCGGCAGAGACGAAGGGTATCCTGTATTCCGTGTCTTGTGTCTGCTCTCTGGTCTCAGGGTATGATATCTGGGTATCTTGAGACTTTGGCCTGGGTATCCCGCGCCTTATATAGAGGCGGACGACTCGTATAGCCAGGGCATGCGAGAGTGTGCGAGACGGCCTGTGGCCGAGTTGCGAGCTCTCGGTCTCTTCATGTGCCAGAGGCGAGGCCAGCCGTCACTCCGTCCATTAACTGGCTTGCAGTGACTCTGCTGAGTGACTCTGCTGCTGGAAGACGGGGAGAGGCATCTTCACTGTTCCCCAGGGAGGGCTATATAACCCCCTGCGATCTGCGTCTCTCGCCAAATTCCTCCATCTTCCTTACACACTCCGACGGCGGACCAGGAGCAGGATCAGACACTGAAACTTCTCAGCCTGCATCAGTCAAGGGGCCATCGGCAGCCAGGGATCCTAAAGTCAGAGAGAGAGACCTGGTGGGAATCAAACACTGCACTGTTCGTGTCTCTGTCGAAATCGCTGGCCAACCGGCGGCAGCAAGCACTAGAAGAACTCCTGAAGTCAATCCTCGGCCATCGTCGACCTTGCTTGTTGTGTAGGCCTGCTGGTTCTTGTCAAAACCTCAGTCAACCGCCTCACGATGGGCCGGCTGGGGGCTGTCGAGTCGCCCATAGAGACGGCCTCTCTCTCCTGTGCAACGCATGTCCATGTCAGGGCCGGCACTTTGGTAGCATGTCTTGGTTAACGTCCTTTCGAACGACCCTACAACCGGTCACAATAATATAGTACTGCCGTTGTCAATGATATAACGACTCTACTGCCAGCCAGGAGTCTCCCCTTTGGCTCAGCAGTTTGATACATACCCACTACCAGATACCCTGCGGTCGTTACTTACGAGCCCCTTAAGGAGTCGAACCTACTCAGGGACATATATCTAATGGCACCTACGAAGCCTGAAGAACTTATTCCGGCTACACAGCTTGTCCGACTGGAATACTGACAGAGCTTCCGAATGTGTATGAATTTGCAAGATACATAAAAATCTATTCTGTGGAGCTTGATATACCCTTTCAATACCCAGGTATTTCAACGGATAATGGAAAGGCTGCATCGTGCAAGAAGGAAGCAAGCCCGAAGCCCTCGACCGGCAGTCCAAAGAGAGGCGTATTTCAACATGGACGATGCTTCGGAAGCCCATCTACCGGCCTCCCAGCCCAATATTCCGACACAGACGCAACGCGGTGGCGCATGGCGACTTAGTCCTCGAAGGTCTCGATATCCGGGCCGGTGTCACTTAGTGTGATGCCATTATAAAGCTTTGGAAGGCTGCAATAGACACTGAACGAGACCCCGAGGGGATCTTTGAATAGCCGTCTGTCTGTCATCGGGATATACGATAAAATTATATATTCGACCCATCAGGCACCCTCTTCACTGCATTGTCTAGATAGCTAGATGGGCTGCCAGATAAATAGTTATAGCAAGGCCTATATCCCCGTCTGCTTGCTATGCTGCGGTGTCCACTTCTCTGTCGGCCTCGCTGTGACAGCAGGCCAATCCCTTGTGGAGCGCTGTTACCCGCCAACGACAATCGTTGTCATGACATATTATAGTGACGAGATATCACCACTCAGAGACCTTCTCATCGGGACGTATCCGGTCCCACCAGAGCTTTGCGGGCGGCCATATCCATTACCGCTGCTTTTCCCCACTGAGAGAGCCGTTCCACGGAGTAGTTGTCAAACGCAATCGACTCGACAACAACTGTTGACAGTAATATGTTGCCACCAACATGAAAATACAACGCCCCCAGCTACCTCGAGGCAAGATCTAGCTCTAACTATAATAGAGTCCGCAGTCCCTGCGCGAGCGTATGAAGGATGTTGTTCTACACATCTCAGGGGAGCGAGCACTCTATTGACATTGTCCCTGCCACGTAAGGACCAAAAGGAGCCTCCAAGACCAAGAACAAGAAGATAAACTGCCAGCAGATCGATGAGAAGCTTCAAAGGCAACTTAATCAACTTTGTGAAGAAAATACCCAGCTAATATTGCGAATGAAGCCAAATTAGAACCAGCCTTACGCCTATATCTGATGTTGAAAGCTTAGTTAACTATGTGTCAAACTTCAGCTCTGCCTACCATTAGTGTGGGCTCACTCCTTTTGGTGTAGCGGCAGACTTTGACAATTGATTAACTAGCCACAGTGAAGTGGTTCCAGGATGAGAACGGCGAGGCTCCCTCACCGGCCAAACGTCACCGACCCGGTCCGCCACCAACGGCAAGTTTTTAGAGGTCATCTGTTAGATATAGCATTTTCTAACACCCTCCCTCCCTGTAGAACTGGAAAGGCTGGATTTACTCTCGATATCGGTAACTTGCTCCTTGGTATGGCAGATACGCTTTGTGATTAAGCCGGCCGGTCAAAAACAAGCTGTCAAAGATATATAACGACTCCCCGGCGAGGTCTTCACTTTGTCTCGGCCTTGATACCTTCTCGCGGTTCCCCCTGTACGGGGGTCTGTCTGACCTGAATTGAGCCAACTTTGAATACATCGTCGAATACACATTCCACCTTCAGCTTCGTTTCTCAACCGGAAGAGAGGTTTCAAGGATGTTGTCATCCAGAGTGTCGACCCATCTCAAGGAAATGAGAAATCCATCGTGGCTGTCTCTACCACAGGACCAAGGATGCATCATCGAAGGTCACCAAAACTTGGAGCGGCCTCGTTCGACTGCATGAAAAGAACGGTAGATAATCTCAGTTAGTAACTAATAAGACAGGACCTCCGCTACTATCTTTGCTATATTTATATATTAAATATATATCGAGACCTAATACCCGAACCTACTTCTCCTAGCGGCCTTAGCAACCGATATATATATAGCGAGGACCTACCGGGACTGCTAGGACTTCTGCACCCGCGCCTGCCGGGACTGCTGGAACTACCTCGACCACCTCGACTACCTCGACTGCCTCTACTACTACCACCCCGGCTGCCGCTGGCCCTAGCACTCACGGTTCTAAGGTTGCGAAGAAGTGAGTCTTTACGGAATGCCGGGGTGGGAGGGCGGGCGATCATGAATGTGTGGACTGTTACCATAAGTAGATAAAATAACAATAAGATATTTGAACCGGGATACCGATCAACGAGCTACAACGTTGCAGGCCTCATCTACGTATTTTTAAATAAACGTAGCCGTTACCTGGCTCAACGTAGTGGTTACGAATTTGACGTTGCTCTTACCTCTAGTTACTTGTTAGCTAGTGAAGAGAGAATACAATCTTCAACATGAATAGAGGGAGACATCCTTGTCTTATACTCTCGACTTAATATAATATATACTGTAGATATAGACACTAGCCAGTTACATAATTCGAGTTCTTTGCTGTGGAACTCGGCCCTACAGATAAATATAAAACTCCGCGATAGTGAAAATTTGCGCGACTCCCGAGTAACTTGACTATCACCAACCGAACGTCCCGGCCTGCAGACCTGGACAGAGACTCCAGACTCGCAGCCAGCAACAATAAATAAATAACAATGCAATGCGGCCTCTCGCCAGGCTGCTGTCCTCCTGCGGCGCCCTGATCTCGCCGCGATGGTCTCTGCGCTACCTGCTGGCGGCCTTCGTGCTCTGCTACCTGCTGCTCCTCCAGTACTGCAGATCCCACAGCTTCCGCGACCCGACCTCCCTCTTCTTCGACGCCGGCCGCGGATACGAGCCCAGGTACTCCCGCTTCAGGGCCGCAGAGGCTGCAAACTTCGTCCGGCACATCGACGCCGTGGCTGCAGCCCGGAACGGCTCGATCGACGGCGCCTCCCTGCCGCTGCCCGGGACGGGACCACCAGGGCTGCAGAAGACCAACGCCAGCCTCTGCGTCGGCATCGCCTCGATCGCCCGCGAGGGTGTCAGCTACATCGAGGCCACCGTCGGGGCCCTGCTGATGGACCTCAGCCCGCAGGAGCGGCAGGACATCTACCTGATCCTCTTCATCCCGCACACGGACCCGTCCATACACCCTTCGTACGCGAGCAACTGGCTCCCGGCCCTCGTGGATAGGGTGCTATATTACGATGTGGACAAGGAGACGCTGGACCATCTGCGCAAACTCGAGCAAGACGGCGGCTTGTTCCGCGAGAAGGGCCTGTTCGACTATTCGTATCTGCTCAAGGCGTGTGCGGCCGTGGACACGCCGCATGTGCTGATGGTGGAGGACGACGTCCTGGCCATGGACGGCTGGTATCATCGCACCAAGCAGGCTTTGGCAGCTGCAGGCCGGCAGACCAGGCAGCTGGGGGCATCGAAGTGTAAGTTATCACCAATATTATTATTATTATTATTATTTAGTTGCTGTTGATGATCACGTATCTAACGAGCCTAGATTTATATCTGCGGCTGTTCTATACTCAGGGCCTACTGGGATGGAACAACGAGGAATGGCTCGCCTACCTCGCCGGCTCCATGCTGTTCATCGCTGCCTTCTGGGTCATCCTCGTCGCTATACGACGCTGTCTCCCTCATCCCAACCATACCAGCCATCCCGGCCATGCCAACAGCCTCCTCTCAAACAAGGCCATCCTGCTCATCAGCCTTACCTGCGGGCCTCTCTTTATCATCCTCTTCTTCGCCTCGGGCCGTCTAACAGTCCTGCCCATTCGGCCTGGCGTTCACCAAATGCCACGCTTCGGCTGCTGTACTCAGGCACTCGCATTCCCACACGATCGGGTACCGGATGTGGTGTCATGGTACGAATCGAAGAAGATCGGATTTGCTGATTCCCTGCTGGAAGAGTATGCGAATGCCAATGACGAGATTAGATGGGCCCTGACGCCCAGTGTCTTCCAGCATGTTGGCGGGCGGAGCTCGAAGCAGGACGGCCCCGGCAGTGACGAAGTTGCCAAAGTCATTTGGAACTCGGCGTTTGAGCTGAATGACCCCGTTGCTCTGCAGACTGAGCATGAGAACGCCGCTGAGCATGCCCCTTTCTAGATCTATGTAAATATTTCACAATATATGTCCGACTATTGGATGTTGACCATGTTTTACTACATTTGCCTGTATTATATATTGACGCCATCTGATAATGAACTTAATTAATTATACGTCCTGGTCAATAATACACTATCACTCATCTTGAACCGTTTAAATGCACACAAAAGCCTCCAATAATCCAGTAATACCCAACACCATTTTTAATGCAAAACCATATACATACCCAGTTATTCCGGACCCGACCAGTGTCTATCCTCTCCATTCCAGCCCACCTTGGGCCAGCCCTGCGGAAGTGTCGAGTACTTAGGATGGGTATACTGCCCGACACAACGCGCTATGTTGCAATCCATATCACATAACCCATACGCCTCACAATAGCACATCCCAGCATCAGGGCAGTGAACCGCCTCCTTACCAAATATCACTATCAAAACCATCAGTTCATACCCTTTTCTTCTGAGTTCAGCCACAAAATTGAAACTTACAATGCCATGCATACTCCAACACTCGCCCACTGAGCCCGTCGTCGTGTTCAGAATTAATCAACCACTGGCGATAACGTATATAGTCTGCCTTGGAGCGGAGCCGGATAGTCTCCCTCCGGACTGCAAACTGGGAGCAGCATCCAACGCCCACAGTCTCCGGGACGCTCTCGCCGGGAAACAGCTCCTCAAAGGCCTGCTTGTATATATGCTTGCATGTAATGCCCTCCCCCGGTAAAACTTGAGTCGCATCGATAAGCGGTCTTATGGCTAAGGGGCAGCCCAGGTACCAGTCGCACCGGAGATTGACGTATCCTTCCTTCTTAAGGTAGCCGAGGCGGAAGCTCTGAAGCAGAGTCAGCGCATCGTAGTCCGGGTTATCGTTATGCCACTGAAATCTCTCTGCGTGATGGAAGAATATGTTCGCAGGAAGTGAATCGTAGCGATCAATTATATACCTAAGTCTAAATGTTAGCATATATACTTCTCGAACAGGTGTAAGTATGTATACCTGGGATACTCACGTTAGGAACACCATGGCTTCCCGCCCTTTGTTTGCGGGGACGGTTAGCTCAGCCTCGGGGTCATCCACGACGTCTATGTTCTTCTTCCACTGCGGCAGGTACTTGTGCAACCATGTAACATTCTCCCGCTTCATGCTGGCCACCACCATTTCAACAATGTTATCGTCATGCTTGGCCGGCGGAATCGACGGTTCTGCACCGCTCGATCCATTCTCATGGCCCTGGTTGTTGGAATCACGGCCGCTACCACCATCAGGCCTGGCCGAAAACGACTCAACTTTTAGGGGAATCGAAGATGGAGCCAGATGTATGATGCAAAAGTAGATGACGGTTGTCACTAGGAACGCAAACAGCAAGTGAATTCGTCGGCAAGGCGAACGGATTGGGACGATGCTGTTCCGCCTCATGGTGAATGATACTTGCTAGTAACATGGCAGGGGAGCCGACAGAGCTGTTGACGGTCGGAAAGAGGCTGCCCATCTCGTTGATATAAGTGCATCTTGTCTGCGGACAACAGGAAGGATTGCCAGAGGATCTGTCTTAAACACTGAGCCTGTCGGCCAATACTTTCGCACAGCCCCATGGCCTAACCATTGTTGGCTTTCCCATCAGCCGGGAGACCGAGGTGGCGACTCAAACAGTGGGCCGTTATCAATTAATATGCACATCAATCGTATCATATAGCTATACCGCTCCGTGCAAAGCGGCAGAGATCCAGCAATAAAAGGCAGATCTTAAATAAATGCCGTCACTCGCCGCTCAGACTTTGGCGGCGAATTTAAGGTCTTTTCTGGGTCCGCGGCATGGCCCGAGCTGGGCGGCTCTCGGTTTGAGCCTGTGCTCCCCGAAAGCTTAGTTGTCCGTCTATATTTAGTTGTCGACATTGCATGCACCGTAAGTACTCCTCATAAGTTGATCGAAAGTCGGCTTACTTTGAATCGATATCCACTCTAGAGATTTCCCTGGCACACCAGGTTCGTTCGGTAGCCGTATTCCGAGTAGTAAGTCCATCGCAAGTTCATCAGTCACCCACTAACACTTAAGCGCCCATTACAACTGGATGTTTGAGCATTCTGCATTTAGTACTCCGTAAATGTTTGTTTTAACCGGGGTTCATGCAATATGTTGTTATTACAATCAGGAACTCATCAATCATCGACGACTAATAGAACTGCCCCCTCAACATGCCTTAATACTGTAGCTGTATGCTGTAGACCTCTGTATATAACAATAGTATGCACATCCTGTATGGAGCTTTCATTTGGATGAATTGCTCGGAGTTAGGAATGATAGCTGCCTCAACTGGCGTTGGAAAGAGGGGTTTTTAGCTAGAGTATGAAGCTTGTTGGTCCAGTAGCTAATACTACTTGTTAAATCGGCCGGCGAGAATGCTGCCATGAGAGACCCTGACTTCACATATTGGTCTGTATTAACCAGTCGTTTGATTGAATCTGCCAGCTGTGTAATTTCACCGCCATTTGGGATTGTTGTTTCATACATGCATTCCATCGTGGATTGACTTTGATACAGAATTATTTCTGTAGAAAAGTTGTTCTTCCTGTAGCTGGTTAGGTGGTTACGTTTTTGGTTTAAGTCAGGTTGAAATCTGGATTTAAGATTAGTCGAGGCCGTTTGTAGATGTGAGCCGCTAGGAACAGTTAATTTGTAAGGACGTATTTCACCATAGCCAGAGATTTTGTGGTCACTCCTATGATTGCAATGTAATCGTCCGCTTATAGAGTGTGGATTTGGGGGTATTTGATCATTAGATCGGGAAAAAGTAACAGCTATAGGTGCCTGTCGGTGTGTGGCTGCAGAAAAGGCCCTTGAAGGCGGCGGTGTCTGGGGAGTGGGCCGTATTACATACATTCCCTCTTTTCCTCTGGCTGAATTTCCTTCTGCGATCTGCACGGAAGCCTCAATGCTGCGGGGAATATTGGGTGCAGGAACTCGTGGTGGGGTCACCATTCGAGGCGAGCCATTGCTTGTTCGTTGTGGGCTCTGCGTATTGAATAGTGACACCCTACCATTGTCATGCAGACTGAGTGTAGCTTGCCTCATGGAGATTCTGCTATTTTTCACCCTAATGTTTGGACTTCTTGGGGGTATATTATTTCGCGGATCCTGAAATTCGCGCTGCGGAGTTAAAAGCTGAGATTCAGGATCACGTAGTCGCTGAGCAGCAAGAGATAGTGTCCATGGATTAACGGTAGACGTAAGTTTTTCATTAGAGCGGAAACGGCCGCGGTTTTTAGTAGATGCTGGGCTACTAATGTCGATGGTTAACTGGTTACTAAGATAACTCTGTTGGGTATCAGGAGTGGGTATAATGGTAGAAGTTTCTAGATTATAGATATCCATGAAAACGCCCTCGATTATCTGGAGGACCGCCTGATGATCTTCGAACAAGATGTCATCCTTAGAGGGTTCGATGTTCGCATCATATATGCCGGGAGGACAATCCAAGGATAAAAACATGAAGGGATCTTCAAGTATATTGCTATTCACGGCCTTTTTGTAATAAGATTTGAAGAGTTTAAACACTTCCTTACCAAAGCCCATGCAGGTCAGAAGCGGGCGGGCATCAACAATGACAAATTGCCCTTTGTGGTTAATTCTGGCCATACATTCTATAGTTATCAGCTTAGCTACTCTCCTGTGCAGGGATTACACTTACCTGCTTCAGGGTTAGGTACAATGATAGACATGTGGATAGTGGGGGTATCGTAGTTTTCCACCATGGAGTCTGGACTGTCTTTTTCTCCCGGAATTGGATAGGAAGCGTTCGAGGAAATACAGCTTGAAATCACCGTAGAGCCAATAACTTGGAGGATTGCATCAGGTACGGAGGGTTTTTGGCTGGGCGCATAAACCCAGTCCTTCTCTTTGGATTTCAATACTCTCATCGACAAACGTGTTTTTGGCCTTGCTATAGCATATCCCCGAAGGAGCTTCTTTATAGCGAGAATGGATTTTGTCGATTTTTTCTCTGCTTCTTGTCTCCTCACAGGTAACGATTTTAGAAAATCGCAGACACGAACGGTTGTTCCAATCGGGTGGGAGGCGGGCGTGTCACTGATAAAATGGGTGTAAGTATAGAGCATATAGCATCAAATTGCTTGTCGAACCGCCCGCTGGTGAAGAGCGAAAGGGACTCGTGGTAAGAAGACTTGCGTGTAGTACGAGAAACAGAAACATGCTCCGGAAATGAAAGTCAAGTGAGAAAGCCCTCTCACTAATAGGTTTTCTAACTAAAGAATAAGAGTAGAACCAAACGCATGCGCCTACCTTATGGGCTCTCCATCACGGCCAAATTTAACTGTCCTTGCAACTTGCTCCTCCGGAACGCGAGTCGTGATATACATGGCATCGCTCATTTCAGCAATGCTGGCTAGAGCTTGACCACGAAATCCTAGAGATCTGCCGCCGACGTTCTTGAGATCTTCCTTTGTTTGAATTTTGCTGGTATAGTTCTGCTTGCACGCAAGTGAACGATCACTGGGCAGTATTCCAGACCCATTGTCCTTCACTTGGATAATATCAAGAGTATTAAGGGAGATTTCAATGAAGATAGATGTAGCTCCGGCGTCCAGAGCGTTATCAAGAAGCTCTTTGACCACAGAAGAAGAGTCAGGGAGAGCAGAAGTTGAGCCGATAGCCCTGACAGCAGGGTCTTCTAACGCAACAATGGACATGTTTCCTTTGAACTGGATATCATAGTCAATCGAGAAAGGCGACAGATTCAACTGCGATCGGAGCGAGATCAAGATGTCATCGCATGAAGGAGATATGGATGAAGTTGAAGAGTTGAGGTCCGGAGTTGCCATATTGGGACCAGTTAGCGGGCCAGGTCATTGCTCTGGTAACTAACTACCTAGTTAGGTAGTTAACGTAGTTGCCCCGCCGATGAGTAGGGTTGCGGTATAACTAATGGATATATATTATTAACAAAGTATATGCGTGCTATAGGCAGGATACCGCAAGCGGTGTTAGAAGAGCTTCAAGAGCCAGTTGATTAGTGGACGCAAATTTTACCCAGTGGAGATCCTAAGTAAGTAGTTATGTGACAACCCACTTAACTAACTTAATTTGATTAACTAACTGGTTAATTTAGTTAGATCTGTCTGGCGCCGAAGAACTCTGCCGCGGTAAGAATGTTCTTTAGTATACCGTTTCTGTACAATTAACTAATTTAGTGGGCCTTCAAGTATCATATCAAATATCACTACTGCCTGTTCTCCCTCCGCTTGACCTTGCTACTATTAGCTGCCTGGGTCATCAACTGCCTCTCCCTTTCACTCAGTTTCGGTAGAGCATCGGATACGCGTTCCTTTAGTTTCTGCTTTTCGGCCTCAACCTGTTCATCAGAGGTGGGCATGAGGGATGGAGACAGAGCTATGGGTATGGAGCCGGACTCGGACGACTCCGTAACCCATGACGGAATACGCTCTAGTGATTCGCGATTGTGAAGATAGTAACTGAGTATCGATGAAAAGCTTTCGCGAGCCTTCTCTTCCGAGGACTTGTTGTCGCTCATACTGTTTGTGTTTGCTGGTTTCCCGCATTAGTTACTTTCGTTGCTAGTTCCGCGGGTGTCCAAGCTTAGTTACCTATCATAAACCAAGGTCACTGCCTCGTATCTCAACGTTGTGGAAGTATAAGTCGTGGAAAATGGTGAGGAGCAGTCAACTCAGGCCTGGGGATGGAATGACTATATACCTGACTCACTACTTATAGGCATGAGCAAGCACTTCGGAACAAAGCGGATAATGCCCATGGCGGGGAGCGTGCTTATTTCCGGCCTGTCCGTCATTGGTTCCCAGCCTGTTGCTATTAATAAATACCTAGCTGTTTAGTTGGACCAATTAACAATTATTGAAAAAATAGTAATGGAAAGACTGTAGCAAATCCGGGGCAACTGGTGTTGCTTGCACATAGTTATTAGAGCGGGCATTGATGCAGTCCAGCGAAAGGCTGTTCCTTATTTTCAGGTTATTGTTTAAAGGAAGTGTGGACAAATGAGGAGCCTGTAAGAAAGCTCATCATAAGAAACCATTAGATCAACCTAAACTATCAAAGAGAGAAAACTAGCCGCTATAGCTCCATAGTATCATCAAGGGAGTAATGGGGGTCAATCTCGCCATCCTCAGCCTGTTTGACTTTCACGTGGTATATTGCGTCTAGCTTGGTGTGCTCTTCCTGGCTTAAATGTTGCAGTCTATCTTCTAGAGAGGTGAATTTCCCGTAGTAAGCTTCATCAATGAAGGTCCAGTATATCTCATCAAACATAGAGCTATACCGTGCTGCTAGACACACCCAGAACAACTTATTATCCAAAGACTTCTCCATATGCGGCGATAGCCTTTGAGATTCTTGCAGGCTATTATTGGATATCATGTCACACTCGGCTGCTCGTAGGGCATCCAAGAAAAGATGAAAGCGAGGCGTATAGCGAGTCAAGAACTCAGTGAGATCTGATTCCCAGTCTTCAGGAGACTGTAGAAGGAGCCACCACGGAGCTACGTAGCTAAACTCGGCGGGTGCAACATATGTAAACTCCCAGTCTATTGCTGCTGCAATTCGGATATTTTCAATATCCACAAGTACATTTGAGGGCCGGAAATCATCGCAATAGAGCCTGAAAGGGCCTTCATGAAACTGGATGGCTTCAACAACTTTGCTAAAGAGACAACGAGCAACGAATTTTTTGCGACAGTCAGCTTCGTTAGTAATCGCGTCGTTTCGCTGGGTAAGGAAGTGTAACATATGCTGTGTAGCTAGGGACTTGAAATAATCAGCCGCTGAGTCAAATACGGCATTCGGGCCTGGCAATACGTAAGGCGGAGCGTTTGCAGAAGTTGAGAGCTCGTTCATATTAAATGTAAATGGTCTCCTGGATACCGTAAATTCGCCGTCCGACCTTTCTACCAAGGCACCTATCCTGGCGAACTCAGGCTTAGATAGTTCGAGGAGAAGCTGGGCCATCTCCTGGTAAGCCCTCCGTAAACCACGCTGACTGATATTTGAGTTCAAGATAGGCCGTCCTTCAGCCTTGGGATCCTTGAGAATGCTGGCGAGAGGGGTACCATGGACATAAGTTAAAACGATATACGGTCCTGTCCAGGTCTTCCCAGACCCATATACTTCGGGGACAGGTATTGAGGTGTGTTTTCGGAGATACCGTAGGACAGCAACTTCGTTGGCAACCTTTTCTGCACGGAAAATTGACCGTCCAAGGGAGCTAAACCGAACAATAACTTCAGGCGTGTCATCATGAAACTGGACGCGATAGCACACGTTAAAAGCGCCAGTCTTCCATTGGCACGCTTGCTTGGCCCTACGGCCAAGATGTGATGCGGCTAGCTTCATAGCAAGATGTTCGGGGGATTTCGACAGTAGCTGCTTCACCCATTGTGCAAAGACAATGTCCAGCCGGTCCTCCGCGACATGGTCAAACTGCATGGTGATAGGGTCACGAGACAAGCCGGTGAGCTGGTAAAATATTTCACCACAGGTCAGAACGTAAAGGAAGAGTATAAGCTCACAGAGAAAAACTCAATGGATCCGAGATTCGAGAATGAAGAGTACGATAATAGTGAACAGTGAGGTTGAATTCTGATAAAAGGGGATGAGGCTTAAGTTGATAGCGCAGACGCCAAGTTGATTAATAATCCATTATATAAGCAAGCTATACCAAATTAGTAATAATCTAACTTACGTAATTCGGAACGCTGTGATGACTGCGCCGGGATTCGGCTTCTCTAGCCACATGATTCAACCGGCACATAATATCAAGGATGCATGGCCAATAAGTGGGAATCCTAGGATTATGGGTTTAGTGACCCGTCTTGAGTGACAATGATGCACCCTAAACTCATTCAAGATTCCTTGTGCGAGATCAGAATCAATCCATCACGAAGTATGGAGTATTCCACTTTCTATGAATATATATCTCTTAGAACAGATATATATCGAGAGGCTGTTAGCAGAGGGGAGATGTTGATTCTGATAAAAGAAATCGTCATTGAACTATCAAGCTGAAACCACCATCTAACAATCCCGGTACCAGTGCAGATAACGACACCCCTCACCCCCGGATCTGCGATTTAAGCCGATCATGAGTCCAGTTGGGCATTCTCCACCCACAATGATACGAAGAGCTGCTTTACTTAAATTATCATATATTGACATACACTACAAGCTCTATCACAATGCTCCAGGTGTTTCTTCTCAGGCGAAGAAATATTGAAGTCCCTGTTAATTTCATGAAATGGCCATCTTGCCCATTCAAACCAAGGTCGACCTTTGTGTGCTGCCACTTTTGATTCTATCACTGCTACTTGCGGGTTTAGACAAGGTTTGATTTCCTCGAGAGTTGTTGACGTGCGAAGCATTGCTAAGCAGGCACAGAATGCGCTCGCGTTTGCTGCCGTTCTGGGAATGAACAAAGACCTAGGTCTTCATGGTCAACAGTATTCATGGCTCGGTTCTATCTTCAATATTGCATACCTTTTTGCCGAATTTCCGACATCATGGCTTCTTACTCGACTGCCTATTGGCAAGTATGTAGGCACCTCATTGATTTTATGGGGGGCTTCTGGGTGTGCAATGGCAGCGTGTACCAATTTTGCAAGCGCTGCTGCTGTCAGATTTCTCCTCGGAGCTCTGGAATTCAGCTATACTACCGTCGGTTATTGTCATTATGTCCACTTGGTATCGGCGTGAGGAGCAACCCCTGCGGGCTGCTCTATGTTTTGGCCCTTTCTCCGGGGTATGTATTTGGGGCCTTTATCTAATGGTTTCGTAACTACGATGGCTCCCAAAAGCTGATGCAATCCAGATTTTTGGTGGTATTCTTGCATATGCCATTGGTACTCTTCGAGCACCAATACCTACATGGAAGGTATATTCAACATGATACATCCTTATTTTGGGCGGTATAGCTGTTTTAATACAGGTTGTTGACAGTTAATATTCTTGATATACGGTGGAATAACCATCGCCGTCGGCTTTATCTGCCTTGTGGTACTCCCAGACAACCATGATAAGGCCATATTCCTTTCCAAGGGTGAACGTGACGAGGCAAAGCTCAGGGTTGCGGACAATAAAACCGGCAGAGACACACGCAAGGTCAGTTTTGCGCCGTGATTTAACTTCAGTTTGAGGCTGATACTACCTAAATGTGGTAGAAATGGAAGTTCTCTCAGGTCCTTGAGGCCCTCAAAGATGGAAAGTACTGGTGCGTCGTGGCTTTTGTCTTGTTCCAATCCATCACGAATGCCGGAGTTACGAATGTGAGTCAACCCTCATAATTGATGCTGTCCTTTTACAATAGATACCAGAATTACTTACTAGCTTCTTCAGTTCAATCCTTTAATTATAGCGGGATTTGGGTACTCGAAGCAGATAACCGTACTATTAGCAGCTCCACAGGGAGCCGTTGCTCTTACAGCTCAAGTCATTGCCGCGCTATTGGCGCTTTATATTCCTAACCTTCGCTGTTTGCTATGGGTACTCTCTTGCATCCCTTCATTGGCAGGAACATTGGTAGTAAGATGTATGTTCCATATACCCCTTATTACCTTAGTCTTGGTGCAGCTAACATATTGGTAAAGATGTTTCGGTATCTGAGAACCGTATTGCCGCCCTCATGGGGGTATATCTTACTGGGTTCTACAATATTGCTTGGTCCATGACCCTCAGTCTTGTGGCTTCCAACACTGCTGGAGCAACGAAGAAAAGCTTTGTCTCGGCCTCTATTGCCATTGCTCATGGTAATATTTTCTTCAATTTTCACCTCAGGCCATATTGGATACCTATTTATATATATCTAACCTCCGTGAAATAGGCGTTGGTGGATTAGTCGGCCCTCAATTTTTCCTTGAGAGCCAGAAACCCCATTACCAGCTGGGACTGGGTGCTATGATTGTTTCTTTGATAATGATGGCAGTTTGCGGCGCAATATACGGGTTAGTGCCTTTCTCCTGCTTCTCCTTAGCTTTCGAGCTTCACCATCCTTACTATTCATTCTATTATAGAACGCTCTGCATTTATCAGAACAAAGCTCGAGATAATCTTGGCGAAACTGTCAGCCCCTTGCCTGCCGAGTGTTATTCCACAGAAGAAAACGCCGACAGGGAGTCAGATGATAAGACCGATTATGAGATGCACACCTTTCGCTACACATATTAAAGGTATATCTGATTATAGGGCATATCTTCGTCTATATAATGCATGCATATCAAAGCATACCTGGAATTACATTCATGATTGTATGATGCTCATAGATTTCAATGCCTACGTTTTATTCGGTTGATTTGTGGGATCCAGACGTAGACAAAGATAGGGGTGCAGCCGTAATTAATTAATCGACTTAAATAAATACACTATTCAAGATTGGAAGAGAAGACGACTGCAAAACACATCGAGTCCGTATCCCGGCCGGAATTGCCAAAAATATGGCTTCAATCTGTGGGCCACTTGTATTAGCTCCCTATTTTCGCCCAGCAATTTTGATAAAAAGGAGGCTAAAGAAGGATAAAGAGAGTAAAGGCGAAAAGGCATATAATTAGGGAGCTTATGAGCTAGACTGACCATTTTATTACTCCTGGTGTAGTTAGTGGTTTCCCCGTAATCTAGTTAGTGTTTAAAAGCTCCTCTATAGTATTTAATTGGAATAAATCAGAGTACTCCAATGAATCCAAATTAAACCCCAGCCTCTCATTGTTATCATCATCAAAAGTGTTTGACTCGTTACTCTGTGCCGTGCCAGTATTTCCCAAGAAATTTGTTGTTATTTGTATAATCTTTTGCTTGATATCCAGCACAATATCTGGAGTTATTAGTATCTTACCCTTTTCTCGAGCACTATTCTCGCATGCCTCCCAGGCTTGAAGAACTATCCTAGAAAAAACAAGAAAAAAGTCCCTGTGTTTTTCTTGGTTTGAACCCGCTATGCGTAACATATAGTTATGGGTCATGGCCTTCCAGGCCGTATCGTGGTTTTCGACAGGCCGTCTTTTCAAATCTTGAAGGAGGTGAATATAAGCAAGGAGAGGGAAGTGAAAGTGAACAAGCCAGAGGTAACCTTTAATATGTGGCGAGGCCATAAGATTTGTATCACACTCTAGCATACGTAGAGCATAGGAGACACCAATGGTATGCTGAGGGTCTGGTTGCTTCTCGGTGTTCAGGGTATAGTGTTGCAGGAGACGATACTTCGCGAAGTAGCCACGTATTGTCCAGATTGTCATATAGTGAAAGGGGTTCTCTGAATTGCAGGATGCGAGATATTTCTCTTCTATCAGCCTTTCTAGGTCTGCTAATTTTCGTGCCTCCTCTACATGGCTAGACCTAGCTGTCATTATTTTGTTGAAGCACGGATTAGTGAAGTCGATATGGAAGGCACTATAGCGGATGAAGTTAGCCAGCCGGCAGCGTAGAACTACAAAAATCATCTCTGATGGGTTGTAGTCTGCTATTGCCGGTGAGGCCTTCATCTCTGGCTGAAGCTCTGAATCATTCACATTGAGAGGAATTCTGCAGTCCCATGAAGGATTTAAAGAAGTGGTTCCGTAATCAGACATTTCGCATATGCGATTATCGAAGATCACAAGTGACCACCATAGTCTTCGGCGTCTCTCAGCTTCTAAAGGGGGCCATTTGCTATACATAGATTCACTATGAATACCTATCCGTTGCGCGATACGTATAGCAACGCTAAGTAGCGAGGAAAGAGACGCAGGGTTTGTCGTAGGCCTAATAGAGACCTAAAAAGTTTAGAAGTTAGGATATATTTATGAGTAGAGTTATCAAGCACCTTACTAGATAGAGGTATAATGCCGTCAAGCATTCATAGTCACAGGTTTGTAATACATCGCAGTTCCCCAGCGCTTGTTGGCATGATATTTGATAACCTGTTAGAATACCCTTCTTTGGGGACCCGAAGAAGCCACTGCATTGATCTTCAGTAAGACTGTGAATGGAGATAGAGTAGATACTAAACATCAGTGCTTCCAACGTGGGCTTGATGTTAGTTAAATCGCTAGCAGCATCGATAATACGAGCTTGCAAGGTCGGTGTATGTGTGACTTTGAGAAGGGGGTTGACATTGTCCAGATAAACTTGCCAGAGCTTAAAAATTTGCATCTGACTTGGGTGCGAGGGAGAGAGGTCGACAATCCCTCCAGAAGAACCAAATAAGAGAAGATGCTCACTGCTCCCGCCCTGAAAGGTATGGTGCCACGCCTTCTTGATAACTGCGTGTCGCACGTCGTCATTCTCATGCAGGAAACCAGTGATATTTCCTTCATCTCCGCCTTCATCATAACTGTCCTCATCATCTATTGAATCTGTAGACTGTTTCGGTTGTTAATGAAGCTCTAACCGGTTAACGTAAAGAGGCAGGACTGGCTAGCCGTACCCTTTGACCTATGGCACGCCAAAGATTCCTAAGTTACAATTAGCCATATATACAGTTGCAAATGACCGAGAAAAGGGCTCAATCCCATACACTGGTTTAGGTCTTTCAGCTCGCCCGGCTATTTTATCCGATTTATCTACTTCTGGCTCAACTCGACTGTCTTCACTTGTGGTCCGGTCGTCTGTATCTAACGGATGGAGAGGATCAAACTCGATTTTGTGCTGCCGAAGAAGTGTCTCGTAGTGTCTTAGGCGCGCCAACAGCTCCCTCTCGGGAAACCTGCGGCGTCGCTGGCGGGTTGCTTGCTCGCAGGGGACGCTGGCGCGTACACAGTTGGCGCATGGAAAGGAGCGCTGGCATTTGACCTTGCGCTGCTGACACTGCACACAAGCCAGTACCCGTTGGTGTCTAACGGCAGTAGGCGCCATGATTGCACTTTAGAGGCGTCGATAGTTCATCCTGTCGCCTGAAGTTCGCGTGGAGAAGAAGACACAGAGAGAAGATGAAAAAGGAGTAGAAGTGAAGTCCTCACTAGTTAGCATGCTCGGGATTTAGTCAAAGTTCCGGCCCGCACTTTCTAACTCCCGCGGGCTAGACAGAAACATCCAAAACACCACCACCAACTGCAGTTACAATATGCGAATCTCCGGCTGGATTTGTTACTGCGTATACCCTATAAATATAAGACCTTGGGGCTTTTTCTGCCTTGTCTTCTGTCTCACGATGTTTGTCCATCAACCCTCAATCGCACCCCTCGCAGAAGCATCAAGACAATGGCTTCCTCACGCGCTTTCTCCCCCGATAGCACCGAATCCCCAGTGGCTGATGTACCAAAGGTGGCCAACCAGCACTGTGACTTGACCCCAGATGCCACAGCTAAAAGCGAGGACCCCGAGAAACAGCCTCTTATCCAGGTTGTCTGTCTCATCGTTTCGGCCTTTGTCGCTATGTTCCTGGTTGCGCTGGACAGAACAATCATCTCAACAGTAAGGACATTTCACTTACACGGAAATGGAACCAATTAGTCAAGTCGCTGACAGTCATAAAATCTATAGGCAATACCTAGAATCACTGATGAATTCGAGTCCTTGCAGGATGTTGGCTGGTATGGCAGCGCCTACTTGCTGACATGCTGCGCGTTCCAGCTTCTGTTTGGGAAGCTATACAAGCTCTTCTCTGTCAGGACCATCTTCCTTTGCAGTATTGGACTATTTGAGGCTGCCTCTGCAATTTGTGGAGCGGCTCCCAACTCGTTATCATTCATTGTTGGAAGGGCAATCTGTGGTATTGGAGCGGCCGGTATTCTTGCTGGAACTGTAAGCATAATATCCTTGTAACAATCGCTGTTGATTAACCTTATTCCTAGATAATGTGTATCGTTCATTCTGTGCCTCTCAAGAAGCGTCCACAAATCCAGGGGTTGTTTGGTGCCCTTTTTGGCATTGCCTCTGTGGTAGGGCCATTGATTGGCGGCGCATTTACTTCGAATGTCTCATGGAGGTGGTGCTTCGACATCAACCTTCCCATTGGTGGCGTCGCAATATTTTTCATTGCCTTCTGCCTCAAACTTCCCAAGCGAGATACAACAAGGGTACCCTTAATTGAGAAGTTGGCACAGCTTGATTCCCTGGGAACTACTCTGTTGGTGCTTGGAGTGGTCTCCCTTGTGCTGGCACTTCAGTGGGGGGGCCAAGCATATCCCGTACGTTAGTTGACAGTGCGGCTGCCCATCATTTTCTGTCTTCAACTAACAGCTAGTTAATAGTGGAGCAGCGGCCGTGTCGTGGCTTGTCTCGCTCTCATGGCAGTTTTGATTCCTGCCTTCGTCGCTGTTCAGGTGCTTCTCCCCAAGACAGCTACTCTTCCAGCACGTATATTCTCGCAGCGAAGTGTTCTTTCGGCCTTCTGGCAAACTCTCTGCATCAGCTCCGGAAATTATATATTTGGTAGGAATGGAATATCATCCATAGCTATCAGTTCTGTAGGTAGTACTGCAAGCAGCTAACTGTTCATTAATATAGTATACTTCCTGCCAGTTTGGTTTCAGTCTATCCAAGGTACCTCTGCTGTGAATTCTGGCATTCGTTTGTTACCAATGATGCTCTCAATGGTCGTTGGATCAGTCGGTGGCGGAGCTATAAACTCCAGGATCGGATACTATACCCCTTTGGCAATTATTGGTCCCTGCATAATGTCGGTCGGCGCTGGCCTTCTCACCACTCTGAAGGTGGCCAGCGGTAAAGAAGAATGGATAGGCTATCAAGTAATCTACGGACTTGGGTTAGGTCTATGTTTCCAGGTTCCTAACCTTGCTGCACAAACTGTTCTATCAAAACCTGACGTACCGCTTGGTTTGGCGTTGATGTTATTTGGACAGCTTATTGGGGCAGCAGTCTTTGTATCTGTTGGTGAGAACGTCCTAGCAAATCAGCTGGTTAAGAGACTTTCGGCTCTTCCAGGCTTTACTCCCGGTCTCGTTACTTCGGGTGGTATCACAGGACTCTTCAATACAATACCCACGGATCAACATGAAATACTCCGCTTCTCTTACAATGAAGCACTGCGAAGCGTATTCCAGGTTGGCCTTATTGTTTCATGCATGTCGCTGCTTGGTGCCGCCACGCTAGAGTGGAAGAGTATCAACAGAGTGCAGAGCAAGCTTGATACTGAAAACAAAACAACCGGCGGTGAAAAGGCTGGACAGGAAACCGAGATTAACTAAAAACGAGTAACTATAAACATTGCTTTAAAAATATGTAATTAGTTGACAAATAGTTCTAAAATTAAAAAGTAATAATATATAAATATTTATGCGATATTCACTGTGTTTATTTATACAAAGCAAAGAGTTATTATTTAGTTAGGTAACTAGTTAGCCAGCTGCTTAAGCTAGATATAATTAAGGGGTATTAAGGGGTAACTTGTAACTTTGTGACCGATAAACGCGCTTAGTAATCCAAGGCTAACTGGCTAAGATTTGTTAATTAGCCAATGATTTGACAGCATAATGCGAGTCACGTGTTGATCTAAGATTAGTCATCTACGTGTCTTGGCGGCTCCCGCACGTTAGAACAACACCCGCCTCTAAGTAGCATTTCCGTTCTAGTATTTCCGTTTCACATCCTCCTTGATGAATCTCTAGAGGAGGTCATGGCGGAATTTCAGATATACCAACTTGCAGTACCATTTGTTGTACTGCTGATAGCGTTTCTTTCATATAGTTCACAATATTTGTTCCTCTTCCTTGAACCTGCACCGCTGAGTACACCCGAACTCGTCAAATTTAATATCCTGGTGGCTTGCATATGGATATGCTATGCCCGAGCCTGTCTAACGGATCCAGGGAGAATCCCAAAAGACTGGAAGCCACCCACTACCGCAGATGCATTGTTAGAGAAGCATCTTGGCCTCGAAGAGGGCAGCGATCCTTCTTATCGTCAACGATGGTGCCGAAGATGCGAGGCGTTTAAACCTCCCAGATCTCACCATTGTAAAACTTGCCAACGGTGAGCACAGCCAGCTCAGGAAATGCACGCTTTTATGTGTTTATAACTCATGTACTGATGTACCCTGGAGATGTATTCCTAAGATGGACCACCATTGCCCCTGGACATATAACTGTGTCTCGCATTTCACATTCCCACATTTTATTCGTTTTCTATTTTATGCAGTAATTTCCATGATATATCTTGAACGCTTTCTTTATATCCGTATAGCGGTGGTATGGAGTAACCGAAGCCTACCAAGTGTATGTTCTACCTTTGTGGCCATGGCTAAACGTTTTATCACACTCCACTAACACTAGAACCACAGTATTACGGTCCCTCTTTAGCTCAGTTGGGGCATCTCTTTGTGCTTGCTATTACTAATACTGTAGTTCTTCTTGCCCTGTCGATTCTACTACTTCGAAATATATGGATGCTGGGTGCAAACGAGACTACTATCGAGGGATGGGAAATTGAAAGGCACAGGACGTTGTGTCGACGAGCACGAGCCCTGGGTGGCTACCTCGAAGGTCCAGATGGTGTCAAAGTCTGGATTAAAAAACAAGAATTTCCATACGATATTGGTGTTTGGAATAACATTAGAGATGGCATGGGTGGTAGTAATAATGTGTGTTGCCAATTCTATATTCAACACTCCATAAACAAAATCATATTCTAACAAAGGTAACCTTCTAGATATTTGGCTGGTTTTGGCCCTTTTCACGAACACCGGATCGGCGCACTGGGTTAGAGTTTGAAGTTAATGGCTTTGAAGGTATGTGTTACTTCTGGCTGTCACCTTAGAGCACAATATTGATGTCTGAAGATGAATCTCTCATCTGGCCTCCACCGGACCCTGACAGGATGTCCCGAAACACACCACAAAGGCAGGATAGAACAACACTTCTTGGAGATGGTCAAAATTTTGACTATGACGAGATTGAGGCCTTTCATAAGCGCCAGGAGGCAGACTATCTACGCCAGCGAGCTGTCTCCGAAGTCCGCCGTCGAAAACCGTTTCATAAACGGTATATGAAAAAGGGGGATGATGGCCATCTATCCAATATCTCCGACTCGGAAGACGAGGAATTGTCCAACAGTGGAGAAGAAGGCTGGAGAAACTCGGAAGGTGAAAGGTTGAAAGATTTTGGAGTTGATGAAGAGGTTGAATTCTACGATGAGGATGATATACCACTTGCCGAATTAATACGGCGAAAAAAACTTCGGTCATGATGAAAAGGCATGTGTCCTCCCAAAACCCAGATTAATAGAGCCTCGCAAAGGATACACTTACATAAATACTGGGATCTATAGTTACCCCAGGAGTGAAGAGGCAATTATAGTGCTAGCCGTAACCAAAATAGGATATTATTGAATCAAGGCAGCTGTTTCAACGGAAGATCCAAGTCTATAACTATATACGTACATAGTTTGGAAGATTTCAAAAAGGGCTGCACTTCTTCGTGACATATGCTTGAATCCTTTTAAAGTACGCCCTACCAGGTCCGTGTAACTAAAACATTCGTATAATTTGAGTCATAGCCCACTATATGAAGGCGACTGATATATCTTCAATCATTTATAAAGGCGTTGACAAAAGTATTCAGCTTCATCAGGCAGTCAAATTATTAACTTCCTACTTCATGTTCCATTTCTTCTGATACAGATAACTATATAAGTTCCATTTGAAAACAGTCTACAGCATGAAAGAAACAACATCCAGTTTCAAACTTACCCCGAGAATTCACCTTCGTCGCTACAAACCAAGCGACATCGACCTGATCTGCATGCTTAATGAAGATGAAGGCGTAATGAAATACATCGATAGCGAGCCGCCATCTCGGGAAGAAGTCGAAGAAGAGGTCCAACAGATCATTCAAGCATACGATGTCAACCCTCGAACTGGCAAATGGATAGCCGAAACACCCACAGCTGAAGGCATAGAATTTATTGGCTGGTTCCGGCTGGGTGATCTAGATCAATTCTCACGAGAGTGCTTTAGCAATGCCAATACAGAAAGCAACGAAAAAGATCTACGGCTGGAACTTGGATATCGGATTCGCCGTCGGTTCTGGGGTCAGGGGCTAGCAACTGAAGGAGGCCGAGCTCTTGTTCAATACGCCTTCTGTTCCCTGAACGTCACCCAGATAGTGGCCGGGACGATGTTTGTCAACTCGGGATCCCGTCGTGTCATGGAGAAATGCGGTTTGAAGCATGTAAAGACACTCTATCTGGAGTTTCGTGACCCCCTCCCGGGAACAGAGCTGGGTGAAGTGTTCTATGCTATCACTAGAGAAGAGTGGGTGGATTCTGGAGGTAACTGCGAAGAAGCTATATCTAATGGGTTTGAATAAGGGGCCAGATGGCCAAAGGGGTATGTATTGTGGGCTGAAATATTATTAAAAAGCGTCTAGTTACTATGCTCGATAAGTATATAAAACGCTAAAATAAAGGGAATGGAAGATAAAGAAGAGTAAATTCACATGCTAAGGGTATTCTCGCTCCAGAAAGACCAAAACAGTGACAGGCGAAGGTCGTAAATTCGTTAGATGAAGCAGATGTGGACAGGAAAACAGTAATCAAACAAGCATTGTCGGTTACCAGTCAAAGGTATTAGGGAGATAAGAGCTCGAACGTGGATAGCAAGGCTGCGCATCAGACCAACTTCTGTAGCTGGTCTCCAAGCTGAGGATTTCCTTCCATGCCGGCACACTCAACTTCTCCTGCTGCATTTGTTTGGAGTTTGACTGACATGTAATCGCCATCTCCTCCTTGTGCTCCGACCGAAACCCAGACAAACTTGCTCCCAGAAGCGCTCGCCCAAGATCGTTCTTGAACTCCATCCCAGAAAAGGTCCGCAGAGGTACATTTTATGGCACCATTGACTTTGGAGACAGACGAGAGAGAGACCCTTCCTCCAAGTCTCTTGTTAGTAGCCCAGCAATCAATAACAGTTGTGATAAATTCAAGTTTCTTGGGGAAAGAGTTTGCTTCGAGGATGTCCCTGAACCGTTCAGCAGTAACACCAGGGATCTTGGTCAAGATACCAGAGATGGACGATAGATATGCAGAGGCCGGCTCTGATATGACTGTTCTGGTATCAAAACCGCTGGGGTGCATTTTTCCTTTTGCAGCAAGGTATCTAGCTGCTGACGGTGAAAGATGATAGAAGTCAATTCTACAGGAGCTGGCCAGCTCTGATGGATCAGCTGGTCGCTGCTCGGGTAGATATAGTACAAGCTTAGTATGATCAGGGAAGTTAAACTAAAAATAAGTGGGTTAGATACTGAACGGTTACTGTTTTGGTAAAAAGAAGGAGGATCTTACCTGGAATGCACCGTCTCCAAAGCCCCAGACTCCAACATTTCCAAGCCTCTGGTAGAATTTGATGTATTGGCCGCTGCTTTTTGATTTCGATGGTTCAATAGCGCCTCTCCCTAGAGACCCTACCATATATTTCCCGAACTGATCTACCAGTCTGACACGATTTGCCTTCTCAGCACTTCGAACTGTGCAGAGAACATTTGCTGGCTTGTCTGGGCTTGACCGTCTTGTCTCGAACGTTCGTGCAGGGAGAAGAGCTCTCCTGACAGTTCCATCAGAATAGCCGTCTGGATTAATTTCTACATTTTCATAGAATTCAATGGGCTTGCCATTTCTTGGAACAAGCTGATCGACTTCTGAGTAGGAGTTGGCATTTTCAGGTTCTCCTTTCGCGCGCGCCTTTAGCCGAAGGTGGCTTTCACCATCCCTGACTACTACCCCTGTTGCTGGGTAGCCATTCTCGCCCCTGAAAACGCAGCCAACGCTTCCTTCATCCAATACATAGGCAATCCCATATCGGTTAGTGTAGTCAACCCACTTCACAACATATGGATGGGCTCCGGATTTAGCAGTTGATTGGGGTTGAGCAGGTCTGCTCTCAGAGTTTCTAAAAGAGCTCTGAGAAGGTTTTTCACGGAGGATAGATTGGTATATCTGGAGATCAGCTACAACCTCCTGCACGCTTGATCCTGGTAGTATTTCTGACTGATCCTCTGGCAAAAGGAGTGGACCGGATCCCAGCGCCGACCTTGATTTACTGCCGCTGCTGGATGCGGCTGACGAGGTGGTTGCTGATCTGGTCAGGCCTTGTGTCTTATTTGAACGAGATGCAACATCCCTGCCCGTAACCGATGATTGACTCTGATGCCGGCGTAAGGTAGAAGTTGAATCCGACCGAATAGGTATCGTTCGTCCGGAACCCACGTTTGATCTAGGCTGACGCGCCGCTGGTTTGACAGGTTCTTCACCCACGTTCTCCTGTTCGGTATTTTGGGGGCCAGCCACAGGGGCAGACCCCAAGTTGGGAGGTTTGTTACTGGAGGCAGTGCCAAGTGCCGCTGGGGTTGAGGTTGATTTGGACATAGATGTAGTGAGTGCCCGATTCTTTTCCCGCATGGACTCATGGTAGGCTTGTGCAGTCTGTGATCGTGTGCGTATAGGGCGTTGGCTAAGTAGATTCCGAGTACTCCTGATGGCTGGATTCTTCTCCGGCACGGTATCAGAGGACGCCACTGTAGCTTGAGTGGCAGTTGAAGAAGTGTCCTTCGCTGCTGGACGAGGTGCAATTGCCTGTTGACGAAGCATGGCGGCATGATTCTTGGGAGCAGATTCTCGGCGATTGAGCTGGGCAGCCAGGGCGATCTCGGTTCTCGCTATCATGGCGGCCTTTGATTTAGTCAAAGTATTCCGGCCATCAATAGCTCCATTGCTACTACTTTCTTGGTCCTCTGGCAGATCATTTCCCGCCTCTGCTTCGTCAAGACTCCAATCCTTGCCATTATCAATGTAGTAGCTGTAGACTCTGTCGGATGGCAGAGGCATAACAGGCTGGAGTCCCCTCTCTTCCTCGGTAAGACACTCAGCGAAAGCAGATTTTCCACATCTTTTCCCCGCCGATTTTCGTATTTCCCCTGAACTTCGTCTTCCAACGCCACACTCAGCGTAAAAGATGTTCTTACATATGATGTATCTCTGGGTAGGATTCGTAACGTGGGATATAAGTTTCCTATATGTATGGTCATACTCCAAACTGTATCCGGGAGCCGGGTTGTCGCCTCGAGGGCTGTCTTTTGTTAACCAATGTGGAGGTGATGAGCGATATTCGGGTTCGAGTTCACGAGGGATGCAGCCGGAGTACATATTGAAGAATGGGTGATCTACAATTTGATCGGGATCCGGTCTTTTTTCTTCAGCAAGATTCAAGCAAGCCGTAACTAGGTCTTTGGCCTCGTCCGGGATGTAATTTGCACTTTCGGTGTCAACTGGCCAGTCGTAACTCAGTGACTTCACCTTCTTGTAAATTTCCTCTTGTGTTTTTGATTGAAATGGGGGGAAACCCGTAAGCATGGCAAAGCTGAACCAACAGGACTCCAGTTAGCTACTTTTTCTTCACTTGGTGGGGAGTCCACAGCACTTACAAAATCACACCCAAAGACCAGATGTCGACTTTTTGATTATGACCTCCTTTGCTCTTATCCAGTACCTCTGGAGCAATATAATTTGGGGTCCCGCACAGCGTCTTTCTTCTCTTCTCATCTTTCTCGCTGAGCATCAGGGCCGCCAGCCCGAAGTCGCCAACTTTGATATTCATGCATTGGTCGAGAAACAAGTTTCCCATCTTCAAGTCACGATGAGCAACATGACGTTTGTGGAGGTACTTCACAGCGCCACAGAGTTGTATCATAAACCTTCGTACTTCGGGCAGACTTAGGAACTTTCTTTTCTTTACCATATCCATTACTGAACCATTAGGACAAAGCTCGAGAACCACGTATATGTTTTTCTGGAAGGAAAACGCTCGGTGAAATGTAACAATGTTAGGATGTTTCATCTTTGAGTGAATCTGCAGCTCCGTCCGAAACTATAGCAATCCAATCAAGTCAGCTATCAAACCAAGCCTATACCCATTGGTAGATAGCACATACCTTTTCCTCCATCTTCTTTTGTTGCATTTCAGATTTGACAACCTTCATGGCGAAGATACGTCCGTTCCTTGCAAGCTTCCCTTCATAGCAGACCGCAAATCCTCCCTTTCCTAGGAAGCTGCCTATCTCATATTCCTCTCCGCAAGGACCAGGCTCCTTGACCTCGGGAGGTGGAGGTGTCGCATGATGCCGATGGGATGATGGCTGTTTTTGGGCAGGATTGGTCTTGACGGATAGCTTTTTGGCCCCTTCAACCTTTGGTTTTGGTGGAATGTTGGTTGATCGCGGAGATAGTGGCTCCATGGCTGGTATCAATTGCGAAGAAGTTGCATAGAGCAAAGTGACGGGTCAATGGATAAGCTGAGAGGTTATGGCGGTCTCCAATTCAGGTGTATAGGATGCTGTCTTCGAGTAATTGTAGGAGGTGTCACAGTAGGTATTCCTGGTGAAGAATTATGTATGCTTTGAATATTGCGCCGGCAGGGATGAACTCCGATGATAACAGGACGAGACAACAGAAGATAAGAGTAATGCACGCAAACAAATGCTCAACAAAGACGTAAAACTGCTAACAGGATATGGCATGCAAGTCTCGCCAAATGTCAACTCTCCGCCGCAAACGAGTGCGTCTCTCTGTCTCTTCGTCTCGTCGCTTCTCCAAGGTTTGACTGTTTACTTCTTCGACAAGCAAAGCGAAGTTGCAGCTATTTGGCCGGGCAACGCTTAACCTAAATAGGAAATAAGTAAACAAAAGCCGCCGGAACGGAAAAATAAGACGGAACCTTATCCTTATTATGTAATCATCTAGTTCTCTTCTTGGCATTTTTTCCCTTTTCGACTTCCTCGAGACATCCAACTCGACATTCAAACCTGCAGGAATTACGGGAGTGCGACTGTTGGATAGCCGCGTTGGATTCTCTCTTAGTTATATAATAGACCACTTTTGTTTTTGAGAAGATGCGGTGATCACGTCGCTCGTTGAGTTCTGAAACCCGTGGACTGAATAACCCCATGCCCAGAGAATGATAGCTACGCGATGTCGAGTATCACACTCAAGCTCTCGTCCCTTGTGATAAGGACGCTCTCGAAACCCATAGCAGTAAGCATGGCGGATATCGGAATCCCCCTTTCTATGGGCCGGGCTGACAGTTTCGCCTTTCCGAGCAGAACCAAATCAAAGCACAAGCTCGTGAACATGAGCGGTTTCGTCGGATATGCGTGTCGTTCGCGCAGACAGTACATCGCATTGACATGCGGTTAAGGCTGGGCCTGCTCCAAAACACCGCTGCCCTCGAGAAGCAAGCTGCTCGTGAGGCGGCTGAAGCACACGCCAAGAAGATAAAACTCCAAACACCGACGGTCAAGACGGAGGCCCAGACAAAGGCGGATGAGTTGCTCAAGGCAAAGGAGAAAGCAGGAGGTGCCGCCGTTAAGACTCCGCCCATCCCTCGGATTCGGCCGCTGTCTGAAGGCAAAGCAATCGACATGGGAGCAAACTTCATCAGCGAGACATTCTTGTTCCTTGTTGGAGGCGGACTGATCATCTTCGAGTCACTCCGATCCCGACGGAAGGAAACGTCACGGCGGGAGGATGTTGCCGACCGTCTAGCGGAGCTAGAAGAGTCGGAGAATGCTGCACGCGCTGCTTTGATCGTTCTGGAGAAAGAGGTTCTCCGGCTGCAGTCCCAGCTTGAGAAGCGCCCTGTTAAAGAATTAAAGCGGGTTCTGCCGAAGGAAATATGGCAGGTTGAGGAAGAGCCGGAGCCAGAACCAGAGCCTTCGCTACTCACAACCATCTCTTCCTATTTCCAGTGGCCAAAAACAGCCAGCAATACTCCTACTACTGTTGCTGCTGTTCCACCCGAACCGCAAGCATCCCAACAGGCTCCAACCCAAGCTCCATCGCAGCCCGATGCAACCTCTTCAACCACACCTCAACCGAAGAAACAAGTTTAATACTCAGTCAATTGGAATGTTCGAGCTTAGCTCACATCTAATGGTTTTGAGATACCCTCCCCTCAATCTCAGCTATACACTAAATTTTTAGCGTCATATTCTCACTCTATGTAGACGCCTCCTTTTTTTGTCGATATACCCTCTATACTGTACACTATTAGAACCATAACTAGACCCATTGAATAGACTGTATTTGTCACACTGCCCACAGCCGCCGTCGCCCCTGCCGGTCCCCTCCGTAGCATAAGACAAGAGTAATCAAGCTGTGGCGCAGCGAAAAAAGACTGAAAAGCCGCGTGGGAGGCTGCATCACCCTGATTACATAAGCAATGACATTTAATTAGTTCTGAAATGTCACTGACTGGCAACACTTTTTGGCAGATCAGGCCTGGCGTTTGTTTGAGCTTTTGATACCCAAGGCAACGCCCTTTTGTTATATATTATTCTACCTCATCCCGAATCCTCACGAAAGCGCTCCGGCATCTCCAGGCCTGCCACTGCTCCTCGGCCGTCAAGGAACTGCAGCGCTGCGCCCAACGTCACAATCCCCAGGCTCACCCTGAGTTGGCCGTCCAGCCAGCCCCGTGTGAGCTGCTATCAGAAGAATGGTAAGTCGCATGCTTGGAAAACTTCTGTTCGACAAAAAGGAAGAAGTCATACTAACCCCTTATTGTCTTCTAGGGTTATTCTAAACGCCCTCGCGATGATAAGAAGAGTAATGGCGGGCGGTCTAAACATGCGGGGGATAAGGGCTCCGGTCAACCGCGAGTAAAAAAAGCCGTCTTTGAGAGCACCAAGAAGAAGGAAGTCGGTGTATCAGACTTGACGCTGCTCAGCAAGGTGTCCAATGAAGCTATCAACGAGAATCTGAAGAAACGGTTTGAGCATGGGGAGATTTACGTGAGTGCTGCGCTACATCAGCTTTGGGTTGCCCCTTTACCAGCCGCACGCTAACGTCAGGTCGCAGACATATATCGGCCATGTGCTTGTCTCCGTCAACCCGTTTCGAGACCGTAAGTAGCTGTTTGTTCTCAGTAGACTTTCTAATTCTCACATATAATGCTTGCTTAGTTGGGATATATACCGACGAGGTCCTCGATTCGTACCGCGGGAAGAACCGTCTCGAAGTAAAACCGCACGTCTTCGCAGTCGCCGAGTCAGCATACTATAACATGAAAGCATACAAGGAAAACCAATGTGTTATTATCTCAGGAGAATCCGGCGCCGGAAAGACAGAAGCTGCCCGACGGTTGATGCAGTATATCGCAAACGTCTCGGGGGGTTCAGATTCTTCCATTCAAGAAACCAAGGATATGGTTCTGGCAACCAATCCGCTCCTGGAATCGTTTGGAAATGCGAAAACATTGCGCAACAACAACTCATCGCGATTTGGAAAATACTTAGAACTCCAGTTCAATTCGGTTGGAGAACCTGTCGGAGCCGTGATCACAAATTACTTATTAGAGAAGTCCAGAGTGGTGGGCCAGATCACCAACGAGCGCAATTTCCATATCTTCTATCAATTCACGAAGGCTGCCCCCCAGTCATACCGCGGTACGTACCTACCTGTGAGTATATATACATAAGTCAATTGCTAATAAAGTTAAACAGAAGCATTTGGAATTCAGAAACCGGATGCCTACCTATATACCAGCCGCTCAAAGTGCTTTGATGTGCCTAATATAGATGATTCAGCGGATTTTAGAGAGACCGTTGAAGCCATGAAAATCATTGGCTTAAGCCAGGCTGAACAGGACAACATCTTCCGTGTACTAGCTGCTATCCTCTGGCTAGGAAATATGCAGTTTGTTGAGGATGACCAGAGCAATGCCACTATCACCGACCGGTCGGTCATCGACTTTGTTGCCTATTTAATGGAAGTTGATGCGGACCAGGTTCAAAAGGCCCTTACTCACAGAATCGTCGAAACCGCAAGAGGAGCTCGGAGAGGATCTATCTATGAAGTGCCGTTGAACACGGTGCAAGCTATGGCTGTTCGTGATGCCTTGGCAAAGGCCCTCTATTTCAATCTCTTTGACTGGATTGTGCAGCGAGTGAATGCATCCCTGGTTGCGAAAGGAGCCGTTTCAAACTCCATTGGTATCCTGGATATTTATGGATTTGAGATTTTCGAGAAGAACTCGTTCGAGCAGCTCTGCATCAACTATGTCAATGAAAAGCTCCAGCAGATTTTTATTCAATTGACATTGAAGACAGAACAAGAAGAATATGCCCGGGAACAAATTCAATGGACGCCCATCAAATACTTCGATAACAAGGTTGTTTGCTCGTTAATTGAAGATAAGAGACCGCCGGGAATATTTGCTGCGCTTAATGACGCCTGTGCCACTGCACATGCGGATTCGGCGGCAGCAGATCAAACCTTTGTTGGACGATTGAACTTCCTCGGCCAAAATCCAAACTTTGAATCCAGGCAAGGACAGTTTATTGTCAAACATTATGCCGGCGATGTGTCTTATGCCATTGAAGGAATGACAGATAAGAACAAGGATCAACTGCTCAAGGATATATTAAACCTAATCAACTCGAGTGGCAACGGCTTCTTGCATACTCTTTTCCCGGATCAAGTGAACCAGGATGACAAGCGACGCCCTCCAACTGCCGGTGACAAGATCAAGGCCTCTGCAAATGATTTGGTTGCAACGCTGGCCAAAGCACAGCCATCGTATATCCGGACAATCAAACCAAATGACAACAAGTCCCCATCTGAGTACAATGTTGGAAACGTTATGCATCAAATCAAGTATCTTGGTCTACAGGAAAACGTGCGAATAAGACGAGCTGGTTTCGCCTACCGACAGACATTCGACAAGTTTGTTGAACGGTTCTATCTCCTATCTCCCAAAACCTCGTACGCGGGTGACTACACCTGGACCGGTGATGCAGAGTCCGGCTGCCGACAAATCTTAAAGGACACAAGTATCCCCGCTGAAGAGTACCAGATGGGTGTGACCAAGGCTTTCATCAAGACCCCCGAAACGCTTTTCGCTCTTGAACATATGAGAGACCGCTATTGGCATAACATGGCTATCAGGATACAGCGTGCATGGCGCAACTACCTCCGATATCGAACCGAATGTGCCATCCGCATCCAACGCTTCTGGAGACGTGTTACTGGTGGCCTGGAGTTTATCAAGCTACGAGACCAAGGCCACAGAGTACTTAGTGGGAAAAAGGAGCGTCGACGATTCAGTCTTCTTGGCTCAAGGAGATTCCTAGGTGACTATATAGGTGTTGGAAACAAGGGTGGATTCGGGGAGATCGTTAGGGACTCCATCCGCCTTTCGAGTAAGTTCTTTAGATGCGGTCCTCATATGTTTGATATCCACTATTGACACGTATGTTTGTAGGTTCCGAAACGATACTTTTCTCCTGTCGGTGCGAGCTTCTGGTAACGAAATTCGGCCGATCGAGTAAACCTGCACCACGACTTTTAATTCTGGTAAGAATTTCTTCTCGGACAGTTGAGACTTTAAATGGATACTAATAGGGAACATGCGGTAGACTGCTAAAAATGTTTACATTGTTGCTCAAGCAGTTGTGAACAACCAGCTCAACATATCTGCTGAGCGGACCATCTCCCTGGGCGCAATCAAGGCTGTTGGAACATCCAATCTGAAAGATGATTGGTTTTCAATAGTTGTTGGTGCACCCCAGGAACCAGACCCCCTATTGTCCTGTGTGTTCAAGACGGAATTCTTCACCCATCTCACCAACGCCTTGCGCGGACAGATGAACCTCAAGATTGGTGATGTGTATGTTTCACCGGCACTTTTGTCTAATATACTAAAAAAAAATATACATCATGCTAACCTCCGAGCTTAGGATTGACTTCAATAAGAAACCCGGCAAGTTGGCACAGGTCAAAGTGGTCAAGGATCCGGCCGTACCCCGGGACGACGTGTATAAGAGTGGAACCATCCGCACAGCGCCCGGAGAGCCAGCAAACTCGGTCTCCAAGCCAACACCGCGGCCCAAGCAGGTCGCCGGCAAGCCTATCAGCAAAGGCAAACTTCTACGACCCGGCGGTCCAGGGGGCGGCCCGTCCAAGCTCTCGCAGGCAGCGGCCAAGCCCAGGCCACGTCCCGCACCCCAGCAGCTTCCGGGCAGTGGCCAACAGTCAACTCTCGAGTCACGGCCTGTCCCCCAACCTGCTGCCGTTGCTGCTGCTGTGGCAACCTCCAACCATAACCGCGTTAGCTCAACAGCTTCACAATCCCAGTCGCGGCCGCCGCCACCTCCTCCTCCAGCACCCCAAGCAGCTCCACCGCCCAAGAAACCCATGGCCAAAGTGCTGTATGACTTTAACAGTGGGAATACAAATGAGCTGGCAATCCGGCAGGGAGAACTGGTACAGATCATCTCCCGTGAAACAAACGGTATCCCTTCCTTTTTAACATATCCTATTATACAAGTATGAAAGTATACTAATTAGTGTCTAGGTTGGTGGCTATGCATGAACCCGAGCACCGGAGTCCAGGGCTGGACTCCAGAGGCATACATTGAGGAAATCAAGGAGGCAGCTCCACCACCTCCCCCTCCACCGCCCCCCGTAGCAGCCCGGGCTCCAGCTCCGGCTCCAACACCGACGTCTAACGGCGCAGGTGCAGTGCGTGCTAGCGGAACAGCTGCTGCAAAGGCCAAACCAGCTCCGCCCGCACCCCCCGCAAAACGCCCCAACATGCGCAAACAAGTCCAGAACTCCGTGGCCCCGCGGGATAGTGCCGTCAGCATGAACTCGCAGGACTCCTCGGGGGCCAGTGGGCGGGCGACGCCAAACAGTTTGAACAATGCCAGTTTGGCGGGAGGACTTGCAGAGGCCCTACGGCAACGGCAGAGCGCGATGCAAGGGAAGCATAACGATGACGACGACTGGTAGGGGACATGCTTAGACGGTAGTTACTTGCTGGTAATTGTTTTTTTTGTCTATAAACAACTTTTTTGCTTGTGTTTGTGTTTTTACGTCTACGGATATTTGCAGCTGAATATTAGAACGGTTGAGTTGATACTTTTTTTAAAAAAGGGGGTGTTTATTTACTCTTTCACCATCACACTATCTATTGCTTGATCTGTACTACAAGACGGTAGGTAGAAGCCAACGAAGAGAGAAAAAAAGAAAAAGCAATGCCGGGTTAAAAGATCTATAGCTACCGTGACTGGAATTCATCGATCATGGAGATCATAAACAAGTAACGCTGCAAATAAAATGCCACACAGAAACATCCAAGGAAGAATCCAAGGGAGAGAGAAATTAAAGAGAAGAAAAAGGGTGAAGATATTAAGCTAGAGATTAGAAAGTGAAGAAGATGGATGGGATCTACCTGGGAGCAGAGGTCGGGGTGTGGACGGGCGAAGGGGCCTGGAGATGGGATATAGGGGTCGGGGGCGCACTTGTCGTTGGCGTGGCCACTTCTATGGCGATGCTGGGCAAGGTAGACAGCGGCGGCAGACGAGGAGGCTGCTCGGGGGGTCTTCCTTCAGGCTCAGCTGCTTCTCTGTCTCTGTCTGTTTCCTGGGTGACTATGCTGGCTGTTTCATTGGGAGGTGTTGGCTGATACGGAGGTGCATCCCCCCAGCCATTGCCATTGCCATTGCCATTGGCAGTACCAGTAGCAGTACCAGTAGCAGTCCCCGTCTCACTGATAGCATCGTCATACGGCGGTGGAATGGAATTGATGCCCAAATCTGGTCCCGCGGTGCCTAGGGAGGAAACGTCCGAGTGTACAGAGGCCTGCGAGAGCAACGAAGAGGCCGACGTGGTGCGCTGATGCGAGTGGCCCATCATGCCCATGCCCGCCGCAGAGTCCAGCAGGGCCCGCGAGTCCGAGTCCGGCGAGTGAGAGCCAGAAGTAAGCCTCGTCCCGTCGTGTCTGACATGCCCGATATCAGCGTAGGAGACGCTCGACACCCTCCTGCCCCGGTTGCGAGACTGGTGTTCGGCCAGCAGCACGGCGGCAGAGACATTCGCTGCGCTGCCGTTGGGAGATGCACCGCCGTCCGCTGAAGAGACCAGCCGGCCTGCCTCAGCCCTCGCGCGGCTCTCCCTGCGCAGCTCCTCCAGCCGGGCCCAATCGCCTCTCTCGCGGGCCTCTCGACGCTGCTGCCGGAGCTCCTCGCGCTCCGCTATCTCTCGCCGCCGCGCCAGCCGGATCTGATACAGGGACTCCATCTGCTCCTCGCGGTTGGCTTCTTCCTCCTCGGCGGTCTCGGGGAACTCGATGACGACGTCCATGCCGTCTCGCTCGCCTTCACGGGCTATCACGCGCTCGCTGGCCTTGGGGGTGAGGGTGTAGGATGGCAGAGTCATGACGGAGCGGACGGAGGTGTTGCGGTCGACGGCAGCCTGGTGCTGGCCCTGCTGGCCGTCGTCTGCTCCATTAAGGGCTTCATGGGCCAGCCGCCTGTTTGTCCCGTTGGGCACGGCGTTGTAGGATGATGACGATGTGCCCGGAGTCCATCGCTGCCAGAGGCCCTTGAGGTAGCGGCCGGGGATGAATCGGGGCTGGTAGTCGCGGCGGCGGAGGTGACGCAGGACGAAGAACGCGGTGATGAAGGCCACGACGAGCGCGAGGACGATGATGGCGACCTGCAGGCTGTTAGACAGTGTCTCTCGCCGGCTGATTGACTGATGGATAGAAGAGAAGATCGATACGTACGAAGTAGAGGTTGGGCTCGTCGCTGGTGTCGTTGCTGGCTCGCCGCTGGATGTACATCGTGAGATTCGAGACTCTCAGCGGCCGCCTAGCTCTCGTCTCTGCACAGCTCTGTTGTCTCTGTCTCTGTCTCTGTCTCTGTTTCTCTCTTGACTTCTTCTATCCAGTATTCTCTCTGGTTACTCCGGGTTCCTCTGGCTATTCGTGTCGTTGTCTGGATCTCATGGCCGAGTCGCGGATTCACTGTCAGCCGCAGCAGCAACGGCGAGATTAGATTCCAACAGGCCGCAAGTCGCAAGCCCTGCGTCCTCTTTGTTCGTCTTGCTCGGCTGTCAATTAGCTGTTATTATTCTTGCTATCTGCTTATTAGTTGTTTATTCCATGCCTGCTGCGCCCTCCGGCTGGCTTCTGCGTGCCAATCACCAGCGCCGGGACAGGGATGGACAAGGCATCCTCGGCCACTCACAGCGGGCTCTTCTCTGATTTACTCTGGATACTCCGTAGTTACTGCTGATAAGTAACCAGTTAGTTAATGATATGCTGGCGGGCGAGAGGCTTGACCGTCGAGAAGCATCCGCAAGATCGCGGCCGCTGAGCCTGATTCCACATAACCAAGGCGGAAGAGGATCCAGGCTCTCTCTCTCTCTCTCTCTCTCTCTCTCTTCTCTCTCTGCTCCGCCAGCATCGATGGAATCAGACTAGATTCCACAATGCTGATTCCACTACGACTAACGACTTGTTAACGACCAGCCAAAGACCGTCTTATCACTCGGCAAGGCGTCCAGTAACTTCTGCCCAGCGGCTGAGGGCGCCTTGGAGGCCAAAGCAGGCCTTGGTACTGAGTCTTCTTCCTCTCAGCCGCGTCTGATACTGACGATAGACAAGAAAAGGACAAGAAAAGGACGATAAAAGAATGATAATTATTGCTTCGGATGAAAGTGGCCTGCTTCTGCTTTCTCGAAGGCATGTCTTTGCAGCGAAAAGGCCGGTTATGTCTTTCCTTCCAACCGGGACTGATAACACTGGACATATACCCAGAGGCTCATGGACAAAACTTGACAAGACATGGAGAGATAATATTACGACACAAGGGACAGTGTCAGTAAGAGGTATCGCCCTGCTGCCGGTTGGTGGACTCGTCTTTCTGGCCTGGCTGTTTGGTAGACAGACACCAGCCGAGACGAGCAAGACAAATGAGAAAAACAATAGCTATACTCCGTAGCTGGAGCAAAGTGGACAGCGTTGTCCATGGCCTGGGCTCACCCACGCTCAGGTCATGCTGCAGCAAGTGCAAATCGTGAGTAAAGGGGCTAGAACTGGGGTTCACCACTCCTCTCCAGACCGCTGTCCAGGCGATCTGAGGGTGGCCATCAGAGTGGGAATCCGACTGGGGAGCAGCAGAGCCGCGGATGGATCAAGCAGAGTATCCGCAGCCTCGATGTTCACAGGCCAGAGTTCATAGTTACGTAGCAAGGGCCCTGGTGTAGCCTCATATACTGTGTCTATAGTTGTAGCTATCAACAGATCCATACCAACAGCCGGTATTATTGAACCCCAGACCATTAACTAATATCAGCCTGACACGCTGCTGCCACTCGTCTCTGGCTTCTTACTTCTATCCATGCCAATATCTCGGGAGAGCATCATGGACCTTGACAATATACTCGTGTATATATCTATGAAAGCCAACCAGGTCGAGGCCTCAGCCCTGCAGCATCTTTAATGCTCCGTCTGATATAACTATAAGTGTATATATAGCGAATATCTCTGCTATTGGCAGCTTAAATGCCCTTGATATGCCCTGACTCCGGCCTCTGCAACCAGATATAAAACGCCAGCTCGCTTGTGCCACCACATCCCGATGCGCGAAGAAGCACAATACCAGCAAATCAGGCGATGAAAACTGGCGACGCTCGGCAGTCAAATGGCCGTCTATCACTTCGAAGAGATAGATCACTGCGAGGAAGAATCTCTTCGCTGCCTGCTCCTTGGTCGACAGTGACATCCAGCAGCGTCTCACAGGAAGGACAAACAACCAACCTTAAGCACGACATGATGGCCTGCAGCAGACGGCGCGCGAGACATGGCAATCTGCCCTACTCGACTCTGCTCTGCTCTGCTCTGCTCTACTCCCTGCCGTCCCTGTTCAACTATATACGTGTGGATGGCGCTGGCCTGTCAGACCCCCCTCGGCCGGCTTCGAAAGGCATATATTAAAACAGTCCACGTTGACTGGTTACGCTGGCCCGGAACTCCTGGTCAATGTTGATGCCGACTACTAAGTACTTACTTACCTCCTCGATATACCGTTCAAGGACTTCTATCAATCTACCCCATACGAAGAAACGAAGAGCCAGCCAACAGATTCACGGCGTGGCGAGACAGGGGGGGGCAAGCCGTCACCCTCCCCCCTGGGCTGCACCAAATCTTCATCTCCAACCCTGCAACAAAAAGGACATGCTTGTCCAGCAGGTGATGATGATGCTGATGGATGTGCCAGCGGAAGTCCGTCTGGGCTGATCCGCCGATCAAGGATGAGTTCGTTACCGAGTGGCCCGGCCTGGCATCTGCATCTACTTACGACTAGTTATGCATACTTACATATATATGTATGCAACTTCCCCGTACTTGTTGGTACGCCTTTTCGCGCCGATATCACCGAGGAGGACAGGACGCTGCTTGGTTCTGATACCTAGTTAGTGAAGTCGTCTGCAGGCCGATCTTCCAGCGTTTCTTTTGCCGGGCGTTGGACAGGGTTTGCATGTCGTGCGTGATGGCAGATCTGACTTGTTGCATTTTTTATTCAAATCAGAGTCTTCAACCAAGACGACCGCAACTCTCCCTCAGCTCGTATCATGCTTGCTGGCTCGTCCTTTCGCGCTTTTCCTTGGGGCCGGTCCATTGAATAGCGTTTGTCTAATTTCGATGTGGGCAAATTAGACGGGCCCTCCTCATCTGTCCTGGAGACTTTTTGCTAGGGGGCTCCCCTGATCCCATATCCCGGCCTGCTGCTCAATGCAACAGTATAACATGGAAATCAAAAGGCGGTTCACGGCTTTCCTGTCTTGATCACGCCATGATACTGACATTACTGCATATACTCTGTACATAAGTACGCCCTTATGTACTCCGTACGGCCATACGCATTGGCATTGGCCGGCGTATAGCATCCTACTGTACCCTATACTCCGCACCCTGCGAGAAGGCCGCCGCCAACACGGTCAGGATTCCCGAGTTAGTGTGTGTGCAGGCCCCTGCAGCAGTTAATTATAATACTCTGCAGCGAGACTGGGTTCATCACACAGGTCAGTCGGTCGGTCTAAAAAAGGAGCCAGCCACCAGACCAGCAGCAGACTTTGTCCCGTCTGCTCTCTCACTTTCACACTCCCTACTCGCATTCGCATACCCAAGCATCCCTACTTACCTGGACTGGGCCCGGGGGGAGGAGCAGAAAAACTCTATGCAAGAACGAACCAAACAATAGCAGCGCACACAGCATACTAAGACAAGAAAAAGAGGATGCCGTCTCTCGCCTAGACGAACATATCATGCCATGCTGCGAAGCGGACAAGAGCCCGACATGCTGGATAGTCAAGGGGTCCGGGTAGTTAGTCTGGCAAATCACCGCTTGCGGCAGCCCAGCGGCATACTTACTGTAGGATGCCCGGACATCCAGCACAAAAAATAAAAAATAAAAAAAGACCCATGGCTCATGGATGAACCCGATGCCCGCGTCCCGTCAGGCTGGTTCGGGGTGTGGACGTTTCCCATTCAGCGGGTCGGCGTTGGTACGACGTTGCAGGATGGACAGAACGCACTCTGGGAACTGACAACTGGGAACTGGCTGGGCCCGAGATATAATCTATACCGTTAGACGCTTCATACAGACTCGTACAGGAGGGCTGTTCTTCTTATCGTGCAAACGCAAACGCAAACGCATACATAACTTGGGCACGACCGGGCTAATTTTTGATTGTTATGCATGTATGTAGGTGTAGGGGATGACAAGAGGGTGGGAAACCGGGCTTCTTCGTGCACCCCCCTCGTCCTCTTCCTACCCGCTTCTCCCTTTGCTTCTTCCTTTTAGCATTTCAGTCAGCTTACCACTTTGTGTTGACTTTTGATGTGATTTGATTGATGGGTATTTAATATCGGGCAGATCGATATGTGCAGCCAGCCGTAGATCTGCCGCTGAATAAGGCAGGCAAGTAGGTACTCCGTATGCTTGTGCTTATGTAGGTTGTGTGTGTATGTAGGTTGCAAAATGTTAAGTTAACTATCTCTGTGCTTTGCTTTTTTCTTCTTCTTCTGGCCCTTCCGTCCGGCGGTACGGTTCGCTTTCATACTTTTGGGAGGCGGGTTGGGATCGAGTCTGGCGTTTCTGTCCAACGGTAACGCCTTTGAACTCGTTTGATTGTTGGGGGGTGTGTAGTTGGTTTGTGGATTGGTTGATGTGAGTTTGCGGGAGACAGGAATTGGGGGCGTTAGACCTTCAATCAGACGTTGTGCTGCCTATGCAATTCCGCTTTCGTCTTGCTTTTTTATATCTCAGTTCGCATCCCAATTTCATAGAGCGTTTGAGTGTTGGTTGGTTGGTTGGATGGTTGGTAGGGTAAGTTGGTTGACTTGCTGGCTGGCTGGTTGGTTGATTTGATAGTTAAAAAGAGGTACAGTAAGGAAACTCGTCACTAAAAAATGAAAAATAAAATAAAAAAAGTAAAAAATGAATGCAAAAAGAAAGAAAAGAAAATAAAAGTCATGTCATGTCTTGTTCATCATTTCGGCCTCGGGTTGGAATAAAAAGAGCAGAGGAATAAGAAAGGGGACCCGCGGACTGTCTTGTCTCATTATGCATATACACCCGAAAGAGGAAAAGAAAAGAAAACCGCCCGCCGCCCGCTTAGAAAAGGATGAAGGATGAGGAGTAAGTAAGGAAACAAAGAGATAGGAAGGTGTTGTTGGACTGATACTTTAGTTCGTGCGGAGGGAGTCGCACATAAGGAGGGTCGTAGGGGGAGAAAAGGGCTAGAATAATGATGGGGGGAAGAAGGGGAACAAACAAACCCGGCACTTTCAGGTCCCATTGGCTACGGTATCGAGAGACCGCTTGGTAAAGACCAGGGGAACCGTCGGGGCTCCAGCTGTGAAGTAGTCTCTGAATCCGCCCTTGCTATCGTAGAGTTTCTCGGCGCCGGCACGGCTCTCTTTGGGGAAGCTGAAATCGAACAGCCGGACGACCATCGCCAGCAGCATGCGCATCTCCATCATGGCGAGCGGACGGCCGGCACAGGAGTATCTACCTGCCAGGAACGGGTTGAACGCGTCCTTGCGAATGATCAGCTCGGGCTTAGACGACCATCTCTCGGGGATGAAATGATTGGGCTGTACGAAATATCTGCTATCTAGATTGGGTAATTTATATCCATGTTAGCATGCCATTATTCAACCCGGATAACACACCAAGTATCTGTGGGAAGAGAGAGAGAGAGAGAGAAGAGAAGGCAGGGAAACGACCGAGAAAATACGAAAAGGCAAAAATAAGGAGATCGTGATCTGAGGTAAAAATAGAAAAAGAAACGATGTGTTGGAAAACAAATAACAAATGTGCAAAAAAAAAAAAAAAAAAAAAAAAAAAAAGGAACAAGCTAGCAGGGATGGCAGATGGTGATACGTACCGCGATGGAGAGTGTATGTGGGAGTCGAGACGATCGTGTCTCCAGGAATCCATCTGTCCGCGATCATTGCTCCCTGCGGGGGTGTCAGGCGTTGCACTCCGCTGGGGACGGGAGGGTAGAGCCGTAGGCCTTCGTTGATGCACCCTTCGAGGAGGTGACTGGATGCGAGCTTCTGGTGTGAGAATTGGTCGAGGGTGGGTATCAGGAGGTCGACCTCGGCCTGGAGTGCCTTTTTCTGCTCTGGATGGAGTGCCAGGAGGTAGAGGACTGTGGTCAGGTTGAGAGCTGTGGTCTCACTGCCTGCCACGATGGCCAATTCGGCGTCATAAGTCAGGTCTCCATCAGATGTAGCTTCACTGAGATCATTTCCCAGGATGTATGAAAACAGATCAGGCCGTGTAGTTCCCAGCTATATATCCTTAATTAGCAAACTATAGTTACATATTATATATATTTTATTATATTAGGGGGATGTATTGATAGAGCAGGGAGAAGCCTACCTTCATTCGTTCTTGGACCTGGACGCCGCACCAGGAGATCCAGTTTGAGCGTACACGGCTGATTCCGGGCAGCTTTTGGAAGAGAATGAAGAGCCAGGGGACGCCAATGAGCGTTCCCACGACAGGCTTGCTGGACTCCATCATGCCAAAGAGGAAATGAGGGTTGCCGGTGGTCAGCATGTCGAATGGCCGTCCAAAGCTGAGGTCGCCCATGACGTCAAAGCCAAAGTACTTGAACCATTTGCCGATGTCGACCGGCGTCCCGGCCAGTCTGGAGAGCTGCTTGACCAGGTCCAGACAGTGCTGGTACACGCGAGGCTCATACTCGCTCAATGCTAGACGTAGAAACCAGTCAGTCGAGATATTCTCAGTTAGACAGTTGCTCAGATAACTAGTTAGGGGGGGGGTTCAGGGGCACCTTTTGGACTGAAGCCGCGGTCCCAGGTGCGGCGTCTCCGCGAGTGGAACGCCTTGTCTCTGGTCATCTGGAGCGACCTGGACGGGTAATTGAGGTCGTAGAAGGGCCCCTTGAGGCAGACCGAGCCGTAACCATGGATATCTCGCACGGCTGCAGCGTTGTTGACTGAGATTTCGCGCGGTCCTGCAGAGATGTATCAGTATCAACAACCACACACACAACACACAACACACAACCATCCCAAAAAAAAAGCACAATCAATGGGACAGACTGACGGATCCGGACAAAGTCGCCATGCTCAGCGTGAAGGGCCTGAACAGCTTCGTGGAACTTGAACTGTGGCAGGGCGCAGGCGACAGACCAGAAACCCGACAGTTTGGCTGCGACAGGGCCTGGGAACTGCTTGAGCGAATGGAAGCAGAGCCGGTAGATGGATATACTGGCAAACAGCGAGAGTGCGTAGACGGCCGCGAGCACTGCCAGCGCCCACAGCGAGTCGAGCAGCGGCAGACGCTGGACGAGCCAGAAGGCAGCGAGCAAGCCGGCGGCCACGAGGGAGTAGACGGCGGCCACGGCGGGCGTATGGCGCTCCCACTCGCCGCGCAGGAAGAGCTGCCAGTGCGAGAGCAGGCCGGCAGCGGCAGCGAGGCCCAGCACCGTCGTCGTCGGCGTCAGCATGGTCAGCTAGCTGTCTGTCTATCCTGCTGGTCGGTTGCTGGTTGACGTTTGACGGCGATGTCGTTGCTTGACTAGTTAACTAGAGTGAGTGCAGCCAGGCCGAAGAAACTAACTAGATATACAGGACTGACTAGGGGCGGAGGAGGAGTTGACTACTCACTACTAGTTGCGTTGACTACTATTACAACATACGACATTATACGACATAAACTCACTATGAGCTAGTGACTTCGAGTTCACACACTTGACGCCGGCCGGGATTGGGAAAAGAAACAAGTTGCATGCGGTTAAGAGCAGGGAAGCCCGCAGGGAGACGCTGCAGCCAGACATGGCCCCCCTTAGCCACTGCTACAGGACTATAGCAACAACCCCCCGGAGGGCCAGATATAGCCCCCCCAGGAGGACAGGGGACACAAGGAGACGAGTCTTCAGAGTCCTGTCAGACGCTGCTGGCCGGCTCTGGAGTCTCCTTTTCTTCGCCTGGCGAGGTTGCTGCGACAAAGACAGGCAGACAGACGTCTAGACGGACGGACGGACAAGGACGCTGAGACGGCGAAAAGAAGTGGCCAGAACCGGGAGAGAGACAGATAAAAGATACAGGCACAGATAATAACACATCTACGGAGTTATCCAGCGGCGTCTGCGGAGAGTTCCCTGCCTGATGTCTGCTGCCGGGGCGTCTGCTGCGAGTCCTGCTGCATCCCGCGAATCCAACGGCTATACGACGACGCCCTGGCTCGACTGCTTTTCCTTTCCGTGCGCTGCGCCAACATCGACCGCGCCCTCGAGTTTGCCAGCAACAGTGCTTCCTCCAGCTGCAGCAGCTTGTTCTCCGGCGCGAGCACCACCAGAGACTCCCTCCAGTCCGTCTGATTCATCCTCGATGGCGCCCGCTACGACTGCTGATGACCACCACCAGCCCGGACTCGATGGTCCGCGGCCAGCGAAGATGGTCAAGCCGTCGCCAGACGAGTGCGCCGCAGCCGTTGAGCAGCAGCATCAACAGCAACAGCAGCAGCAGCAGCAGCAGCAGCAGCAGCAGCAGCAGAAACATCAGATCTCGTCCTCGCCTGGCTCGCCTGTCCGCCGGCCTGAGCCTGACCAGATGCCGCAGCTGGCGGTGGACGACGAGGAGGACGAGTTCGACGACAGCGACTCGGCCGTGGGCAGCGACAGGTCAGTTCTGTCTCGCTTCTCTTCAAGTTTTGTGCATCAATCGTCTCGTCTAACGGCCGGTGAACAGCGATGAACACTCGCTGCAGAGCTTGACCTCCAGCATTACCAGTTATGTCTACAGAAACGGGCGGCGTTACGCCTCATTCAGAGAGGGACGATACTGTCTACCCAACGATGAAGTCAGTCTCTTTCTACTTCTTTTTTTTTTTTTTTTTTTTTTTTTTTTTTTTTTTCTACTGTTTTTAACATCCCCAGGCCGAGTCGGATCGTCATGACTTTTTGCAGCATATATACGGCATGCTCTTTGGCGGACGCCTCATCATTGCGCCCATATCAGACCAGCCAGAGAGAATACTCGACATTGGCACCGGCACAGGTAAGTCGTCCGTCCTCTTTTCTCCCTCTCTACCTCCAGTCATACTGACAATCGATCAGGCATTTGGGCCCTGGATGTCGCAGAGTTCGTTGCTCCCTTTGCTTTCCCCATGTTGGGGGTTTTTTTCCTCGTACTTACGCTGCAGTCAGTGCATATCCAGCCACACACGTTATCGGCACAGACATCTCGCCCATCCAGCCGACTTGGTCAGTTCGTTGGTTTTTCTTTACCCCATCCTTCCGCTCGTTTTCGTCTTCGTCTTCGCTTTTTTTTCTTTTCTCGTTCGTGCGAACCCTCGTAAAGAGTCTGTCTGACTAACGTTTCGTGCCAGGGTCTCGCCAAACATCTCCTTCGAGATCGATGACGCCGAAAGCGACTGGACATTTAGACAGCGCTTCGATCTCATCCACTTCCAGAACCTCAACGGTGCCATCCGTGACTGGCGTCGTCTGCTCTCGCAAATATACGAGTATGTCAAACAACTTTGCAACCGTTGAACCTAGTTAGCCCTCTGCTTGCTTTTTTTTTCAGTCACGATTTCTTGCTCTTTGTTTCTTTTTTTGGCTTTTCGCATTTGGCTTCCCGCTCCCGTTGCCGCTCCCGCTCAAGCTACCAATCTTTTCGCTTGGTTTGAGTTTTTTGGCTGATCATGGCTGGAAAATAGCAATTTGATGCCAGGCGGATATGTCGAGGCCAAAGAAACTGATGTGTACGCAACTTGCGACGACAACTCCATTCCCGAAGACTGCCATCTTCGCCAGTGGGAGTCCAACTGTATCAAGGCATGCAGTCTCATCGGCCAGACCCTGACAGCCCCAGAGAACGTCAAGAAATGGATGATTGAAGCTGGCTTTGTAGACGTCAAAGAGGAACAGTTTAAACTGCCCATCAACCCCTGGCCAAAGGACCCAGAGCTTAAACTGGCCGGCCGGTACCAGCAAGTTCAGTATTCCGATGCTCTCCAGCCATATGCTCTTGGACTGCTCGTCGAGGTTCTCGGCTGGTCCAGAGAGGAGATGGAACTCTTCCTGGTCGGCTTGAGAAAGGATCTCGCCAACCGTGCATTCCATGGGTATAACATAGTGTATGTCCTAACACTCAGTTTCTTCCCCCATTCTTTTTTATATACCGTTTAGACCATCACTAACATCGCAACAGCCGTGTCATCACCGGCCGAAAACCAGGAATGGGAAAGAGAAAGTTCTCAGATACAGAGTAGTCTTCTTTCTCTTGTGATCCCCTTATTTGTTATGAATAGCATCTTTGCAGCCGTTTCTCCCTCCCTCCTCTTTCGGGGGCCATTTATATACCCTTCTGTTCCTGGATTTCCGCCTGTCTGCCACAATATTCCTCGTTTCGACCCGGGCATAGAATCATCTTGATTTTCATCTTCAAGCAAAGTACCCCTGATCTTTATTTTTGGGAATATCTCTCTCTCTCGTCAATCTCCTCCATCTCTTTTCTTATCCTTTCTTTACTGTTATTTCAGCGATGGCATTGTTGAGTTTGGGTGTCAAAGTTATCCGTCAAAAATCTAGTTGACAGTCGAGAAGACGGGGATCTCCTTTCTCCTGCTGAGCGCGGTGGAACCAGAATGGTATCAACAACAGCCCATGATTATGATAGTGACGATGGAAGATTGATGGTAATACCATGGTATTTCTCTTATTTCTTTCACTCCTCAACGCTGTTTATGTATGATCAAATAGCAAGTCTTTCTCAGTCCCTTTTCCCATAGAATGTCTCGACATATCTATGAGTAGAACAGACCGTCAACAACAGCAAGCAAGACAGTAAAAATAACAGAAATAATCGAATGAAGGGAAAAAACCCTCATCGATCCCCCAGGATCAAGGACGGCGTGAACCTTTTTATACGCCAGTGGCGTCCTCATCTTTCTGCCCGTCCCAGCTCTGCATGCATATCTGCCCTTCTTCCTCACGCCCTCAGCCTCCATCCCTCCGCCACGGATCAGACACATCGAATCCGATTCCCTGGCAGCGGGCACCTTCGCTCGTCTCGATCACGCCAGCAGGTCTCGAGGGCCTCAGATCTCATCACCCTCGGCCTATCGTAGCGCTCTATCAAAGAGTATGTCTGGGATCGGCTTCGTCTAAGGTTTGTACTCTGCCCTGTGGCTTCGACTTTTTTTCGTCGTTTCTTTTTCTCTTATCTTCCCTTCTTTTTTTGCTTATTCCTAGCCCATCAAGCAGAAACAACTCCATGAAGGTACAGAGTAGCGATGGAGGTATAGAGTATGCATCTTGAAGCTTCTCCTCAGTTTGGTATTATATGTTGATATCTCTCTGCCCCAGAGAAAGACGTATGGAGTGTTCTTTGGTTTAAACTGAGCTGATTGGACAGTTTTACTGTACGACTATTGGACATATTATGTTTGCATAATTCCCGACAGACCAATAAAAAGAAGGGAATAGTTACCTTCACGTGAGAGTGCCATGGATGCTTAGTCAGATATAATTCCCGTGAACGCCCCTTACCTTCCAAATATCCCAACGGCTTCAAAGCAATCATCCTCACGGCAATTTATGATACCACGGCATTTAAATCTGAGCAGCCATTCTGAAATTGTGTCGATTAATACCTCAAGGAAAGCAGAGATATTCAGTACTCGCTATCTATCTCCTCTTGGTTTCAAAGCTGGGCGCCTATTTCGGGAGGCGGAAATGAGCGACTTCAATGATATCATGTTTATCGTCGAGAAATACACCGCGAGCATCGGCAAGCATATGTGGATGATTTAACTCAAGGAATGGCGCCTCCTCAACTTCTCTCGAGCATAAAGGAAACTCTTGGCACTGTTTAAATTTGTTATGCACATGCACCTGGGCCTGCAGAAAGAAAATAGAATATTATAGTCCTCGAGTACCCCTTATAAAAGTGCTCGCACAATTTACAGCTGCATCCTTAGCAAACGCCTCAGTCTTCCACCACTTCGACTGCTCAGGTCAGGGAATGACCCTTCTTCAACTACAACCCCGCCATCCACAACAACTACATTATCAGCCAACTCCATCATATCCTTTGCGTGTGTAATTATTATCACTGTCAAACTCCTCCCAGAAGCCATCAGCCTCGCTACCGTTTGTTTTATCACGGTTGCACTCTCAACATCAAGACTAGACGTTGCTTCGTCGAGTATTAGGAGCTGTGGTCTACGAACAAGTGCCCTAGCAATCACTATTCTCTGCGCCTGGCCGCCAGAGACACCAACTCCACCATCTCCAACAAGTGTATCGTATCCTGATGGTAAGGAGGAGATGAAATCGTGGATTCCAGCTGCTGTGGCAGCAGCTTGAATATTGGTAGAGGTATTGAGTGAAGAGTTTTCAGGTAGGCCATAGACAATATTTTCTTTGATAGATGCTGGGAATAGTGTTGGGTCCTGGGGGACGACTGATATCAACGATCGGAGAGTCGGGACATGAATGTTGCGAATGTTCACACCACCGAGTGTAATCGTACCAATATTACCCCCCGACGGTGGAGATGGATAAAGAGCAAGTAATAAAGATGCAATGGTAGATTTCCCAGAGCCAGAAGGCCCAACAATTGCAGTACACGAGCCCTTGGGAATTTTAAGGTTGAAGTTATTCAGGACCTTCTTTCCAGGTCTGTTTGGATAACTGAAATCCACGTCTTTGAAATTGAGAGGCGTTAAGTCGTGGATGCGGAGGTTTCCTTGGCCTTCATGCGATTGATCTTCAGGCATGTTTACTAGATGCAATACCCTGGTCGCAGAGTCTCTAGATGAGCTGATTTGCGGAACTATGCAACAATTAATAAGCGACTAAATATCACAGGGACTTTAATATTGCTTACCCAGGGATAGCACTCCTCTCACGTTTGCCATGCTAAAAAGTAGCATTGAGAAGACCATCAAGACATCCTTGGCTGAATACTGAGAACTGGATACGAGGATAGCCCCATAATAAAATATAAGAGCTACATAGACAATGTCAGTACCATATCAAAAACCGGGTTGGAGTGTGGAAGGTGGACTTACCATAAACAAAAAGAATTGAACACTCTGAGAATCCAAAGAGCAAACCAGAATAGCACCCTCGTTTGATACCAACTGTCAAGGCCTTTCCATTGGATCTATTGTGTTTAGTATGGAAGTATGACTCCAAGGTCAGTGATCGAACTGTGCGAATGTCGAGAAACGTCTCCGTGAACACGCCTGCCATTATCTCGCTCGCTTCATTCGACTTGTTCTCCCAAAAGCCGCTGATCTTTTCGTATAACCTCGTCAACCCATATAAAGGGGGTGCCGTAGCAGCACCAACTAGTGCTAATTTCCAGCACACTGCAACTCCCCAGATAAATCCGATCAGTGTCATAACGGCAGCAACAAACATGAAGCAGGCAAACCGTCCGACGAGGTTTCTCATTTCTTCCGGGTTCCGATCTAAACAGTGAGTCAAGTTGGATAGGCTGTTCTCGTCCCTCTCAAACCAAGGCTTGCACTGTTGTAAGATTCGGCGCATGGCTTTGTAACGGAATTGGTCGACCCAGGCTTGGCCACATCGTTCCAGAAGATAGTGCATGAAGAATGATGCTATCCCACTAACAACAGCTACACCCAATACCGTAAGAGCCCATTGCATTGCCAGTCGAGATCTGTTTTCGACAATAAAGAAAGTGGTTAGTAGCTGTGAGAATACGTAAGAAAAACATGGAGTTGCAGCTGCATGGAAAAAGGCAGCGACAAAGCCGAAAAGTAATGACATTCGGTTTGAAGGTGACAACGATGGTATCACGGTCAAGAGAATCTGTGACATTGAGTAGCTCTTTTGCAATGGCTCGTTATTTGGTTTGAAGGGCGAAGGCGTTTGGTTGTCACGGGTCGCTGGCGGGGGTTGTTCTAAGTCTTTTTCGACTCTTTTGTCATCCAGTGCATCTAACGGCGACTTTCTGAACCTGGGGCTCGTATGGTCAATAAGACGCTCAACCATACTACTTCTCCTTGACTGACTGCTCTGTTCCGCCTCAGAAAATGTCCGCTCGAGAGAAAAGCTGTTATGAAAGAACGGAGAAATAGGAGTGGTTAACGAACGTCGTTCAGTCATTGACCGCTCTATACTGCTGAAGCTTGATCTTCTCCTATTATCTGACATGGGACCTGGAGATTTCACGCTCCAATTAGAGGTAGTTGGCGTGGTGTCTGTTGGCAGAGTCGCAAGATTATTAAGATCGAACACACCAGCTGCCTTCTTCTCAAGGTTATGTTTGTATCCCTGATGAGCTATTTTCCCTTTGTCGATGACATAAACAAAATCCTGAGATCGAATTTGTGAAAGGTCGTGTGTAATTATGATGGTGGTCTTTCCTTGTCGCCACGCGCGGATTGCGTTCATTAGGGAGATCCTACTTGAATAGTCCAGGGCACTGGTAGACTCATCGAGTATCAATATAGGGGTATCCCGCAACCTGGCTCTGGCTAATGCCATCCTCTGCCGCTGCCCTCCACTCAGGGACCTACCGCCCAAGCCAACAACAGTGTCGAGCCCTAATGGAAAGCTAAGGATGGTATCCTGCAGACCTGCAAGTTTTGTGGCTGCAAATATATCCTGAGCAGTGGTTTCTTCAGTATTCCGTGAGCCGAAAGTGATATTTTTCAGCATTGTCTCATTGAAAAGAATGCTTTCTTGCTGAACAAGAGTAATGTTATTGCGAATCCAGCTGATATCTAGAGTCTGGATCGACCTGTCATCAATATGGATTTCACCAAATGTTGGTGCATAGAATCTCATAAGCAAATTTCCGATAGTGCTTTTCCCTGAACCACTTTTGCCAACAACGAAAGTTGTATCGCCCGCTGGGAAGAAGAAAGAGCAATTGTCTAGGACTCTTCTCCCAGGTTGAGATGGGTATGCAAATGTGACCTGAAGAACGAGACCACTGTTAGTAGCTGAATTAACAGCGCAGGATGAGCCAAGACTTGCCTCTGAAAATCGAATATCGCCTTCACAGAACACAGGGGAAAGAGTTGAGCCTCCAAGCTCCCGCAATGTGCATGTATGGCAGGTATCATTGAATATATGCTTAATAGCAGCCGAGGCCGTCCGTCCCTTTTCGAGGATAATCAGTCGAGGAATAATCTCCTCTATTGACTGTGTTGCTTGTAAACAGGCCCAGAAAGTTGTCAACACTTGACCAGCATTCAGACTACCCTTTGCCACGAGATAACTGCCGTACCAGAATCCCTGCACGAACATTCCGAATGTTAGGAAGGAAATTAGGCCAATCTGAGAAGCACTGTAGAGAGCCTCTTTGTAGTACCAATGAGCAGCGATGCCAATTGCAGTTTTGTACTTTTCCGCTTCTGCATCTTGACTGTTGAAGTGTTTCACCACGTCAACGGAAGAAATGGCTGTCGTTGCAATTTTCGACGCCTTGGTGAGTGCTACTTGTTGCCCTTCAATCTTTGGTTGGACCTTTGAGGAGAAAAAGGCAATGATGATGGCACAGAGTGGTACACTAGCAAGACATACAAGTGTCAGACTCCACGACATGTACAGAGCCAGGACCAGAGCGGCAATAGCAGCAGTAAGGTTGTATAGGGTGGCTCCTAGAGGCTGTGACGTGGCTAGCTGGAGATCTCGGATGTAGCTATATGCCGTTAATAGTGCTCTTCCAAAACTCTGAACGAGTTGCGGTATAAACGTACGCTTGAATCCGGGGTAAAATGGCAGGGAGCCCGTCGGTGACTCCATCAAACCATCTCATCTCCTTGTGTAGTAACTCTTCAAATGCCCATCTCCTCGCATTTTTAGCCTGTAGCTCGCCAAAGATAACCCACAAGGAGAAATATGCCCAGTCCAGAAAGCAGACGCCGGACCCGAGGGCCAAAATATATGTACATTCGAGGGAGGTAGTCGATAGCAGCTGGCCAGCAGAGATCGAGTGAGAACCGAAACTTGAAAAGACATTAAACAGCTTGCCCAGTATCCAGGCAAGTAAAGGGACAGCAAGCCCACGGGCTATGCTAAAGGCCAGAGCAAGAACCAAAGGAGCAATATGCCTCTTAGACGTGAAGCGGAAGAGAGATGTCCATCCTGCCCGCAGCCGCTGCTCCTCGACAGGCCCCGAAACCGCCGGTGGCTGCTCGCCTGGACACGAGGTCTGAGGCATCGAGATATCAACTTGCTACGACAGCAATGGTAGTTTTATATTTGAGATGTATCCCGCTGTCTCCCATCTGTATATTCTGTTTTAGCCAGCAATGTCCAGGAGGAAGAGCAAGTCAGTCCATCGTCCTGGGAGGAGGCCGTGGAAGAGCAGCCGTGGCGAGGCAGGCCATCACCTCGTAAATGAGCAGCAGCCATGGCCTCGATATGGATCTAGACACTGGTTCTTTGGTGGTATAATGCCCGGTACAGAGTACTTCGTGACTTTTTCTGGCCCCTTGAGATGCTTTGAATGCGCGCTTCTTTGTGTCCCTTACTAGTCGGATCTTGCTTGCTATTGTTCCTGTGGAGATGCCAGCGCTATTTATCAGAGATGAATAGAGACGAGGCTGTGTTTCTTCATAAAGGCGGAGGAGGACGGAGGCGCGGACAACAACCGCCGTCTGGTCGAGGCTGGGACGGCGTTGTTGGTCGATTGACGTTGTTGGCGATGGCTTGACGTTGGGTGTTTTCTCCTTCGTCGAGACAACACTCGCAACACAGCAACAACAACAACAACAACAACAGAACCACCAGCACTCGCAATAGTTACGACACCAAAAAACCAACAATGAGCGATATATATTCGATTTAGGCTGGCATGGGTGGGCTATCTACGCCGTCTCATATCGCTGCTTTTCGTCGATTGAGAAGACCGTGGAGTCGTTAACTTACAGGGCAAGCCTTCCAACCGGTGGCTAGCAGGGCTTCGCGGACGAAGATAACTACAGGCTTATGGTGGTTTCTATGGCAGAGTGTGAGAGGGTGAGGGTAAAGGAGATCGGCCGTGAAGATACAGCAATCACACCTCGAAGCGGATAAAGCCAGCGATGCTCACAACCAATCTGCGAACAGGCCTCTCGATGGGCGCTCACGCTGTATACCTCGTAATCACCATCGGAAATATCTGCGCAACAGAGAGGAATGAAAGCTATAAGAGCATACTTGACGTCATGAACGAGGCTACGCTGATGGTTGACCTGTCTATGTCGTGGAGTTGAGTGGCAGACAACAACCTGATATCGACCACATCGAGAGTTCGGAATCGCTCGTTGAACTAAACTGCTCTGCAATGTCACGACAACTCATCCTGCATCCAGCGAACTAGCTGTTTGGTTTTACTCACTGGGCCCCCCTGGATCAAAGCAAGATGGAAGTATCCCTAGAGATATCCAGCCACCGTCCTACCATCAGATGAACCATGGCAACAACCCAGTGCTGCTACTCTTACTAGGCTCCTTGAATCTAGTAGTTGAAAGCTCTGCTTCAAGCCAATTATACCCTTTTCAATCATTACCGGTTGTCTGACTACCATTTGCGGGAGATGATCGCACCCTGCAGCTGCAGAGCGCCTCAGGCTCATCACCCACAAAACAGGAACACAACCTATCCTCAGGCACGCTCCATTGACCAAACAGGTTGAACAGCGCCTTAAATAATGATTTCGATCTTCAGTACATATATATGCAAGTGCTATTGGACAAAACATTGGGGATCAGCTGTTTCTTTGCTAGCGGCGCTTCAAGGCTCCTTTGTCTTATAGCATCTTGTGTACGTAGATCTAACGCCCTCAACAGTAGATAAACGCCAGCTTTGTTTGATCTTATCACACATACTAATATTTTTTTTTGTCAGGTGTCTTGCCTTTGATTTTTAACTTGCAATTCACCTCTACTTCTCTTCCTTGGAGTTGTCCATCGGTTATAATTCTCACAGAACCGGTGCCAGTTTTTACCAAAAATACCATGTGGGAACCCGAAAAGAAGTCCCCGAAAAGGCCAGTAGAGCTGCCAGATACCAGTATCGCCATGAAGCCATCAACAATAGGCGACAGAGTGAGGTTCTTCGGGCTTGTTGCTGTTCTATTTTTCTCTATTTTCTTGACATTTCTCGAGCCTGCTATTCTTGCGACACTCGCTCCCCAAATTTCAAGCAACTTCAACGATACTGAGCATGCTGGATGGTATAGCTATGCCTACATTTTGACATTTGCCAGCCTTCAACCCAGCTGGGGTAAAATTTACCGCTGCTTCTCTTTAAAACCTGCATTCTTGATCTCCCTTCTTATTCTCGGACTGGGTTCGATTATCTGCGGAGCTGCAGCTACATCAAAGACATTCATTGCTGGCCGTGCAATTTCCGGAATAGCTGGAGGAGGGCTCATAACCGGTGCTTATACCACTGTTGGGCACACTATAAAAAATGGACGCCGGCGTCCGCTATATATCGGTATCCTTGGTGCAGCATATGGTACATCTAATATTGCTGGTGCATATATTGGGACGCTCTTCCTTGGCTCCGTGTCCTATAGGTGGATATTTTATACCAACACCGCTATCGGAAGCCTCTGTTTTATTGCTCTATTATTTTGTTTCGCCATAGTGCCAACGGTTATCCCACTGCCAGCATCACGGAAGGAAATGTTTCTCCTGCTTGACCTTCCGGGGCTTGTGACTATATGGCCTGCGATGGTCTGCTATGTCATCTCGATGCAATCAAAGAAAACCACAGATTCGTGGAGCGACACAATAACTACCGTCACCCGTTTCGCATTCGGAGTTCTCTTGGTCATTTTTTTCCTTTCCCAGTGGTGGAGTGGGAAGTATGCGAACATCAAGCTTCGACTTTTTGCTACCCGGGATACAGCTGCATGTACTGCTTTTACATTCTTTCTCGCAGGGGCTCTGGCCGCTCATCTATATATCTTGCCGACATACGCACAGGCCCTTGATGAAGCGTCGGTACCTGAGTCACGGATCCGTATGATGCCGTTAATGATTGCCATATCGTCTTCTTCAATACTTTCTGGCTACCTAATCGGCAAATTTGGGTACTATACCCCAATGCTGGTCATTGGAGGAATTTTCACAATCATAGGTACCGGTCTCCTCTACACTCTAGACGCAGCAACGACACCGTACAAATGCGCAACATTCCAAGTTATCACCGGAATCGGGATTGGTGCCGCCTGCCAGGTACCTATCATTGTGAACATGAGTTTGGTTGAAATTGAAGATCTTCCAATTATTATCACCGCAACATTCTTTCTACAGTCTCTTGGAGGTTTCTTTCTCAACCAAGCATCCCAGGCTGCATTCATTGGTAAAATACGAAAACTCACAGCTACGAGCACTGATCCCAAGGTAGTGACAGTCATTCAGCTTTCTACCACTTCTTTACGTGATGAATTTACAGGTGAAAGTTTGAAACTGGTGCTGAACGCATATCATGGGGGAATCGAGATAGTTTCTATAATCGGGATAATTGCTGCTAGCATGGCCCTGATCCTTTCAATTTCTCCTCAGTGGAAAAAGCTGAGTGAAGGCAATTGAACATGCCTTTTTCATATGTTGAAAACGAGTCATGACCTCGCTACGTTTTATGAAACGGACTTACGAAATATTCAGTAATATGATAATCAATTTCTCAAAAAAGTATCTAACCTCGACACTATTGTGCATTAATATAATATTCATTCCCATTTTATGTTTCCCAAAGTAGATCTTCCCGGACCCGTGCCTGATTAAATTTACTGTCTTCGCCTGCATAATACTTCAGACTCTGGATTGATAAGAAGAGCAGAAATAAGAGTAAAATTTTTCGGTCGTCCTTGTCCGTCTGGGAAAGCCCAATCGTAATTCATTATCAAATGAGCAAGGAGAATTTTGGTTTCGTTAATAGCAAAGAATCTACCAGGACAAGCATGTGTTCCCAGGCCGAACGAGAGACTCTCAAGTCCAATGGAAGTGGCCTAGAATGTGTTAGAGAGTTTATTATTATGAGGTACTAAAACCATCTATACGTACTTGGTACTTGTGGTCATTTCCATCAGCAGCCCGTAGCCTTGCGAATCTGCAGGATTGAAAGTGTAAGCATTAACTGGTTAATGTGAGGCTATTCGGAAGCATGCCACGTACCTGAATCCATCAAATTTCTCAGGGTTCTCCCATAGCTGAGTATCATAATTTATCTGGAAAGAATCGAACCCAAGTATAGACCCTGCTGGTAGAACCGTACCATCAGATAGCTTTGTAGTGACTAACACTTTGCGTTCCATGCCAACTAAATGGGTGAATAGCTGTTAACTTCCACCTCCTGTAGATTAAAGAGGCCAGAAAGAGGTATTACCGAATGACGATGGGTTTAACCGTTGAGTCTCTCTAAGGAAGGAGTCCAGCTTGCGGAGCTTCTGCATGGCAGCCTTAGAAGTGAGACCCCCCTCTTCTGCTAAAACCGTCTCAATCTCTTCCCTCAAAGGGGCCACGTGTTCTGGTGCCGCAGCAAGATGGAATAATGCATGGCAGGCATTCATGGAGGTTGTATGCATTGATGTAAAAGCGGCCATGAGTTGGTTTGTGGCCTGAAAATCCAAGGACATTCCTTTTTGCGGGTTGATATTAATGAAGGATTGGATCATATCCCTTGGAGGCTTATATGCAGGGTCCTTGAGCTTTTCAATGCGTTCTTCAAGGATCGGTTTAAGCAGCCTGTTTCGTTATATATGCGATTAGTTACCTTACCGTACCAGTAGGTATGCCGTCACCAACCTTTTAACGGTAGCATAATGCCGTCGCACAGCCCATAGCTGCGGAAGAAACATATTCAAAAGCGGGTGGATTATGCTTGGAGTCATATGCAGAATCATACCAGCTTTGAATGCATCTTCAGTATATTTCAATATACATCCCAGCTTGATACCTATTGTCAGCACCTTCCAAAGCATGAATACATGGGAGCCTTACCCATTCTTCGTTATGACAAAGTGGCAGACCAACCAACACACGGCTAGTCATAGAAGACACCATGTCAAGCAGCGTAGGCAACAGTTTCACCGGTGCATAGTCTGAGTTTCAGTGTTATAAAAGCATGCCTTGGGAGTATACAGAAATGGTACCTAACTTACCATTCCCACAAAATCCAAGCTTGGTTTTAACGACTGAGATAGCTTCTTCCTGGAGCAGCTCGTGGGCATGCACTATGTTTTGAGTCAGATCACGCCGCAGAGCAGTCACCAAGCTATGATCGTGGGTTGCGATCATAGTATACTCTCCAGCCATTGCGTCTTTAACAAGAGCCTTGAAGCTCATCTGGCTCTCGGGAAACCGCTTAATCTCATCCAAGTATTTACGAGGTAGAATTATCATCTGCTTTGCCGGGACTTGGATTTCATAAGGCTGGTCTGGATACTGTGAACTTTCATGTCAGAACTATCTGATTTTTACTTAGAATAATAGCATTTGTTCAAAGGGCATGATGTGGTCAATACCAGCTTGGATCCTTCGATAATACCTGGTTCCATGTCATTTGATTTTAGCTTGATAACTGGGAAGCCAGTAGCTGGCACCTTTCGGGTACCAGTAGCACCTTTCAAACATATCCAAAGGACTCCGAGGAGAAGTAGAACAACCAGCCAGAGATGGGTGGTTGGATATGCCTCTAACAACCCGGCCATGACTATTGATTCGAAGTTATTCGACTGATTCTCTTAGCTGTCTTGTTGCTGTGCCCTGTCCGGCAGGCTTGGAGCCTTATATAGCAAACTGCGAAGGGCCAGTTCTGTGGGTACATCATCGGCTGTGAAAGGTCAGGCCGAATGGCACAGTCCTGACTGGTCGGCTGCTAGGATCCCTTGCATTTTGGCCCCTTTCTTTCTCCGTATTATAGAATCGACGTACGCTGTTCCTCGCGCACAAAATCTGTCCTTTCATTCGTTGGCGCCTCCCTTACTTTGCAAAACAGGTATAACAGCCCGCCCAAGCGGCCTTTGCAGCAGATCAAGCGGCAACATCTTCCACCCATCCATCTGTATGTATCACCACAGCCCCCTCTCAGCCAAAGCGTCTGGGTTTCAGCCTTGCATGTCGCTCTCCCTCATCCCAGTCAAGCAGCAGAGACATGGACTTTCGGCTGCAAATCAACGTCAACATCAAGAACTTTGCTTTCTCCACATTTAAAATCCTTCAAATAAACTTTATGCAAACCTTAAAACTTTGTTACATAAACATTAATATCACATGATTGAAATTTTATCACGTGATTATAAATCTTGGAACCTAAGAGGGAAAGAGAGAGAAAAACAACCCGCGGCTTCTTCGATCCATCCAAGTATCAAATATCAAATATCAAAAGGACGCCGTCAACTTCTTCTCGTCTCCCGTCTTTGATTCCATGGCAGATGCGCAGTTCTCCGGCAACTGAGAGTATAAGGTGTGCAGGAAGGCAGCCATATATACGGGGTACGGCTGGTGACATTCATTCAAACCTGTTCTGATTCCTGCGTTGTCTGCCATCCTGACGGGGATCAATTTGATATATCGTTGGTGGACAGATGGAACCCCACATCGGCATCCAAACCTATGACTTTTCCTTAACTCTTGGATATTAAAGAAATTATCTTGACGCTGTTTATCGGACTCGATATGTCAAACTCGATTTTGAACACCATCTATTTGATGTTCAACTCTAGTGACCTGGGATGCCTTATCACTGAACCTACAGCTTCTTCGTCATCTAATGAACGCCGCTATCTTGAAGCCAAATCTTCTTAACAAAATATACTAATACCCCAATCTAATTCTTGATAAATTGATTTTCCAAGGGTTAATTTTCTAAGGGAGATATATTGAAAGTTCTATCACTTTACTCTATGAGTAGTACTGCTTCACGGAGCGTTGACAGCTCCTGGCCCAGTGCAATGCGCTAGATTAGATTTGAACATTCAGGTTCATAACACAACCATTTCTACAGCAACCTTTTCTTCCCAAGTTCCCCATTGCTGCCATAATCAGGATATCTGTCACACAATAACAATTTGCTTCACCAAAAACTTTGCATAACTCTTTCAGACATACACGAGATACCATACCTGTTGTCAAGGTTATTAGGTCCAGGAGGAAGAGGAAATATTGGGCCTCGCTGGACTGCTCCAACAAACGGACTGCGCTGAGAACGGTTATGCGTGAGGTATCGTGAAAATAATCAGGTTTCTGAAAACACTGACGTTCTAACCCATCCTTGTGATGTCTAGTACCGTATGTACAACAAAAGAGCATTTCACTATTACAAACTCTTCGGCTGTCGTCTGGATCGTCAGGCCGTATTTCCAGAACTGCAAGGCCTTCCTGCTCAGAGGGTCTTTCTGTCTTCCCAACTGCGAGTGGTTGATATCAAACCCCGGTCGCGAATACTGTGTGGAAGGCGAGGACCGCATCTCCCTCTGTCGAAGACTGCGGTGGTCGTCATAGAAAATCAACCAGCAATAACATGTCTCCCCAACATGCCGGGAGGTCAAGACCAGTGCCTCGTTTCATAGCCGAAATCTCTGCACTGGGCCAGCCCGCCCTTTATAGGTGGAAACCCCTTGGCTAATTTTTCCATGTATGAACAAAGAACAGAATATAAGTTAGGCTGCGGGGGTAACTAACTAGAACATGGCGCTGAAGAAAGAAAAGGGCCCGCTGTGCCGTGCTAGCAACTGTGACTAGGGCATTAGACTGGCCGAACACAATAATGAAAGTTGATAGAAGACTCTTCTTGGATGTTCTTTAGCGGCCCTGGAGGACTCTTGCTGTATCTACTACTGTCGATGGACCGAAACATGCTGCATGCACGATGATGCAACATTATTTTCCAGCTTCCAGTAACCGTTCTAGTTAATCCTCACGCCCTAGAATATCAATACTTGTCCGTCTGCCCTCGCCTATCGGTCTCTAGGCTGCGGTACGTAAAGGGGAGGGTTATATATGGCCCAGGCCTGCCTTAACAGCTAAAAGTAAACCTTTTTTAACTAGTTAAGCGTCATGGCCCACTGCAACTAGTTAAAGCCTCTTTATCCCCAGATTAACCAGATAATAATTCTGATAAATTAATATTGATTGCTTTCCCTAGAAAGCGCTCCGGGCTCTCGAGGCGTAGCGAGGAAGAAGAGAGACCCAAGAAGTGTGCCAACCGCCCCGCCGCCGCCGCCGCTGCCCTTTGTACCCGTGCCTGCACTAGTTAGTTAGCTGGTTAGAACAACGAACTAGCTAGCCAGCAACCAGCGACTTGACCAAGTATTTCAACTATTTAAGAACCATCCAGGGGCGCCCGTCTGACACGTATATCGAAAATATCCTAAGACGAGAAGAGGACGAAAGCGACGCCCTGTTGTTTGTCGGCCTGCCCCATTTGCGCCTGTCTCGATCAAAACATCATGGACACTCTAGAACTTCAAGGCGAAGGTATGGCCGCAGCCCCTAACTATCTCCCGCGCATTCGCTAATCGACGATATCGCAAATATCAGAGAAGTTAATCGAAGTCAGCCACCTGCTCAAGACCCTTCGGTCAGACTTGGACCAGAAGTCCCTTCAGACGTCCCGTATGCGCCGCCACAAAACGCCCTCTTCATGCACTGACCGTCATAATAACGTGCCGTTTTAAATAATAGAGCTGATCGAGACCCTACAAAAACTTCGAGTCCACGGTCGAAAGCTGGAAAATGCAGACCCCATATACGAAAAGGAGGTATGGAAGCGGACAGTTTTGTATGCGCAACGTCACGGTTTTAACGGACTGTGTTTGTAGGGTATAGCGACCCTGTCTACGTACGGGTTCGACGAACCAGATGCGATCATATACCGGGAAGCCTTACGATGTCTAGCGAATGCGCTGCTGCTCGAGAAGGCCACACGCCAACGGTTTGTCGACCTAGGAAATGGAAGGAAAGCGGCAGAGAAGCTGAAGGTACGTGCTTTGGTTTCCGACACAAGCGGTATTACGTCGTTTAACTTGGAGGGTACAAACAGGAAGAGAACTCGGACGATGAATTTTTATGCTCACGACTACTATTCCTAACGACTTACGATTCAGATCTGGATTTTGATAAGTTGTTCAGCGAGTGTTCTCTGGGAGAGAGTATCAATAATGTATGACACCGACACCGATCTGTTACTTCTCTGAAAGACTAACACCAGTACAGCATATATATCGACATTCCAAGCAGTTCTCCAAGGGCAAAAAGAAGAAACTTACTCCCATCGATGAACTTGCTCTCTCAGAGACCCTCAAACTGATGTTTAATATTACAAACTACTATCCTCATCAAGTTGCAGCATTCTCGCCGTCAATACCCCACATACTCAAAATCTTAAGTCGCATTGAGATACCAACTCCACCGCTGCAGGCTCCAGTCAACTATCTGGTCAACTCATTGCTGAATTTAGATCTCGCGGCGGAGAAAAGCAAGCCATTCAGCACTAATCCACTCTTCCCAAAATTTGACCAGAACTGCAATGTGGATAAACTGATTAATATCCTTGACCAGGCGGTAGCCATGCATAAGCCATCTGATCTAGAGACTCTCGCAGTTCCACTACTCACTCTCCTGAGGAAAATATACTCATTCGCCCCGGAAGGCCCGAGAAAATACATGGAATGGCTTTTGCTTCCTGAAGATAACGATCGTGATCTACCTATAGGGCAATCCAATACACTCTCATCCCGCTTACTACGGCTGTCAACATCTCCCGTAGCGCCTAGCCTGCGAGACGGCATTTCGGCACTCATGTTCGAGTTATCCGGAAGCAATGCCAGTGAATTTGTGAGGAATGTAGGGTACGGTTTTGCTGCCGGCTTCCTCATGTCCCATGATATGGCTATCCCTGAAAGTGCAAAGGAAGCCTACAGCTCAAAGGGTAACAAGGAATTTAATTCGGCCATTAATCCGATTACTGGTCAACGTTTCGATGCTGAGCCTGTGGACAATGGACCCGAGATGACTGAGGAAGAGAAGGAGCGAGAAGCTGAGAGACTCTTTGTGCTTTTTGAGAGGTACTGTCTCCTAGATTCCAACACTCTTTGACTATAGCACCATTTAATTATGGAACGTTTGGGATTTTCATTGCTAACTATCCTACCTTCTTACAGGCTACGTGCTACAGGAGTTGTTAATGTTGAAAATCCCGTTCGAACGGCCGTGGAGCAAGGTCGAATCGAAGAACTCGATTAATTCTTTTTGCATAAATGTACTGTTTTATATACCTCCTATCCATCTCGGTGGTTTAGCATAAGTAGTCTGTTTGCAACATCTAATATGAATACAAAATATCGGTACAATCCCCCGAAGGTAAATGGAACTAAAAGATATTCCTAACCTCCCCCTACCTCCTTTTTATATACTCTCTTCTCGTCCCTTTGTCTTCTTTGCAACAAAGAAATGCCAGCGAAACTAAATAAAATGACGTAATCATACATTGCCGCTAGTGAGGCTTGGCAAATATTACATAATAATCTTATCGGGACGTCGGTGTCCTAATAATCCGATATCGATTATTTTTGGCGCGCCAGTCGTAGTGGTTAGAACAACCTGATGCACATTCAAGATCCAAACCTCACAGGCTTATTACGAGGCTAAGGCTTATACGATCCTCATATCCAAGCCATTCCGCTTCATTTATATACCTATCTTTCTTATCCTTCGCGGCCTGAGCCTTTGTCTTAGTCGTGTAGCTCAACTTTCACCCCTCCTTCACCCCGCCTCTATTCATACAAATTTAATAAAGGCGCATCTATTTCAAAATGGCTTCAGGCTTGGGTTCGTTCGACCCGGAGACGGCTCAGAATTTGGAAGACGTAAGCAGTTTTACTTCCGCTTCTAGTATTGCAGTGCAAGGAAATTAACAAAAACTCCAGATGGAAAAGCAATTTGCGGTTAAAGGTTTGGCTTCTACGCTTCTCACACTCCGCGAGGTAAACATCTTACTCACCTCCTACGTTGCCTACAGCCGTGCAGCAAATGTCAACATATTGGGCCATTCTCGAGCGAGCACCAGGATCAAAGCTTCGACTCACAAAGTTGGATGATGAGATATATGAGAGCTTCAAGACCGAGTTTCCTGACTTCGACCCTGCCGCGACAATTGATGAGGATGAAATGAAGAGCAAGGCTGGCAAGGAAAAATGGCGAAACTGGATGAAGCAGTATGAAGAGAAAGTTGCTGATTACAACTTTGGTACTCTCTTGAGAGCAAACCCGAAATTTGAGTACGGAGAAAAAGAGACTATTTTCGGTAAGGAATGCAAAAAACCTGAAGCATTGTGTGGTATTGGGGGAAAACTATACAGGGATAACGCAGGAAACGTTCAACGCTAACATACGGTTGTGCATATAGTTGTCCGTATGCAGTTTTATGCCATTGAGATCGCAAGGTTTGTCATTTCCCAAGAACATGAAGTGATGGCAGAAACCAACTTAATTTTGTGAAAAATAGAAACCGTGCTGGTCTAAACGACTGGGTATATGAACAGGCACAGAAAGAGAGGTTCCGCTCATAAAGTGTTTCTCTAGGTTCGTAACACCGTTTTCCCAGTTCATAGAAAAAAAAACACCCTTAGCCGCTGCCACTGGGATTTTACGATAATTGGCCTCCGCCAATGGGATCAATACCCAGCCGCCATGCCCTTTCACCCGCTTCAAGGCTGTAAGACGTCTCCACTGACATGGAGGCTCGAGTTACAATGCAAAGGAGCCGAGGTATGCTCTCCACTATTTAGAGAGAGCATTTGGTTACTTGGACTGCATTACTGCATAAAATTTGTGCAACTTGAAGGTAGAGTTGCTATTTTGTGTGAAATAAAAGCTTATGAAAAAAATGAATAAATTGACAATATTACAGTCAAGAATAATTCTGACTTTAGGCCCATGGGAATAAACTGTATATATATACAACCAAGAAGTGAAATCAGACGCTATACACAAAATCCAACAGTTCGGTATAATGTGATTTAACTTGCTATGGGTAAAACTGAATTTGGAGAACACAACGACATGATATCATTCAATGAGGGAGTTGGCCCATGAGTAGTTTATGTAGCAAGCTCTGCAGGTTGACTTTGAGAGGCGGGAGCAGACGTTCCATTTTCTCCATTGGAATCTCCATTCCTCTGGAAAGAAGGAGGAATAACGTATTTAGAGCTCTTCCAGGGTTTGACGTGCAAATGGTACATCAAATCGATTTCCTCGAGAGTCCGTCCTGCACCTTCAATGACGCCAAAGTAGACCAGAGCGGCAGCAATTATCAGGCAGCCAGCGAACACAAAGCCGTACAAGAAATCGATGTCGCCAACAATAAAGGGCGTGAAGAACGCCAGAAGGAAGTTCCATAGCCAGTTCGATGCGGTTGCCATTGCCATTGCGGTAGCACGATATCGAGATGGGTATAATTCGGCGATGATAGCCCATACCATTGGTCCCCATGTGCATGCAAATCCAACAATGAATAGGCATGAGAAGGCAACCATCACTTTACCAGCTCCGGGAGTTAATGCTGGCTCATCACGATTAAGTACGAAGTGGCCGACAGAGGCATATATGATGAAGCAGACGAACATCCAGAGAGCTCCACCAATGAGAGACTTACGTCTTCCGAAATGCTCGATGTTGTAGAGTCCTATAAAGGTAGCGACGAAATTTACAGCTCCTAGAATCATCTGGGTGACGTAGCTGTTGCTCAGACCAGCACCTCGGAAGACAAAAGTTCCATAATAGAAGAAGTAGTTTGCACCCGTCAGCTGCTGGAAAGCTTGTAGTGTTATTCCAAGAAGCAATCTGGAGCGCATAGTTGGCGCAAAGAATATCTGATACCATGGTTGGTCCTTGGTAAGTTGGTCTTCTTCATGCTGACGCTTGATTTCATTGAACTCTTCATGTAGTTTTTCGTGGTTCTCTGGAACTCCGTTGAGCTTCATCATTGTTCGCTTGGCCTTTTCAATTCGGTTGTGTCGATAGTCATATCGGGGTGTCTCAGGGAAGAAGATTATGCCGAATCCTAGGATAGCTGCCCAGATGAAAGTGACTCCCATCGGGATTCGCCAGGAACTAGAGTCCGGACGAGCTTCTGTTCCGTAGTTAATGCAATTGGCAATGAAAATGCCGAGTGTGATGAATAGTTGGTAGGTACTGGTAGTTAATGGACATGTTAGCTTGTGATAATTTGCAGAGACATATAGGGAAACAGCATACCTGACTAGAGCACCGCGGATATGCCTAGGAGCACTCTCTCCCTGATATAAAGGGACAAGTAGAGAGAGAGACCCGACTCCTAGGCCGGTAACCCACCGTCCAATAGCTACTTGGTACCATCTTGGTTCTTCCGAAGTAATTTGGACAATGATACCAGCTGAAAGGATTCCGCACCAGAAAGATATTGACCACTTCCGTCCAACCCTGTCGGCCAAGGGACCGGCTATCAGGGCACCTATCAACGTTCCAACCGAGAGCTGTCATCATGAAATTGCTGATTAGCCTCCGAAAGAGCAAGAAGCAAGAGAGATCAATCTTTGCTCCAATGGATGCATAAGTACATGAGAATTGGGGTATTCTTACCAACGCCACAATCAATCCAGCACGAACATTGGAGAACATGTAGTCCTTGCGACTAGGTTCGCCAAATCGCCTCTTGAAATCTTCCATCTCCAGAATACCTGAGATCTGTCCAGTGTCATAACCGAAGAGGAACCCTCCCATTGACACAAAAACCCCCATCACCGCGGACCGCCATGTTAATCGAGGAATCGGCGTAGTCACCATACCAGCAGGGTAGCTAGCCATCTCTACCTCAGTTGCTGCAGCAGCAGGAGGAGCGCCTGCGGCCTCCTTTGACGGGGGGGCCTTGCTCTTGAACATCTTGTCCATATGTTTCGGTCCTCTCAAAAGCACCAGTGAGCAATGGAGAAGGGAGAGTGAAAAATTCCGATCTTGTGGGAAAAAAAACCCGGGCGTAAAACAGGTTATAAACTTCAGGCAATGGAATTATTTTGGAGCCCAAGCCCCCATATAATAAAAAGGCAACATGGAACCATGGTTTGGCCCCAGAGAGTCCCCAGGGCGGGAACCCAATGGCGCAGCAGGGGAAGATTCCACAGCCCTCCGCTGCATGCTAGGCAGGCAGAGAGGATTGAGTGGCAGCCGAGTGCTAATCATTGACCTTTTCATCCGAATTTGCTGGGATGATCGGTTCAGCCCAAAGATCCACAGGCTATCGATTCACATGAGCACCATCGTTGGTCATCCCCGTCTCGTCTGGGGGCTTCAATGACAGGTAATAACGGGCAACTGGTGGCGTGCACTGTGCTAAAGAGCAGTGACATGAAGTCAATCTTGTACTCCGCATGTAACTCTCAGCATCAGACATGATTTGACAGGCTTCGGCATTTCCTGGGGACAAGTGTTTCGCCTCTGACGGGTGTTTCGGGCGAGCCAGAGAAGCGCAGCTGTGACGTCATAGGTGGCCCTGTTTATATACCGGCAAACCCGGAGGGACGGGTCCGTCGTAGTTCGGAGATGGGGATATGTGTGATCGTGTCATCAAGTGTCGGATAGCCGTGCTGTCGTGACGCTGCTGGGCCAGTTGGGTTTTCGTAGTGACGGTGACGACCTTGGTGTCTCCGATTTCACCAGGATAGCTAACTGACACTTGGATCCATTAGTTAACTAGTTATTACGGGAAAATAATGAATAACATACCTCTATCTCTCAACGGCTATATCAGTCAATTGCTATGCTCACAGCTGCGACATAGGTATTACCACCAGAGATGTCAAGCTGGCTTCCTGTACGGCGTATTACCAAGGACTGAAGAGACACTAGACAACCGGTCATGTCCATCCGGTTGGTGAGCTTGACAACACTCAGAATCGCGAGAACACTGTGGGCTGATAAATATACCCTCTCTTATGATATCACGGTTATCATACCAGTGTACCGCTGGCATCTTGCCTTTTGTTTGTGGCAGGCTCCCCAGAGATCTCATACTTGGACGTGAAAATTTTCATCTCTTCCCGTCAGGGCCGGCGGGCCTTCAGGACTCCGAGTCGAGGCATGCTTTGACCTTTTCATATTATTGCTGATCTTCCGTGAGAAGACACAGATTGCAGAACAGTGGGTGGTTGAGTCCACTAACTAGTTAGCTATTTGCTGTCTAGCTCTGTTTATATTTAGCACTCTGAAAGGGTGTCGGTTTCACATTGCGAGCTAGAGCGGAACCTCGACCGTCTCCCGGGCATTTGAACCAGTCTGACTGGTTTGACTGCTATGGATGCTTGTCTTTCAAGGCTTATTTGTTAACATGGGCTCCATATTCCGTTGAGGCTGAAGGTCGTCCATGCGATCTGCTGCCCAAGTGAGCCGGATACAGCAAATGGTAGCTGCGTGCCCCTGACCGAAAGTGCCGTTTTCTCCAGTTCTCCCGTCGTATTCAGAGATTACTCGTATTTATTTGCGGAACGGATGTGCTGCTTCTCCGTTCCCCTTTATGTGGACGATGGGGAGATGTCGAATATTTAAAAGGCCAGAGAGAATGCCGTCTGGGGGAGTTTTTTTGCGACAGGTTCGATCCCTTTGAAGCAGGCATCAAAAGGTGAGAAGCACTTCAACCCCGGAGGAAAAGAGCGCCATTCTTACCGTCTGACAGTTCGCAAATAAAATATCCAAAGCCGGAACAAGTGTTTGTCTCCAGTGTTCAATTGAAACCCATCAGGTGAGAAGATGATGTGAGCCCCTTTTGCTTGAGGAGCAGCCGTCTAACTGCCAGCCAGAACCCCATAATCATTAATCGATAATACCAAAACTCCCTCCAGCAAGATGAAGTTCTCCGCCATTGTTCTCCTTGCTCTCCCCCTTCAGGTCCTTGCTGGAACCTGCTACTTCTGCGAAAACACTCCCCATGTCGGAGCCGTTAGGCCTACGTACGACTGCGGCAAGAAATGCCACAAGAAGCACTACAATACCGATCTGTCCACTTACCACTGCTGGATGGATGGTAGAAACCCAACCTGCTTCAAGAACTGCTGCAGGAGAGCTGGAAGACAAGTCGGAACCATCGATGGCTTGTAAATGGGGGTGATTTTGTACATAATTTATGCACACGTTAATATTTAATCAAAACGTCCCTTGGTGTCAGCTTGCCGCCGAACCGGTCAGCCTTCATAAGACTTGTTTATGCTGTGTTTATGCAATAGTACTTAGTACTGTAGGGAGTATACCTGTGCATAGCTCACAATCATGAACACAAGTTCGCTGTCTGATATTCGACCGAAATTCTACACTGCACAAAAATGGGTATCGGGCATGCAAGGTCCCCAAGGCGATCTTCAGGCGTATTTTCGAGAATTGAGTCTGCTGCAAGGGGATCCTGCTTGTACTTCTATTCATGTCCGTTCCGCGAGTCAGTCTGTGCCTCTGGCCAAGAGAGAGAGAGAGAGAGAGAGAGAGAGAGAGAGCAAAACAGCAGCTTCGTGCATCCTGCAGCACACTGTGACGTTACCATGACTCTCATCAGCTCAACACCGACTAACCACGAAGAAAACAAACTTGTCGGGCGAGATTCGGCGGGTTCTTGCATGTTGGAAAGCTCCATAGTTCCCCATGACTCTCCTCTGGTCCAAACCTCCCAGCTTGTCTCTTAACTTGCAGGGAGAGGCATCCCGAGATGCAGACGGAGAGCAAGCTAGCAATACTACCGTCGTAGCTTCGTGCATCCGTCCTCACTCTTTTGATGTCACTTTGCGGCCGCGGTTGACCTTGAGCAATTCCACGTCCAAGATGCAAGTTGAAGCCTGACGATCTGCCGAGGGTATTTGATAATACTAACTCGACGATAGTCAGATACTCCGTAGAAGGAAGGCATTTTAAGAAGATGGCTGGCAGGGATCTTAAATGGCTCGGTCTCGCTTCCCTGGGTTACATGGTGCGCATCTGCGTGAAGTCAGAAAGCCAGAGCCAGGCACCTGAGCAGGCCCCTCGTCCCCAATATCTTGAGTGCATAACTAGTTAATGGCTAACAACAAGGATGTCGCGGCAGACATACGAGCTTTGAGCCACCGGAGGTATCACAATAACCTCTCTGACTCCATACCACGTTTCGAGTTCCGTGGAGAGACCGAAATGAGCGAGACGAAGTATGGCTAACTACTGGTTAGTTCGTTGGTTAGTCCACCAACTGGGAGGAGCCAGTTATAGTCTCTGTCTAAAGTTAGAAACGTCTGATATCAGAATACGATGCGTGCGGACCAGCAGAGACGGTCCCTGATCACCACCACCAAGCTTCGCCTCAACAGGTCAGGGAGCTTGTTCAAGCCCTAAGCACAGAGTTCCGCAGGCTGGAGGTACTTTTCAAGAATACCAACACTGTCCCTTGTTGTGAGCGAGGGGTGACTTGAAGATCATGGCTTACGGGCTGGCCAATCTGATTATTCTGGGAGCCTACCATCCACTCTTCAGGCTAAGGAGTTTTTTTACGAGGGCCGAAGCTTTGGTGCAAGGCAATTAACCAGGACATGGTGACCACCAGCCTGATGCTACGTCCGTTCACTTAGGCAGACAGGCAGACAGTGTACGGGATGCGATGCTTGATATTCTTTGCTGGCGTCAAGGAAGAAAGGATAGCTTGCTCACGATAGACCCCTTGAGCTTGGTTGTGCTCAAACTGCTACCTTGTAGCGAGAAAAATGCCACCGAGGAGCCTCCATTCCCGTACATCTTGCTTTGGTTCCGGTCTGGTCCTGTTTTAATGGCCTTCATTCTCCGTATATCCATCACGACTCCAACTTCCAACTCCATCGCTTCTACTGTTTGGCATCTTCTAATTATTCCACTGTCTCCGGCACCCTATTGCACGTGCGGTGATATTGCTTTTCAGGCCGCCTCAAATATCTTCTGCGCTGCAACCCGACGATCATCTCGGGTCGACTACGGTTTTGCGGGGTCTAGTTGTAATATCATGGTGTATTTTTAGATCCCAGCGTGAGCATGCTGAGTGGTTGTGCAAGGCTCTGTGGCCCTGGGCTGAAAGCTTCCCATAGAGCTATGGGGCAAGGTTTATGAACATGAATTGGGGGTCCCACTGTACATTTTCGAATACGGGCGAGTATCTGAAGGTCCCATCCCAGCGATTTTCGGCATTATTGGATGATACTCTCCAACGTGGGTGGCGGCTTGGATAATGAGAGATGGGATAAACAACACCGAGCCCATCTGAGGAGTATATAAAGCCTCTGCTCGCCCGGTTAGGTTCACTCGATCAGCAACAATCAAAGCAGCAAAAGCAGCAAACTACAAGAACAAAAGCAGATCAATCTATCAAGATGAAGCTCTCCCTCCTCACTGTCGCCGCTGCCGCCGGCGCTGCTGTCGCTGCCCCCGCCGCCGAGATTGACACCCGTGCCGGAAGCGTCCAGGGCTTTGACATCTCTGGCTACCAGCCAAATGTTGACTTCAGGGCTGCCTACAATGGTGGTGCCCGTTTCGTCATGATCAAGGTTGGCTTTCTCTTTTGAACGATATGCCTTGGGCAAAAAGACCACATGAGCTAACAGCCCATCAGGCCACTGAGGGAACTACCTTCAAGTCCTCCACCTTCAACAGCCAGTACACTGGTGCTACCAACAACAAGTTCATCCGTGGTGGTTATCACTTCGCCCACCCTGACACCTCTGCTACCGCTCAGTGCGATTACTTCCTCGCCAACGGTGGTGGCTGGTCCAACGATGGTATCACCCTCCCCGGCATGATTGATCTCGAGGGAACCTCTGGCAAGCCCAAGTGCTACGGCCTCAGCGCCAGCGCCATGATTGCCTGGATCAAGGCCTTCTCCGACCGCTACAACGCCAAAACTGGCCGTTACCCCATGATCTACACCTCTCCCGACTGGTGGCAGTCCTGCACCGGAAACACCAAGACTTTCGGTACTACCATCCCTCTCGTCCTCGCCCGCTGGGCCTCCAGTCCTGGAACCCCACCAGGTGGCTGGCCATACCACACCTTCTGGCAGAACGCCGACACCTACCGCTTCGGTGGTGACTCTGAGATCTTCAACGGCGGCATGGACCAGCTCCAGCGCTTCGCCAAGGGTGGTTAAATCATTTCCATCAGCCTGTACATATCATCAAACGGAGATAAGAGTTGGGGGGGGGGGGTAGTGTGATATGTAACCCTTGACATCTATCTCCAGTATATATCAGTATATATATATATATATACATTATGAATCTAAGAACTTCAGAAAGAGACTCCTTTGACATAGTAGCAAGTGGGAACAACTGCACATGTAGACTGTAAAAATGTTGAAGTTGAAAGAAGGTGTGCCTGAGTGACCTAAAAATAGAACAGGACAGAATAGGTAAGTCTGTGCCGATATATCACGTGAAATTAATCATCACGGATAAATTATTTTCCAGAGACGCGTTAATTAATATCACGTGACTCCCAGCCACCGGCGCGTAAAGTCGCGACTTTTTCCACTTTTTGCGCGCGTCAGAAAGAGGAAAAAGAGGCGCGCGGGAAAGTCGCAAACCAACCTCAACGTCTCAACCGCAGACGTCGAGGTTGCGGCCAACATCATCACCACCACGCACTCTCTTTTTGTTTGACTGTCTGTCCCTGTTCGGCGGTTTATGGGTGTTCCTCTTTCTAGCACTTCGGTACCTTCTCTTTTTCTCGTCATGTTTTATTAAGATTTTTTTTTTTTATTCAGCGTGTCCTTGCTTCAGTCCAACCTTGGGTCGGCGAGCGTTAGATCCGTAGCTACCGCCTCACTTGTTATAAGACGAAGATGGTTGACCAGGAAATTCGTCCTCCGACCCCTCCAAGGGCATCCTCCTCGGCAATTGGAGATGCCTCGCAGTCAGCGGATGACTCGATCCCAATCGTGGCACCTACCACCGCATTCTCGCCCTTAGATGCGTCTCCGCTACCTCTCTCCAGCTCCCGGTCAAAACGAGTCAATTTCTCCCCCATGGCTAGCTATATCAAACCTCCGGAGTTCACAGATCACAGCATGAAGCCACCCACGCGGTTACGGTCTCTGCCGCCTTCCTCAAACCAAAGTGTGCCAGCCAAGTCCATTCTTAAATCGCGGACAGTGATATCAGACAATATACCGTCAGATGAGCTTAGGTCTAGTCCATCCACCGACTTGTCGGGGATGCTTAGCTCTATTATCGAGCAGCTTTCGGGGAGCTCTCATATTCTACGGAGAGATGCTTACTCCCAGCTCGTTGGCAGCCTTTCTGCCTACTGCGACCAGCCCGATTCAAACTCGATTATTGACAACATAGATCTTTTCGTTGGCTGGATAAAGCGAGATATCAACACCACTCCTTCCTCTCATGACGATTCAGATTACTCGTTGCCACATCAGGCTCTTAACCTATTGAATATGCTTGTCTTCAAGCCGGAAACCTCCCCTCGGATTCCAGACGACTTCAAAGCTTACATTCTCGACCATGCCATTTCCTCGATCCAGCAGAATTCAACTCCCAAAAATATCGTTATTGACTATATGAGACTTCTCAGCATTCAAAACTTCTCTCCAAAGATCCTTACTAGCTCCAGGGCTACCAAGATGCTAGAAACCATCAGCAGCGGACCGGACCGTGTTGGAGGAAAGGCAGTAACTGCTCTACGACTAAATATATACGATCGATTGTTCTCCCAAGCCCGCTCCATCTTCATATCTCATGCGAACTTCTGGATGGATAATCTCATTGCTGGCCTTCTGCACAAGGTCAAGGACGTTAGGTTAAAGGCTCTCCAATTAGGCTTCCGGATAACTGATTCCTTGGGCCCGTCTACCCCTGTGTTCAAGGCAATCGACGAGGTCCTGAACCTTCCCACAGATAAAGGAAAAGACACAAAGTTTGTGAATGACTTTTGTGATCGTTTGACTAGTATGATTTCAAGTCGGGAAACAAGTCTCCATGTACCACAAATCTGGAGCGTTGTCACCCTTCTTCTTCGTGGTCCTCGATGGCAGGTAGAGAAGTGGCCCCATTTCAAAGCTTGGATGCTGGTCATCCAGAAATGCTTCAATTGCAGTGATCTTACCACCAACTCACAGGCACTTCTTGCATGGAACAGATTAGTCTATGTAGTGCAGCAGTCTTCCGAGAGTAACAGGGGTATGGCTAAATTCCTATTCAAGCCTATTGACTCACAGCTGGAGAGAAGAAAGACTTCCAAACGGGGAACTCACAACGACCACGCCTTTTCAAGCTATTGCAACCTTCTTTACTACTCCTTCAAACCCGGGACACCATTTGAACGCCTGGACTTGCACTGGACGGAGTACATGCTAGCGCCCACCTCAAAGGTCTTAAAGTGGAGCTCTGGAAATGCCTTGGGACTTTGCAGAATATTAGCCATGTTACTATGGGATTCCCCGAAAATCTGGGACGAGAAAAAGGCCCTTGAAACATCTAAAGTTGGTCCGGAAGACCTCCCTCGACTGGACTGCAAGTGGGTCCGTTCTAGGGTATCAAAGATATTGCCTGTGTTTGAAACCCTCTTTGACCTCCTCAGTGAACAAAGTACCTCCATAGAAGATTCTACGGCGGGTTTAGCCTGGGTTCACCTCTCCCGAAGTCTTGCAGATGCATCTAGTAAAGAAATCCAGCCCTCTACTGAGACAATGGAGGCTGTTGGTTCAATCCTTGAGAGCCTTCAGCGAATCTGGAAAAAAACCGGAATATCTGCTGTTTCCAGAGCCAAAGATGGGAACAGTATTTTCTTTAACCAATTCCTCTTCCTCGTCAAAACAGTCGTACATAGCCTTGGGTCAGTTGCTTTTACCGAAAAGATGCTTCTCAAGACTTCGACGGAAACATTCAGCATAGCTCAAACCCCTACACACCGCCGCCCCCACCCTAACGGTGTCATCAGAACTCCCCTCTTACACCTTCTCCAATATGTATGTCTATCTACATACCCAGTCTCTATCCCACGCTATAAATCATTACTACACGGTATCATTGAAACTGGCATACGAAACCGGACCTCCAGAAGCTCCCGCTTGGAAGCCCTACGCCAGTTCACAGAGTCATTGCTTGGGCCCACTAGCGAGGCCCTTGAACTAAACCATGACTCCGTCGAAGAGGTCTGGAAGTGCACTTCGACTTTCACAAAAGAAACCCTCGCAAATTCAACCCCTGATACCAACGTAATGGGCAAAGACGAAACCTCAGCCCGTGACTATGACAAGGTTCTAGCCATCCTCGAACGTGGAACAAGATATGGTATCAAGAGTTTGGAGTGGTCTTCCCTGTTTCGGTCACTGGTGGCCGTAGTCCGCAATGAAAAGGGTGATGCCCAAGTGTCCCATTTCATTGAATCGTTCGTTGGCCATTCAATTAGGAACGGTGTATCCATTGGTTTCGGTGAAATGGGCTTATTCATGGAGCCAATTTCTTTTCCTCGAGAGCAAGCTACACAAGTACAGTCAATCAATTTGCCCACAACGACCAAATCAAGCCCGAAACCTCAACCATTCTGTGAGAAGGTTGTTTCCCTGACCAACGATATCCTCTTACACCTATACCATGCCCAATCATGGGAGTGCATTCCTGATATACTCGCTTTTCTTGATGCTGTCTCGCAATGGCTTGAGCGGTGCCCAGAGCATTACCGTATCACCTTGCTTGAGAGACTGCAAACTGGTATTGTTCCATGGTTATCAGATCCCAGCGAAAAACTGACCGCAGAGTCCTGCGTTGACAAGTCTATATTGAATTCAGTAAGCCCATCATCACTCCTTGTATTATAACTAAAACTACGCTAACAAGACCAGGCTCGGACTATGACCTCGGTCACTATTTGCAATATCACATCTCTCCGTAATACCAACAGCGAGACTCTAGAGCAACTGGCCTCATTGATGACGGCTGGCTTTGAATCTCGCCACAAATCTATTGTGAACAAATTCATCTCCATGTGGAATGCATCCTTCGGCCTAGAAAGGAGCTTATTTTACCCAGCATCGCTAGAGTCAATCCTGCGAAGACTTAAACCATACGTTGAGATTCAGCTACCAGGTTTCCCAGAACGCACCGAAACAAAGGTATGTAGAGTACGAAACCCGTGGTTCGCATGCCACCTTTGACTAACAGTAGAACCTAGTCTATCTCTCCTCCACCAGAATATCTCAGTTCGCAGGATGATGTTGTCACTCCAAAACCGGTCCAAGAACCAAAGAAAGATGGCAGCAAACTCTCAAGTTCTCCCCCGAGTAGCAAAACGCGAAGCCGTAAGAGGAAGTCAGGGCAGAAACATAACACCACTACCCCCAAACGACCTCGTCATGACGATTCACAAATCCAATTCGTGACTGTTGAGCCAGAGTGTGGGATTGGTGGGCCATTAGAATCCCAGTTCATGACCGAAAACCAGAAAGCTGTAAGAGAAAGGCAGCGAAAAGATGCAGCTATAATCTTCCCCGAGATGCACTCGTCACGGCCGTCATCTGGGTGCAAAACACTTGATCCACTTGACAGCAACCTCCCCACTCCTACCATTCCACCAGAGGCACCAAATGTTATTGAAGAGGTCCAGTCTTCTCCAACGCCAGCAAGCAGGAGTCCACGGACATCATATACCAATCTAGATTTAACTTCATTCCCGTCGAATGTTGAATGGAGCTTTTCTACAAATGGTGACCCACCTTCATCTCCACCACAGACAGTGCCTTCATCGCAAGGAGAGCCCGCCACACATGAGCTGAGTTGTACGAGCCCCCACGAAGCTCAGAGCGCCCCTACGAAAGAGCCTTCCCAACTTATACACAATGAAGATGAAGATGCGGACTCCACACCCAGGCCGAACTCGAGATCAAAACCCACAGTACAAGCCGATTCGGGCAAGGAGGATGAGTTGGTCCCTGATTCATTCAATGACCCACTACAGGAGCAAATTGCCTCGCAGCTGGAGCAAGATCTTGAATTGTCAATGGACCTCAGTGTGCCTGGGGATAAACCATCAAAGACTAAGAAGAAGCTAGGAAGCCGAAGGAGGAAGAGAAACGACAGCAGCTCCAACCCAGAGCCAGTGCGGGTGCCTACCATTGAAGTAGCTATTGAAGGAAAGTTACCAGAGCCGATTCAAGCTGTTGCTGCCACTACCTCGTCAACTACGAAGAAACCATCGGCAAGCCAAAGGCGGTCTGGAAGGAAGAGATCCAGCCCCAGTATGGAGGAAGAAACTAGTCAAGAGACACAGGAAAGTGCTCAAAGTTCTCAACCAGCACCGAAGAAGAGAAGGTCACTGCGCCTTCGCGGACGGACGGCAGCTGATAAAGAGATTGAAGTCAAGAGCAACGATATTGTTGAGCCCGAGCAGGAGAGAAGTGAAGCTGCTGCAGCTCTGTCTGGGCAGACGACAGAAGCTAAAGGTAATGCGGAAGCTGAATGTGCCCAGATTGAGCCCGAACAGTCTGGTACGCCTCCGCCTCCTGAATCCCAAGCACGAGAGCAGGTATCTCCAGGATCATCAATACTCCAATCACTTAAGGCCATCCTTGGCTCACTGAGGAATGTCTCCTTTGGAAGGTCAACCCTCCGCGAGCTGGATGACGTGATGTTTGACATCAAGATGGAGGCCCACAATGCGTTCAAGAGAAGCGAGTGAACAAATCTATCTCTCACTTCTCACCTCTTTGGGCCCACCACGCCAGACTGAGGCGCCAACGCCTCTATGAAACACCCTGATTAATGTTCATGTATGTTTAGAGTTAATTGAATACCCCATTAGGATAAACAGCCTTATCGTGATCTCGTTCCAGTTACCACAGAGTAACAAGTAAATAATGTACCATTTTTTTTTTTTTCTTGCTGGTGTATGGAGCCAGCAGCACCCCCAAGCGACGATAAACTAATACGAGATCAGCCCCAACACTAAAATTAAGCCTAAACTAGTTGAGGCTCTAAACAAACACAAATTCGCATACGGTGTGCCTGGCGGTCGCGCTGATTTGCCAGATCGAGCGAAGGCTTGATGCTTGTGCAGCTGAGTGGGCTGAGCGGCAGAGAGATGGATTGTGGTGGGCTGGGATACGATGAGCTGCGAGCAGGGGAAAAGCAAGAAGAGAAAAGGGGGCTTCGATCAACCCGCCGAAGCTGAGAGATATCGAGACTGCGTCGCGCAGAATACGGAATAATGGATACCCATTCGGGAAGACACGAGTGGTATCCTGGCGATCTTGAGCAGCAAAGCGCCTTGTAGCTTGTTGGACTGACGTGTACTCCGTCCGGCGCGCCGCTAATGATGTGAGGTTCAGATAGTGCTCGTGAGCGAGATCAAACCCTTACCATGCAGGCTATATATAGGCCATCATGTCTTCCGTCTCAAGCATTCCATTTCAGCCAGCACTCCCCCAGTCACTACTCCAAGCTCTCCAGTCACCGACTCTCTCTAAACGCTTCTATACAAAACACACCCACCCCCCAAAACCTCAACCGCCAACATGAAGTTCTCTGCCGTTACCGGAGCCGTCTTCCTCCTGGCTTCCATGGTCGCTGCCATGCCCAACGAGCCCGAGAATAGCGTCCAGGACGCCGCAGCCAAGGTTGCTGAGCCTGTCAAGCATTTGGCCGAGGGACATCCTGTCCTTGAGAAGCGCAAGAAGGGCAGTCATGGTGGTAGCCACGGCGGTTCCCACAACAACACCCAGTAAGACTATTCTTCTTTTCATTCACCTGCTTTCTTTTCCCTTGCACTTCTTCTTTGTCTTCTGGTCTCAATGGCTAACGAGCTGTCAATAGAAACGCCGCTGCCTCCATCGTCGTCAGCAACGCAGTCATTGCTGCCGCTCTCGGTGCCACTATCTTCGTCTAGAATGCGCAACATCTGGAAGGGCGGATACGAATGGTCTCTCAGATGCCACATATATAATACTGTGTCTCCCTTTTGCTTGTGTTTCTCTCTGCCGTAGTGGTGATCTATACGTCTGCTTCCAGCGATACCCATCAGGTTCTCTCGAGTGATGAGCCTATCATACCGTTAGTTAATAGTAATAACCATGTTCTCCTACCTCTATCTTCCTTCTTCTCATCTCATCTCATCTCATCTCATCTCCTGTGTGTCTTCGGCTCTGTCCGTCTGCCTTGTCTTAGATGTTGTAAATATTTACGTGCAGGCAATGAAGTCATCTCTGGCTGCCCCACCAATAGTTAACTAGGCTAATCGCAGCCGCATCAACTAACTACATCAACAACTACATCAACAACGACAACGAAGAACTACAGGAAACGGCATCTCGAGACGTCTTTGTCTGTTTATACGTGCTCTCGTTCTCTGTTCCTACTTCTACATAATATAGCGAGGATGGAGCGTTCAAAGAAGCCGACAGCCATCCCCGTATCCTCCTCCGCACCAGGACCCAGCGTCTCCGTCCTCGAGAACCGCGTTGAAGCATCGCTGGCAACCGGAGAATCGATTACTGTCAACCTGTTTGGAGCTACAGTGACATCGTGGAAACTCGCCGACGGGTCAGAGCAGCTTTTCCTCAGCGAAGGAGCTCATCTAGACGGCTCCAAGCCCATCCGCGGCGGCATCCCCTTAGTCTTCCCAGTACGCCATTCCTCTCTATATACTCCGTATTTCGAACAGAAGGACATGTACCAGACATAGAATTGTCCGTGGCTAACAGTAGAGCAAGGTGTTTGGCCCTCCTCCAAAGGAACATGCAACATCTGCACTGCCGCAGCATGGCTTCGCCCGCAACGCCTACTGGGAATTTCTAGGCAAATCCACCTCGGAAACCGAAGGAGATGCCAGTGTCAAGCTTGACTTTGGCCTGTCAAAGGGTATGCTGAGTGACAAGTTCCAGAAGGACTGGCCGTTCGAGTTTGGCCTAGTGTACAGTGTCACCCTAAGCCCCCGGAGCTTGATCACTTCGCTGCAGGTCCAGAACAAGGGAACGACCTCCTTTGAGTTCCAGTCTCTGCTGCATACTTACTTCAGAGTAGATGTATATTATTCTTTCTGCTCTTTGGATGTTTATACTCTCCTCATTTGGATGCTGATTGGCTGATGACTATTTTGGCTATCGGTAGGACATCTCAAAGATGTGCATTGCAGGTCTTCAGTCCAAGTCGTTTGTCGACAAACTCCGCGGTGCATCCACGTTCACTGAAGAGTCCGACGCCATTACCATCTCCTCCGAGGTAGACCGCGTCTACCAGTCTCTTGACCCCGCCACGCCTGTCATAGTCACTTCCTCGGGCAAGCCGGTCTTCTCCATAACCCGGGAAGCGTTGACGGACATGGTCGTCTGGAACCCGTGGATCGAGAAGGCCAAGGGGATGGCCGATTTCACCCCGGACGAAGCCTACAAGAACATGGTCTGCGTCGAGGCGGGATCTGTATCTGGATGGCAGACTCTGGAGCCAGGTGACATGTGGGAAGGAGGGCAGACGATTCGGTGTCGGCTGTGAAAAGAGCAAGAGACCAGTGATATAATGATTATGATCTACTTTTTGAATATAACAACGACTGTATAGAGATATCTTGCCGTCTCTTTGACTATGAGTATACTTGAATTAAAAAGCCGACTTCTGCGGTACCGAGCTGGATCTCCCGGCAAACATGCCGAACACATCCAGGATGACGTTGACTAAATGAAAAAAATAAAAATAAAAAAAGGATAACAAAACTAAACACTCTGGAATCCTCAGAGGAACTGCTTCTACCTGTCTTATCGAAGGGAAGCCATGGGAGATATCAGCTCTGCCTTCCATGCTGCCCAACGCCCGCTGCCCAAGGAGGAACAAAAGGCAGAAGCAAAGAAGCGAGCAACGCCATGCCGGCCACTTCCTCAGCCACCACCACGCCGGCACCGGGACGACCATCAGGGCGGCCACACGACTATGAAGACGGACGACGACGAAGCAGTATACCATCGCTAGACACACAAGGAGGAGACGAAGAAGAAGCGCGGAAGGACAAGGTCAATAATGATAACAGGCCGGCATCATGGAGCTCGCTACCCAAGCGGAACCAGCTCATCATCCTCACGATAGCCAGACTGTCCGAGCCGCTGGCGCAGACCTCACTGCAGGCATATATGTTCTATCAACTCAAGTCATTTGATCCCTCGTTGCCAGACTCGACCATATCTGCGCAGACAGGCATCTTACAAGCAGCCTTCACGGGTGCTCAGTTCGTCACGGCGGTGATATGGGGCAGGCTGGCAGACGCCGAGTCCATCGGCAGGAAGAGAGTGCTACTGATCGGCCTGCTGGGAGCTGGTATCTCGACACTGGGCTTTGGATTCTCCAAGTCCTTTGCGATGGCGGCGTTTTTCCGGACACTGGGCGGTGCGTTGAACAGTAACGCCGGCGTGATGAGGACCATGATATCGGAGATCGTGGTCGAGAAGAAGTAAGTCCCACTCTAGTTAGCTATGCCGTGGTTCATCAATAACTATACGATAATTGGACAGCGACTAACTGGAGGCAGATACCAGTCGAGGGCCTTTCTACTACTGCCGATGTGCTTCAACGTCGGCGTCATTATAGGCCCCATTATGGGAGGAATACTGGCTGATCCCATAAGCAACTATCCGTCCACCTTTGGGCCCGGATCATGGCTTGGAGGAGCGGACGGAGTGTCGTGGATGGTCAAATGGCCATTTGCTCTACCGAACTTGGTAACGGCTGGTTTTATTCTCTGTTCCGCAATTGCTATATCACTTGGTCTGGAAGAGGTACCTCTACCCCCCTTTTTTTTTCTACGCAGAAATATTTTGATACTGACCTATACAGACACACGAAATAGCACGGTCACGGAGGGATTTGGGTCTACGTATTGGTAAGGCCATATCAAGGCACCTGGGCTTCTCGCGATATAGTGAATACCAGGCTCTCGATGGTTTGGCAGACCCAGATACGCCAGACTCCTTCGACATGGGGCCAAACGGACAGCCGGTCTCAGCTCAGAGGCTCCTGAACAATGAAAACGCTTCCCCCAGACGGCGCAAACGTCTGCCCTTCCGCCAGATATGGACACGCAACGTCCTGCTCACGCTGGTTGCTCATATCTTCCTCAACTTCCACACCAGTGCGTTCACGGCACTATGCTTCGTCTTCCTGCCTACGCCACGCTCCCCAGGAAGCCAAAGCAGTTTTTTCCAGTTCGGCGGCGGACTCGGCATGTCCAGCTCCAAAGTCGGCCTGGCCACGGCCATCATAGGCCTGATCGGCCTGCCAATTCAGATATTCATCTACCCGCGAGTCCAGTGGCGGCTGGGCACGTTACGGTCCTTCAGGATCTTTCTCCCCTTTTCTCCCCTTGCGTACCTCCTTGCACCTTTCCTGGTACTACTGCCCGACCATCCGTACATTGTCTGGCCTGCCCTCTCGGCCGTCATATTCCTTCAGGTAGTGTCCAGAACTTTCTCTCTACCGGCTACGGTGATACTAGTGAATAACTCCGTACCGGACAGGAGCGTGCTAGGTACGCTACATGGAGTTGCACAGAGCGCCTCCAGTGCCTCGAGGACGTTAGGCCCCCTGATCGCCGGCTGGGGTCTGGGTTTAGGGCTGAAACATAACATTGTCGGCGCTATCTGGTGGGCTCTTGCGATCGAGGCGTTCTTGGGATGGCTAGTTACATGGACCATATTCGAGGGTGCGGGCATTGAGAAGCCCTCATAGAATTACAAGGAATATATAGTTAAGTAAATGGCTACAAAAAGGAATGAATGAACGAATGATGAATTCGAATTAAGACTCCCATGTGTGTAGTATTCATCCGCCATGATATATCCATGGTAGTCACTTCGTATGTCACATATTCTCATCAGTATACTCGCTTGAGAGGCTGTGCTGCCTCCAAGCTTGTCGTAATGCCGTTGAAGAGCCAGAAGGTAACATAATATATAGGATGGGCTCTTCTAACTTAGCATGCTGTTCATTCAATCCCATCGACGCTGTTGTGTCTCTGTCCCCCGTTTGCTGAGATACCAAACAGGCTTCGTAGATAGGTCTCTCTTCACGCAGCGGCGGCGGTAGGCGGAGTTATAAAGGCACGGATGGCCTTGACGGCGTTCCCATCATGTTCTCTCAGCAGCTCAGTAGCCTTTGGCTTCGTAAGGTCCAGCTGATCAACCTGCGATGTGTTGGTGTTAGCATCCATCCATTCTCCCATAGTTAAGCCAAGTAGTTAGTTATCAAATAGAGATCCCACAAACCAGCAAATTGACATCTTCAGCAGCAACTTTGACGGCCTTCTTCTTCACAACCTCACCACCAGCGGCAGCAGCAGCTACTACCGCCGCCGTCGACGCTGTCTTCGCCTTCTTGTCCCCGCCGGCCGCCGCTGCGCCTTTCTTCCCGCCGCCAGCAATCATCTCCAGCCTGCTCATTGCCCTCCCGAGCGCCTCCTGGTCTGCAGTCGACGGCTTCTTCGCGCCATCCTCCTCGGCCTCGCCTCCTTCAGCTGCAGTCTTCGGCGCATTCAGGGACGAAAGGGCGGCCGCCGCGGCGCGGTCTTCGGCGTTGGTGGGCAGCTCTGAGGCGCCGGCTTCAGCAGACAGGCCGTTGTCGTCCTGGGGCGTCTCGCTGCCTTTCTTTGCGGACATCGTCGCTAGCTGCCTCTTGGACCGCAGGAGTTAATAAAAGTGATATAGTAAGAATCGAACCACGGGTCAAGCCAGGCCTCGTATTCTTGGGTCTAATAACGGCCTAATAATGCGTCTTTGTTGATAGCGATCCCGTCGTCCGCCCAGCGTGTGAGCTTGCGATCTTCTTAATAAGCGTCAAATTACGAGTTTTCAACGTCTAAACTTCTAGCCTGCACCTAAGAGCAAGCCATATTTTCTATTTATAAAAAATAACTCCTAGGAGCAGGCTATTATATCTGGATCCGAGTGCTGCTGCTATTCTCATCGCTGGACCAGACCGGGAGAAAGCAGAGGACAAGCGGATAAGTTGGTCCCCCGCAAACGTCTCGTCTCGCCCTCGTCCGGTCGAAGCTGAAATCGCAAAACTTCGCTCAACCGGCGTCCAATCAGCCTTGCATGCAGTCCAATTTTTGACTCATCTGCTAGATAAAGAGACCAGGGCTGGCGGAGCGTCCGTTTGATCATAAATATCGGCGTCGTCGCTGTCGTTTTGTCCTAAGCTTCAAGGTCTCTCAATTTGAGCTTAGACAGGGCCATCCATAGCGATATTGCGCAGGGATAACTCTTGTTCACCATGGCCGACTGGACTCCAGCCTGTGAGTTGACTGCCCAGTATATATCACTCTCTATATAGGCAGATCTCGCTAATCGATCCTCACTCCAGCGTGGAGGTCGAAACCAATCAAGCAGGAGATTGCATATGAAGACCAAGAGGGCCTGCAGAACGCCATTCAGAGACTAAAGAAGCTCCCTCCTCTTGTGACTCCTCATGAGGTACTGTTCAAACAGAACTAATTTCTAAAGGATGTTTCTCTCCTCGTCCTTCTCCGGCTTACCTTCGCCATAGATCACGAACTTGAAACAATGCCTCAAGAAGGTGGCGCTTGGTGAAGCCTTTGTCCTCCAAGGAGGTGAGTCGTGTGGTCCCATGCCTATTTGCTTTGCTGTGACACCGCTGATGCATAGATCTCAGGCGACTGCGCGGAGCTCTTTGATTACTGCAACCAGGATATGATCGAGGCAAAGATCAAGCTGCTGCTGCAGATGAGTTTGATCCTGATCTGGGGTGGGTTCCCTGTGCCCTTTCCTGCGACTGTCGGGGTAGTCTAACCAATGTCAATCAATCAATGAAACAGGAGCCAACAAACCGGTCATTCGAGTTGCTCGTATCGCTGGTCAATTCGCAAAGTGAGTAACTCAACGGATGCGTTCATGCATGCAATCTTCCTCCAAGACTCACGGTTTTCTGACATACTTACTCTCACAGGCCTCGATCAAGTGCAGTCGAGACCGTGAACGGTGTCACTATGCCCTCGTTCAGGGGCGACAACGTAAATGGGTTCGAAGCTACTCCTGAGTCCAGGAAGCCTGATCCATCCCGTCTTGTGGATGCGTACTTCCACTCTGCTGCGACTCTCAACTATATTCGTGCTGCCCTGGCTTCAGGCCTTGCTGACCTGCACTCACCCCTAGACTGGGGTCTGGGCCATGTCAAGACCCCTGCCATCAAGGAGAAGTACGAAAAGATCACTTCCAGAGTCACTGACTCCCTTCGCTTCATGCGAACCGTCGGCCTGGACACCGCTCACGGTATCGAGACTGCTGATATCTACACCAGCCACGAAGGTCTCATATTGGAGTACGAGGAGACCCTCACCCGCGCTTCAAGGAACCCAGTCGAGCCAGCTGGAAGCCGTAGCCTCCCCCAGGCTGTACAGGAAGAGAAGGAGTTCTACTATGATCTCTCCGGCCATTTCCTCTGGATAGGCGACCGCACCCGCCAGCTTGATGGCGGCCACGTTGAGTTCTTCCGTGGCATATCCAACCCAATCGGCATCAAGGTCGGTCCTAGCATGCAGCCAGATGAGCTAGTAGCTCTCCTTGACATCGTCAACCCAGACAAGGAACTCGGAAAAGTCACCCTCATCTCTCGTTACGGCGGCAGCAAGATCGCGGACCACCTCCCCGGCCATATCAAGGCCGTCCAGGCTTCAGGACACATCCCCATCTGGCAATGTGACCCTATGCACGGTAACACCAGATCTACCCCGTCCGGTGTCAAGACAAGAAACTTCAGTGATATCCTGTCTGAACTGCGTCAGGCTCTGGAGATTCATCGTGCTCACAACTCGTACCTCGGAGGTATGCATCTTGAGTTGACGGGTGAGGCCGTCACGGAGTGTGTCGGTGGTGCTGCTGGCCTGACTGAAGATGGCTTGAGTGAGCGATACACTACCTTCTGCGACCCCAGATTGAACGAGAAGCAAGCTCTTGAGCTTGCATTCTTGGTCGCTGGTTTTTACCGTGACCACGCTGCTGCAAATGGAACTGAAAGCCCCCTTTGATCGACATTTTTGTTTCTTTCGTATCGGTTGACGCTCGACGTGAAAATGGGTTTTGGTTGGTTAGGCCTTTTAATAAAAGTCTCTAGGGGAGCCAGTTAGAGAAATTATTGTAACGAAACGGAGAATAAAAAACAAATCAATAAATAATCATAAAACGCATATATATCAAGTCCCCATTTCCCTTACTCCAAACCCAACACAGCCTTACTTATACCAAAACCAGAAAATATACTCCCGCTCCCAAGAAATAGATAACATTAACGAAACCAAGGAGAAAACCACTATTACATGTACCCCTTTCCAAGGGGACTTCCAATTCTTGGCTTCCAGATTAGACTCTTCCGCCTGGCTGCTTCAAGTCTGATTCTCAGCTTCTCACTTTGGTGCTCGTCTGTGATTCCATCGATGGGGAAAAGGCCTTGCCTTGATTGCTTAGGCGGACATGTTTGTTGGACCAACTTCGCTCCCTCTGACAGATGGTACGGGGTGGTGGGGGATGGCGGAGCTGTGTCGTCGAAGTTAAAAGAATAACCATAGTCTACATCTGGTGTTTGAGGCTCCACGGCTTCGAACGTAGTTGGTCGCAATTGGTGCCGTCTCGGAGTTGTTATAGTCTCTGAGTCCTCCTCACAGCTGTTATCTTCAAAGGCAGTGGGACCAATTGAGTCTCGCTGGGATGGGTGAAGTTTTGGTATAGGTGACAGACGTCTCAATTCCTGCAACGTCTCTCTATCTGCACCAGAGCGTCGGCTACTGCCCGGGGAAGTGCAAGAGTCCGAGACAGAGAGCGTTCCATGCTGGTTGCTCAAAACCCTCGGTTCCATACTCTTTCGTCTCTTGTTCCCACCTCTGGGAATCATGCTGATGTCAACAGTGTAGTTAGCTTCGTCAACCCATCTGTTCTCCCTTTCACAGCTATAGACGAGATTAGCAATATATCCCCACAATTGCTACATGCAAGAAAAAACGTACTCAAGTACCCATCCAACTCCAACACACTTCACAAGCCCATTCGCTTCCTTTACTTTCTGCAGCGTTCTAACACCACCGTCCTTATGAATAACATGAGTAATCCCGACCTTTGGATTTTCCTGGGGTTCGGCACCATCAACCGGTGACAGGCTTGTTCTTGGGTTCCATTTCCACGATTTGACACATCTAGCGCCCATCTGGGTGAGGAGCTCAATGAAGATACCACTGGCGTCAGCACCTTCAGCCGTGTGGACATCAACAAATACCACCGCGCCTTTTAGTACTTCGCTCTCACTGTCATCATCCTTTGCTGGGCTTCGACTCTTCACTGGACTGATACGACCAGACCACGTTCCCGATTTTGGCCGCTCGGGCAGCATAACGCTATTTGTCGTCGAATCATCTCCAGGGGATGTTGGTGCGAATGTCTTGAGCAGCGTCCGGTCCTTACTAGGGGAGGGTAATGTCCGGCTCCTGGTCAAGGTTGAGGGTGGGCTTGTTGTATTAGAGCAAAGAGATCTGGTTCTTTTCCGAGAAACTTTGAGAGATCCATCGCCGTCACCCTTCAGTGGCACTTTCGAAACTGTGTGTATGACTCTTGGATAGCCAGGATCTCGGCGAACAGGAGTAACAGACATAGAAACTGGCGCCGGTGCAGTGGGTACATGTGGAACCAACCCAGCACGATTACCTTCGTTGAGAGGTGTCGGATTGATTGCCACAGTCGGAGGTGCGTTTTCGTCTCCATATATTTCAGAGGCCTCGGACATGTTATCACTTGGACTTCTATGCGAGACAAATGGCCTTATAGGTGAGTCAACATCCTCATAATCAGCAACGCTCTCCTCGTCTGGAGAGATAGATCGGTCGGTATGGATGCTCAGATCCTCTATTGCAGGCACTTCATCTTCACCAATGTGCTTCATAGGTTCTCTTGATGCTTGAGTCTGATGCATTCGAGACGAACTCTGCCTTTCTGAAGATTTGCGAGAGTCTCCATGTACGTCTGGGGAGAAGAGGCCCTTTCGCTGGTATTTTCTGGGCCGCTGTTTCTCGGGGCTAGATGCTGCCCATTGGCTTAGCTTGTCCGCCAGGGGAGTGAACCCAAGTTCGGTTCCAAGTGTACCTTGTGGTTTGGGAATGATTTCTGGGCTCTCGGGACGGAGATTTCCACGCCTTGGTTGTCCTTTAGTTGGGCTGGGTTCAAATTCTACATCAGAATCTTCGTATATCATCTCATCCCGATAAATGAAGTCTTGTTGACTGATAGGAGCCGCGGTTGAAAATTGATCTATGGCACCGGGCATAGAACCCAAAATATCATGCCTTAGGACTGTGTCTCGTCTATTGGGCATGTTGCCTTCTTCCATGAATATATCATCATTCGAGGATTGATGTCTTGAAGCATATGGCTGCGACTTAGTAGCCTCTTCTGATTCATGAGGAAGGTTCTCGTCTGAATCATCCACGGTTGATATGTTTAAATCAGCCATCTCATCCATGAACTCCTCTTGGCAATCTTTGCCATGTAAATTGGGACTAATATCATCATGAATGTTGGATTTGCGAACTTCAGCCGAACGACCGTCCAATGTGAGAGGTGGTGGTGGCATTTTCATAGTGTAATGGGGTCTGCGTGCAGGAGATTTTAGGGGTGACATTCTTGTTTTTGTGGGTGAGAGTGGTGAATCCAGCGATGCCTGGATAAAACACATGCCAGCTCCCTTCTTTGGTGATACTTTCAGTGGTGAAACTTTGTGTTGTCCCATCATATCCTGTCCAGGTTGAGGCTCGCTATGGAAGATTGGGGCCTTCCGTGGAGACTCTTTGATAGCTGATTGGAATGGGGAAGGAGGAGGCCGTTTTGCTGGGCTTGATATAGACTCGGTCTGCTCATTGCTTCGGGATATACCAGGCTCTTTTTCATTGGCTGTGGGATCTCGAGAAGCCGGCCTGGTAGCTTGTGTAAAATCAATCCTTTTTGCAGGAGAAGCAAAAGAGGGAGGAACAGGTGACGACTTCAATGGCGATCTTTGCGGTGACTTTGAAGGGGACTTGGGTCCGAAGACATCGTCTTCATCTTCTTCCGAGCTACCAGATGATCCAGTCTTGGTTACCTGGGTCGGTTTCTTTGGAGACAACGGTTCCTTTTTTCTCGCCTGTTTATCTTCGCCGGCATCTGATGACTTTTGTTTCCCAGCAGTTCCCTTGCGAACCGGTTTTGCAGTCATGCCAGTATCTGCTTTCCCTTTGCTCTTAGTAGCATCTAGTAAGGGCTGGTTTTCCTTATCAGAATGCTCAGTGATATCCAAAAACGTAACCTTCTTTTTGGGAACACATGATCTTGCTTTGCTCACGAGTATAGAGCGGTCTGCTGCGGCGGAAGATATTGCCGATGACCGGGTAGACGCTTTTGTCGCTCTCGCGGAAGCTGGAGCCTTTGCTCTTCGTGCAGCGGTAGTGGTAATCTGAACAGTCTTTTGCTGCACAGGCTGTGTTTCAGCAAGCTCGTCATCATCATCGTAATTTATATCTTGCGGTTCCGTTGTATCAAGCGCAGGTTCAGATTTCTTTTTGGCCATCCGAGTCGCTCTTTTCTTTGGCTCACTAGCCACTGATGAATTAGAGGATGTTGACGTGGCCATACGCCTTGTTGACGACCTCGTTGCAGCTGTGGCTCTGGTAGGTACAATGTTCATTTCGTCATCACTGGAATTATCTTCGTCCAAATGGGACGCCGTAGTTTTAGTCCTGGTTGCTCTCTGGCTCCGTTTCTTTGGGCCTTCCGGGGCAGCATCCGTCTTAGCCTTGGGCTCAACAGCTGCCTCTGGGTTTTTTCTAGGTCTTCCTCTCTTTGCTGTAGAAGTCGTCGTGTTGGTTGTAGTTGGTACTTTGGATTCTTCCTTTGCCTTGGTCGTCGTACTTCGCGTTCGAGTTCGGGTGGCTCTCCTAGGTGGTGACGTAGGCGCCGACGGCTCTGTTTCTATTGCTCGTCGCGCCATTGTGCCTTTATTCACGGGCTAATATGGATAGACAGCGTATCTAAAGGCCGGGAAGTAGCTGTGTTATGGTGGTGACGGAGGTAGCTGAGCTGTTGACACCACGACAGCTTATGGCAGGTATATCAAATCGCCACGGGGTAATCAAGGAATAACTTCCGGCTCCCACAAACGTTTGTAAAATCAAGAACTCAACATATGCGGCCGGCTGTGACCTTGCATCATCGTCTTGTCGTCTTGCTGAGGTCGAGCTTCGTCCTCGCCCGGGGGTCTTGTGTTATGATCGGCGCCGTCTGTTGCTACGGAAACGATATATCACGTGATACATCCGGACCGCCTGAGCCGTCGTCGGATGGACCGAGGTACTTTCGGCCTGTCAAGCCTATATTTTATATTAATATTAATATTATTGATCAGCGGTTGAAGGGCCGTCTCCATCGGCTGTTACATATGATGGACGGCCTTCCAAGGCCTACGCAGGTACCCTTGTTTAGACTTGAAACTGGTAGCCGCATCATTAACCAGCCAATGGAGAGCCAGACATATCGCGTGAGAGACTGTGGGTTTCTCTTGTTCCTGGCTATCTGACTGAACCTGCATGCTTCACCAATCCAACAAAAAGGGTAGGCAGGCTGGCAGTATCCTTTTGATAGCCTATTGATGGTTTAACGTGTCTATGAATAAGCATGGCGGACGGCCACAGGCTAAGTATATTGTGAGTTTTCATTGCACTTACAGCCAGCATCACCACCGCCGTGTTGGGTAGAAATCTTGTACAACGACTGTACAACGACTGTACAACGATTGTACAACGGTTGTACAACGGTAGTATCAAGGGATCTGCGTGGTGACTCCATCACTAGGTTCATTAAGTAAGGTACCCACATGAGCAAGATAACATCTCGGCGAGAGCCGGCAAGCATCACCACGCGACGGTCTACCGGAAGCTAGGTGAGCAGTGGAGCGATGCCGAGAGATCGATCGGAGATGACAAGTTTCTCGGGGCTATAATACATTCAAAGCGAGCGTGCAGTACACGCAATTCATGAGCAGGAGAAAGTGTTGAAATGTATGTGAGAAGCTCGTAGTTAGGTATTGCTGTCCATATCAAACTGGACACCCAAAAGGTCATATTATTATTCATGAGTAGTTAGGCAAAATGGTAATATATCTACATCCCAGAAAGTCGATTATATATATATATATATATATCCAAGATTAAATTAAAAACCAAAAGGAAAGCACCAAAGCTTTACACCAGTAATATAGAAAGCAGTGTGACCACTGCTGCTACAAGGCTCAGCTTTCCCGAAGCATGAAGCCCCTTAGCAGCACTCTGTAGGTCCACTTCCGTCAAGAACAGTTTCGGGTCGTAGACGTCTGGCTTGGTGCTATTGAGCGTTCCATCCCAGCAGTACATCTTAAAACACTGCTTGCAAGCATCGGGGACTGCGGTCTTGGTTCGCTCAAGGGACCTGCTGAGCATAGCACAGCCGACGCAGGTAGGCCAGTTGCCATCTCGAGTGGCATTGGCCATGGTTGCGACGTTATATCCATTGAGAATGATAGCATCACGCTGTGTGGTGTTGTACTTCAGGTTGAAGGTTGAGACATTCGAATGTGTGACGTAGGGACTGTTAGGGATGTATACGATCAACGGCGTAGGATTAGTGGTATTTGAGCTGTCGCATCCGAAGAAAGTGGGATTGTGGTTCAGGCCGAGATTGATGAAAGTGTTATTATCTGGTATAGCTGGGAAGGATGTTCCGTTGGCGATTCCAGTGCTGTTCAGACTGCGTTGGTAAGTAGCTATTATGCTGTCGCCATTAGGCCAGGCCAGTTCGGTGTCAGCGGAAGAGTCAATCGCAAATATAACGTCAACATGTCGAGCTGGCTGGATCAGGGGATGGAATGGAATGTTCTGCTTGTCTTCACCGCCATCAACAACGGGGAGGGACTTTACTCCTGCGAAAGGAGATGTGCTTTTGGCATATCCAAAAAATGGGTTGGGCTTGTACTCGGCAATGTCATTGTTGGCTTCATCAAGCGAGCTCAAGAAGTCACGGAGACTGTCCTTGACGACTTTGGGCAGGTCCTGGCTATCAAGGTGCAACGCGAACTGGTTGAATAGAGAGGAAGAAGTTCCCATGATGAAACCGGCGTTGTCCATTCCCCGGACGCACTTCTCATCCGATGGAAGGGTTCCAGCCTCGAACTTGGAGCCAATGTACTGTGTTGGAACAAAACCGAAGATAGTGGGATCCCATGTACCAAATTCGTATGGATTGAATTCGAAGATGGTAGCATTACCGCCGATGAGTTTTTCACCCGGATTCCTGCCATCGGCAACGAGAAGAGGGAAGGGCACATCGCCACTCTGGAACTTGGAATTCTGTGAGATGGACGACCATGTATAGGCCGGACCACCCTTGGGAGCGTTAATGAGCTGATACGACAATGCTCTGCCCCTATATACAACGTTAGCATATCAATGAAGAACCTAGAGTTTATGGCAGAATATCATACCAGATATCAGTGATAGAGGTCTCGAAGCCAGCGGCTTTCTTGCGAGAAATCTCCTTGATCATCTCCTTATAGTACTCAGCGGTGTCAACGACCCCAGAGCTACCATCATCTGGTCCCTCGAGAATGGACCGGTTAAACTTCCACAGCGAATTACTGCCTCCCTTTTGCAATTCCGTGATAGTACTGTCATTGTTGACGTACATTGAGCCAAGTAGCCATCCACCACCACTGAGACCGGACAGGTAAGTAGCTGACTGCAGCAAGCCACCCAGCTGTCCAGGCTCAGTCGAATTATCCGTCCGACTATCAAATGCCTTGAGGGCACCAGCTCCATTCATGAGAGCACGGTACCCGCCTCCTGAAACGGCAATGGCAACGTTTGGGAGCTTAGCAACATTGTCTGCGTTGCCTACGAGGTATGCCACGGCGTCAAAGCCTTCGATCTTCACGCGACTAAAGAAGTCTGCCATAGCGCCCGTGGTCTTCATCCTCCTTTTCTTCAGCCAGTCCTGTTCCTGCTGCGACAGCTTTGCAGCCGATCGAACAGCCGGTTTGGTAGATGGACAGTCGACTTCTGCAGGGGCATAGCCGTCTGGCGCATTTGGCAGAGCTCTGACTGCAACATCTGCGGCGGCATTAGGTATGCCGGCTCCAACGGTCGCTGTAGTATAAATTAGAAAGGGAAGTTCCAAGGGGAAAGGAATTGATCATCCGTAAATAGGCATGCTCAAACTCACCAGGAAGCAAGCTTGCTAGGACAAATGTTCCCAGCGTTGCTGGGATGAACATCATCGTAGCAGGGTTAGGCCTGCAACACCAAGGTAATGGACACTAACGTTGACAAATATTATATATATTTGAAGAAATAAAAAAATAGTATATAGTCCGCAATCAGCTAGTTAGCTTTGAGAAGAAACAGAGAACAATGCCATACAAGCGAGCGCGGGGGAGAATGTTAATATACATATGTATGTAGACGAGGAAGGATGAAAATTGATGCGTGGGCGCTTCCGGACTGTGACGGCGCCAGCTGAGAAATAAAAAAAGAACTGTTGCTATGGGTCGTCGGTGCAGCCAGCTGCTTAGGACTAACTTACTTTCCGACCAGGCGACTCGTTAGAGGTTCCTTTGAACGGCTAAAATTAACCTTGACTTTCAGCTGGTGGGTGATGATATCAGAGCAAAACTATAACTATCGAAGCTGTGCACACACATTACGGATGCTTAATCGTGTTAAAGACTGCGCCATGTCCCGCGATCGCCGTCAGCCTCATGTTGCGCCTAGTTTTAGGTCAGTCCTTCCTGCTTAAGCGTACACAGCATAAACTGCAGACGGTCATATCCAACAATCGACAGTACGGAGTATCTCACATGAATTTTGAAGTGTGCAGTGGGGGACACAAAAGCCGTGCAAGGTCCCCGATAAAAGAGTAGGCGGATGATCCATCTAGCTGGGATACGAAGCCCAGAGAACGCTCCTTGGTAGAAGGGCGTCGTTCATCCTTCAGCCCGGAAGACTCGTCTTCTTTTTTCAGGCATATTCTCGAATTCGGCTCCGGTGGCTGAGCGAGTGACCAACCAGGACGCAGCGTCGCGTGGAGGCTGGTCGAGGTTTCTGAGTTATTCCTGCCCAGCCCTGTCGCACTAGGGAGATGAACAGGTGGCAGATGGATACCCTCATCCATAGTTAGGTAGTCTCCGACTCGCCCTACCCGAACATCTCAAACATCAGAGCGCAGAAGATCGCCTGTTTCGGCATTTGGTCGTTGCTATCAATATAATGACAGGAGAGTCCACCAGCCAACCAGAGTCGGCCGGTCAGAGTCAACAGTAACTAGTAGCCAGTCAGTCCAGTCGACTTGATCATGCAGCTTGGAATTGAGAGACTTTGGTGCTCTCGCTGTCTGCGGTACCTCCTTGCCCAGCTGACGTGGCCCTCGCGTCTCCCACCCACGTCCAGCGAGATCATGAAGCCATCTAGAACCCTCTCGCTTTGTCTTCTTCCTGTTGTTGTGGTTGTATGGAGGAGTTTGCTGCTGTTGGTTCTTCTTCTTTCTTCTCTGTTGCGTTTTCCTCGCTGACTAAAGAAGATTACTAATATATGACTAGAAATGTATATCACATGATATCATGTGACACTTGTCTTAGTCATTTCTTAATAAACACCTTAGTCATCCCATCCAAACATGCGTCCACGAGACCCCTTCTTACCCTAGAAGGCAAGAACAACAAAAGCGCGAACGCGCCTTCCCCACACTTTCCTTTTTCCCGCACCCGCCTCCCCTTGGCCCGTGTGCCTTCCCACCAAGAACTATATGCAAATAAGCGCCCAGGATCCCGTTTGATGAAGACATAGAGTGGCTAGTAAGGCGTGTTATACACCCAGAGTTTACTAGTTCTGACCAGGGATCAGGCTGATGCAAGATGTGGAAAGACAGGTACCTGGATACACACTCTATTTCTTCCCCATGTTGAACCCCGGATTGGTCATCACAGCCTCATGATGACAATGACCGTGGGCCATCCATGATCTGACAGTTCCGTTTTCAAGTAGTGGTACCAAGCGTCAGAATATCCAGCGTGAGAGCGCGAGTGACGACAGTGACGACAGTGGTCGGATACTTCCAGCCCAGCACCGTAAAAGACTGAGAAGAAACACCATCGTCCCCAAGACTAGTGATAATCACAGTGTCGGGTGTGGAGATAGCGATGATGTCAAGTCTGGAGGCGGTGACATTGATTTGAGGGACCGCAGAATGCCAGAAAAACGGTTCTTGGTACTTACAGCAGCAGGGACAGCTTGTGATCCAGAGTTGATACCTTCACCAGAGACAAGTTCTGACGTCAGGGACGAAGTTCTTGATCGAGAGGATCAAGGACAGTCGACATCAACCCCAAGTGAACAACAAGTAGATGAAGACTCGATGGCCCACAGTAGTGATCAGCGAATCGCCGAAGGCGAGGAACTTGAGTCTTCACTAGAAGATTTCAAGGAGTCAAGCGGGTCAGAAGACGAAGACAACAGCGGCTCGTTACCACTAGAGCCTGAAGAGGCCAGTGATTCTAACTTTGACCTAGAATCAGAGTCTGAGGCCGCGAGCACCGATACATCCGAATCGAAATTGTTGACCCAGGCATCGAGAAGAAAAATTTTTAGGAAGAGAAGTTCCGTACCTCAGATAAAACGTCGCAGTCGTAGTGCCGAAGATCACTACCACAAACGCTGGCATTCAGGGAAGCCATCAAGGGTATGATATATCAGCAAGTAATATTCCGTAGTGATACTTGAGTAACAACTTAGTACTTTGCTGACACTATGACGTAGGAAGCACAGCAGAACATTGTGGAGAAGTTACGGTACGTATTCTTCTCCTTTGCAGCCACTAGTGATGGTGGTTAACTGTTAGAAATAGCTCTTTGTTCTGGGAGGGAGAGAGCGGAAATGGTGCTCGCCTCCCGAGATGTTTTTCGTGCCGCATGTCTGGTGTTGTAAGTAGTCTAAATTTGTTAAGTAGTATGTCTCGTGAGGTCTCACTGACGCTGTATTTTAGACTCCACCATCAGACGGTACCCTGATTGGAGATAGGCTGGAGGAACGACTGCCCTGCGGCTGCCTGTACAAAGTGCGACCGTGCCATTAACCCTGTACTTTGGAGGATTTTGACTGACCCCCGATGATCAGGAAGCCATGTTGGAAATGTACCTCGCAAAAAGAGGAATCCTGACAGTGAGTGGCTAAATAGCTAGTGAACGGCATTTCAGCCGTCCAGGTGACCAGACTGATACTGACGTGTTGATCTCCTTTTTGTTGAGATGTCCAACAATATTCCCCAGAAACAACAGCGCCAGCGGCAAGATAGGCTTGGCCAGCACCATCGCCGCGACCTCATCAATATGTTTGAGCTCTTCTTTGGCCCATTCACTGTGGAGAAGGCATGTAACCGACCCCAACTGATCGAAATCACCAGAAACGGGAAAAGAAAAACACAATTATTGAAGGACAAATGACCATGTTAGCTAACGGCTTTTCTCTCTTCGTATCGACGATACAGATGCTGAACCTGGGCGGTGCTCGGCTCAAAGCTGCCGAAGAAGCAGCTCGGCAAGACGACATGTTGGCCGACCGCCTGAGTAGTACGCGTCTCTAGCCACCAAGTCGGCCGTTTCTTGCGCTTCGAAAGCCATCTCTGTGCCTCAAGTGCATCATTGCATTATGTGTACCATCCCGCCTGCCTGGTTACAAGTCCTTGAAAGCAGGTCGATCATCCCCAGCGAGTCTGCGTACCAAAACGTGCTTTCAAGGTAAAGCATGCATGTTTTACACCACTCATCCTTATTAATAATTCTCCCATCCAGACGTCGATGCCAGTGGAGCCGCCAGAATCTGCGAGGTCTTCTGATGCTCTTCTTTTTGCTTCTTTTCCCCAATAACACTCACCAGCGCGCACTGCTATTTATACTCGATTTTGCCTCCCGCGATCCAGGCCGTCGGGGCCAAGCGCCCAGCGTCTCCACCAACCGGCACCCCGGATTGCCCTTTTTGGCCATCCGCGCCAGCTTATCCCCACGGCGTCTCCACCGACCTTAAATCCGAGCTTAATAGGAGGAACTCGGTTTGCATGGTTGCTGGAACATTGATGTAAGATTGAGTGCTGTAGAGTTATAAAGTGACTAGTACTGTTGATGTTTCCTGCTGCTGCGCTGGCCAGAACGTCAGCAGACCTGCTCCTGTTTCAACACTCGGTCCGTTGGCCGCTGGAGAATGGCTACTTGGGAGGCTTGCTCATTATCTAGCTAAACTAGAAGACTAGCAGTCAAGTACTAAGCAACTGACTAGTAGTTTACCCCATACTTCCGTGCTCCGGCCATTCCAGGCTCTGTCTGTTGGCTGGCCTGCCCAGGTACTGCCTTATCCGGCCGGTTGCCCCGTCTTCGGAGTACACGATACCGCTCTGGGGATTCCGGCCTCGTTGCCCTGTTTGCTTTGCTCAGGAATCAACAGGAATGAGCAGGGCCATGCCATGTCTCGTACACATCAGCTACCGTCAATGGTGCCTTGTCCTCCTTCCTTGATCGGCTGAATGGCAAAGGGGGGAAGGCCTGGCCCAACACCCGCCATCCTGTCCGCAGCGCCTCGTTTAACCCAACTGCGAGTACATAAATAAGGTCACACGGATCCCATCTTGTCTTCCCTGACCTCCCTTTCGCTCACTGACAGACCAAAACTCATTCATCGAATCCCCCTCACTGGCTCGTATTTGCGTTGTGTTGTACTCAGGCAACTATAAAAAGCCTTACTATTCTTCCTTTGACTACTTTGGCATCTTTTCCCCCGTTAAACCCACAGACAACCGTTCGGAATGCAACTCACCAATATGGCTGATTCCAAACAAATACTGGCCGTGTCGGCCCCTGGTGCAAAGCCGCCAGTTCTCTTGGGCACAAAGGAGCGCCTCCCTGAGTTCCAGCTTGCTAATAAGGTTGTGCTTGTGTCCGGAGCTGCCAGAGGCCTTGGGTTGACCCAGGCTGAGGCCCTGCTAGAAGCGGGAGCTATTGGTATGGATCATTGCCTTCCAATCTTCAACAGCTCCCTCATGCTGACGTTTCGATAGTCTATGCACTGGACCGTCTCGAAGAGCCCGTAAGTCATGAATCCACTACTATTCCACTCTGCGAACTCCCAGCTAAACGTGCCAAAATCAGTCCGAAGACTTCCACCGAGTGAAAATCCGCGCCACAAAGGAACTCAACACTGAGTTCCATTACCGACGCATCGACGTCCGTGACACCGAGGACCTTGAGAGAATCGTGCAGGAGATAGCTGACAAGCATGGCCGCATCGATGGTCTGGTTGCTGCTGCGGGCATCCAGCAAGAAACTCCCGCACTCGAGTACACGGCCAAGGATGCAAACACCATGTTCGAAGTCAATATCACCGGTGTCTTCATGACTGCCAAAGCAGTTGCTAAGCAGATGATTCGCTTTGGAACCAAGGGCAGCATTGTCATGATTGCCAGCATGAGTGGCACGATCGCCAACAGAGTATGCTCCCCACCTCCGCCTCCACCTCTGAATGATTACCTAGTCAGACCATATCTGACCGACTACAGGGTCTAATCTGTCCAGCCTACAACGCTAGCAAGGCCGGTGTCATCCAGCTTGCTCGCAACCTTGCTTCTGAATGGGGCCAGTACGGCATCCGTGTCAACACCATCTCCCCGGGCTACATCGTGACCGCTATGGTTGAAAATCTATTCGTCGAGTTCCCAGAGCGCAAGACCCAGTGGCCAAAGGAGAACATGCTCGGCCGTCTCAGCGAGCCCTCAGAATACCGAGGCGCAGCCGTCTTCCTTATCAGCGACGCCAGTAGCTTCATGACCGGAAGCGATCTCAGAATCGACGGTGGCCACGCTGCATGGTAACACCATCTTCTAAGCTGGTTTTCCCAACAATTCACTCTCTTTATTTTCCTATTTCTCACCTCATTTAGCGACGTTTGCGATGTTTCTTTGTCTCCATTGTTCGTTTTGTTCAGTTCACATGCTTTGACTGGGTTCCCGCATAGGTCTTTTTTTCCCTTCGTTTTATCAATAATTATGGTTGCCCATCTCTGCACTTAATAGATGATAATTGGTGGGGGGGTGGTCGGGGCAGCTGGAATGCATAGGTGTAGCTGACATGGCTGGATGTTCTGGGCCGGGGGCGATATTTGAATCCGGCCTGGCGTTGCATGGGGGGTGTCAGTTCTGAAGGGCCAGAATGTTGCTAGTATGATAATAACAAGCAAATAAACAAGATCAATGTCCTTTTTCCTGCATCCTGCTGCATCTAAAGTATGCAGTCTAAGGTAATATGAATGGAGTATAGACATAACGAAGTTCTTCCATCGTCTAGCAGTAGAATAATAATAGCAAGAAGTTGAAGCAAAGAAAACAGGAAAAGAAACACTCTAGTTGAAGATCACGAGCCGAGGCTTGGTCCATGCTGACTAAGCAGACAACCTCCCTCCCCCCAAAAAGCAAATATTAATTTAGACAACACAACGCAGGCAACATTCACCAACCTTCAGCTAGGGAATATAGAAAAAAACGCTGGACTAGCATATCAATCAGAGTTTCGCGTTCTACAATCTTCCTATTCGCCTGTCGAATACTCAGACTCAGCTACTCAGCTTCTCCCACTGACAACAATCGGCAACAGCTCCCCGGCGCCATGGCTGAACAAGTGAGTACCTCATTAGTCAACTCAGCTCCCTAGTTAGCTAGATACATCGGTCATAAGGTACTGATACTATTCGATGACTCTACTAGACCAAGAGCCATATTGCTGACCCTCCCACTGGTCTGTACTTCTTCTACGGCACCTTGATGGACCCGACGCTCTTGGTCCAGCTCCTCCACCTAGATAAGCTCCCTGACCTACGCCCCGCGTCGATCAAGGGGTACAAGTTCAAGCTTTGGGGCCCCTACCCGGCACTTCTGGACGACGAGCACGATGATTCTGCCGTGATTGAAGGAGCTGTGTATAACGTTGAGTCGGTAGAGCATGCGCACGCCCTCGCAAACTATGAGACCAAGAATTATACTACGGGCACCACCACGGCGTATTACTCTGACGGACAGCAGCCAGAGACTGACCAGGTTACCATCTATGTGTTTGCGGGCAATCGGAGAGACTTGACGGAGGGAGATTTCAATCTGGAGAGATGGATGAAAATGATGGGCAGGGGGAAGGTGTTGGATGATTTGGCTGCTAAGAAGGCTGGGTCTGCTAAGAAGCCCGAGTCCTCTTGAATAATAGAATGGTGCTAGTCTTACAATGGCGGGTAAAAGGGAATTTCTTCGGTCTGAACGCTTATGATAGACGGGCGAGGGTTATGCAGGCAACTCCGGGTGAGCTATGGGAATCAACCATTGTTCAATGCGTTTCTTATTCTCCTTTGTGTCTGTAGAATGGAGCTGATTCGAGTGTCGACAGCGTCTTTCGCCACCTGATAATGAACCGTTGACAAGCTCCCGTCATTATAGCCGAGGAAAGGCTTGTCTCTCCCTGAAAGACACCGCGCGCACACACTACGGAGTATATCCGTACCACCTAACTTCATTATGGCCAGAACAAGAGAGTAGGTATCCTCATTGTTGTACCCTGTTCAAAGCAGCCCCTAGTTAATTGGCCACCAACGCCCTAGGCAGTGGCATTATCAATGACCTATTCCTCTCTTCAAAGACGCATTGTTAAGCGGCGGCCTCTAGCCGGGAGGCTCCCTGAGCCGCCTCGTCTCTTCTCTTCCGCTTCCGTCACACGGCCGGAGCCGTCTGGCGTGACGGGTGAGCTCATGGCCGCAACCGCAGTGGATGGTCTCCATCCATGTAAACAAACAAAACCGCCCAAGCAGCGGGAAACACGACGGCAAGGTTCGCCGGGAGCCATGGGTCGCCTGCATCCCGAGCCAGGCTACTGTACCTCGAGCCCGCGTTCGGCCCTGCAGCGGTATCTTGCGCCATGCTCCGTACACTCCGTAACCAACAGCGACTCCAACTCCTCCCCTCGAGTCCTGTCCTCTCTTCTAGCAACCACCCAAATTATTATATAACGAATAATAATAATACATACATAATCAAGCCAGCGAGGAGAGAGAAAAGCAAAGAAAGTGACACGTCGATCCGGCGGCGGGCTTACCTAAGCGCTCTCCACCGCCCGTTGGGCGAAAGAAATATTTACATTATTATTATCATTGTGCGTGGTTGGCGGCCGCCGACGTTCGACTTCACCTCTTCACCTCTTCACCTCTGCGCCTCGCAACCGCATCCGGGCTCCCTTCAGGCGGAAACGGAAGACATAGAGCCTGCAGGAGAAAGCTCGCAAAGCCGCCTGCTGCAGACAAGGGTGCACCCAGAGACTGGTGAAACTTGCCCTTTTTCTTGCTTCCGCCTGCTGTTTGTTTCAGCAGGACAACAACGAAAAGGGAGTTTCAACCGCGTGTCAACACTGGCATATTTATATCAGACAGTCTGCTCTGCTTCTCGCTGATATCTGCATCTTTTTCTTCTCTGTATCGCTGCATTATCTACTTGTTCTTCTATCTCTACCCCCGGTTTGCCTGTTTATCTCCCTTCCCAAGGAGCTCTATACGCGGCTGTTGGCCTACTCTATTTGAGTGAAGAGAAAATTACCGAGTACGTGCAGCGACTTGATATCAGGCCTGATTGGCTGCTCTTCGGGCTTTTTTCCTTCATTTGTTTTTTACTTCGAATACAAAGTTGAACTCGGGGTTATTGAACTAGCATCTGAGACATTTGCTCACCATGTCTGAACGCGGTGGTTACCGAGGCCGCGGCCGTGGTGGCGGAGATCGTGGTGACCGTGGAGGAAGTCGGGGCCGCGGTGGCGGTGGCCGTGGTGGTCGTGGTGGTCGCGGCGGAGGAGACTTCGATGGCGGACGTGGCCGTGGAACCTTCACTGGCGGCAGAGGAGGACGCGGTGGAGGAGGTCGTGGACGCGGTGGTTCTCCAAGCATCTATGGGTAATTGGACTTTTCATATTGTTTTGACTACTTTTTTTTTTTTTGTTTTGTTTTGGGTCATTTGTGATTGATCATGGAAATGATCAATCTCCGGTATGAGACTTGCTTGTCGTTTGAACTAATGCGTTGATGTGGTATATAGCGAAGGCCATCCTGTTCCTCCACCAGATGCCGAGGTTCAAAAGATCGAGGATACCTACATCAAACAACGCAAAGGGTTGAGCCTTGACACTCTCAAGCTCTCCCAGGCTTTCCCCCTGAGACCGGCCTATGGTACGCGTGGTAACCCCGTGGTTCTCTGGGCAAACTACTTCCCACTGGTCCCTCAGACAGGCATCACTCTGTACCGCTACACCGTCAATGTCGGGGTCGAGGGCAAGCAGCCACCTGGCTACCGGAAACTTAAGCGGATCTTTGAAATTCTGCTGGAAGACCATTTGTCTGCCTTCCAAGGTCACATAGCCACTGATTTTAAGGCCACCTTGATCTCGACCACCTCCTTGGATTTGACGTCTGAGTCGCTCGAGGTTGCATATCGGGATGAATTTGACGCCGTTGCTGAGCCGAATGCCCCCAGATACCCCCTCCGTATCGTTGAAATCGCCCCGTTGGTCTTGGATGAGCTTCTCAAGTTCCTCAAGTCCCCAGGAGCCGATGCATTCGGCCAAAGCAAGGAAGAATACCTCCAGGCCCTCAACATCGTCACCGGCCACTTCCCCAAGATCTCCCTTGATACCTTTAATGTTGGCCCTAACAAACATTTCAAGACGAAAACGAAGGACATTTTTGATCTTGGAGGAGGTCTCAATGCTTACCGGGGCTATTTTGTCAGCACTCGAGCTGCGACGTCTCGTCTCCTGGTCAATGTGCAAGTCAAGCACACGACTTGCTTTTACGACGGACCCTTGGTCAATCTGATGACGAGCACACACAACTTATTCGGTCTGAAGCAAATGAACAACTTGCTCAAGGGCGTCAAAATCTCGGTCACCCATCTTCCACCAAAGACCAATAAAAAGGGCGAGAGCGTCAATCGCACAAAGACTATTCTCGGGCTTGCTACCGCTAAGGACGGTGCAAGCTGTGAATTCCCACCAAAAGTTGAACACTCGGGCGCTGGACCAGCTGATGTCCAGTTTTACATTTCAGGAAGTGAGCACTTCGAAACCGGCTACCATTCTGTTTATGACTACTTTAAAGTCCGTATGTATTACTGTTTCTTCCCTCTATTTTTTTTAATACCCCTTCATCGGTTGATACAACGCTAACTATCTAAGCTAGGTTATAAAATCGAGCTGGACATGCGTTCTCCTGTGGTTAATATCGGCACGATGGCCAACCCCAGCTATCTTCCTGCTGAGGTCTGCATAATTGAGCCAGGCCAGTCAATCAGATCCAAGCTTAGCCCTGCTCAGACCCAAAAGATGATTTCTTTTGCCGTTAGACGTCCAAAGGAAAATGCTGAGGCCATCGTCAACCACGGGGCCCAAATTATCGGTGCAACCCTCCAGCCTCAAGCCACAGTGAGTTCCTTTTCTTTTGCGATGCCTTGATGAGCGTCGATGCTTGCTTCGAAGTGATTCCCACAATTATACTAATTCCCACTCCCAGGACACCATGGGCATCTCCTTTACCCCCAAGCTGATCACGGTTCCGGGACGCGTCTTGAGCAACCCTTCTGTTCGTTATAAGGGTCAGGGTGTGGCTGCCATCCGCTCTGGTAGTTGGAACCTCAACAATTTAACCTTTAGAGTTCCTGGCGCTCCCTTGAAGGATTGGGCGTATGTCATGATTGGAGATGGCCACATCCCTTCTGATCCAGATCGCGCCGTCACGGACTTTATCAACACCGCCAGGGCACAAGGCTTAACCTTGTCACCTCCACTGAAGGCTGGCGGAAACACTGATGGTCTCGCGTGGGTGGTGAATTACAGAGACCCCGGCAATGTCGAGAAGAACGTGGATGAGATGTTTAGACGAATCAAGTCAAATGCCAATCTCAAGAACGCGAGACTACTGTTAGTTATCCTTCCAAATGATAACCCGACAGTATACAAACGGATCAAGCTCAATGGCGAGGTCTTCCATGGCATTCAAACCGTCTGTGTCATCATGTCGAAGTTTACCAAGTCGAGCAATGTGCAGTACCATGCCAACGTTGCCATGAAGTTCAATTTGAAACTCGGAGGTACAAACCATGTCCTTGATGATTCCAAAATGGGAATCATCGCAGGTGGCAAGACGATGGTTGTTGGCATTGATGTCACTCACCCTGCTCCAGGATCATCTGAGACTGCCCCTAGTGTTGCTGGCATGGTTGCCAGTATTGACAAAACCCTCGGCCAATGGCCAGCAATTCTAAGATTGCAGCGTGAGGCTAAGCAAGAGATGGTCGATGATCTCACTGACATGCTCAAGTCCCGCCTTCGCCTTTGGCATAAGAAGAATGGCGTGTACCCTGAGAACATCCTTGTCTACCGTGACGGTGTCTCGGAGGGTCAGTACGGCAAGGTCCTGCATGAAGAGCATCCCCGCCTACTCAGGGCCTGCAAGGAACTTTATACCGGCGGAGTAACCGCGAAGCTGCCTCGAATGACTATCATCGTTGTTGGGAAACGGCACAACACTCGTTTCTACCCAACCAAGGCCGAAGATTCCGAGAAGGACAATGCTCGCTGTGGCACTGTTGTTGACCGCGGTGTCACCGAAACTCGTAACTGGGACTTCTTCCTACAGGCCCATACCGCCCTTCAAGGAACTGCTCGTCCTGCGCATTACTATGTTGTCCTCGACGAGATTTTCTCCCGCCGCCAGAACCCGGCATATCCAACCGTCGCTGACGAGCTTGAAGATCTCACTCACAACATGTGTTACCTCTTCGCTCGTGCCACCAAGGCTGTCAGCATCTGCCCACCGGCGTACTATGCCGATCTTGTTTGCGAGAGAGCAAGAGCTTATCTCAACTACTTTTACGACGAGAACCTTAGCCAGAAGTCTGGATCGGCCTCTGTTGCTTCCGCAAAACATCTCCAGCCTCACCCCAACGTTATTGATACCATGTTCTACATGTAATGTGGTATTTATAACCACCAACAACACGATGATGGACTCCCTGGGCATATCTATACTCCATCCTCCTTTACCACTGTTCGGGTTATTTCCTTTTTCCTCCTTTTCTACTGCGTCGTATCTTTTTTTTCTTTCTATCTTTTGAACTCAGCCTACTTATGTTTTGCTCTATCAAGCTACGCCAAATTGTGACCCGGGAAAAGTGGCAGACACATTGAAAGCGTGTTTTGGCGAACCAGTTGGATACTACTTGACCAAGTTAGTTGAGCAAGAGAGCGAATGATTGTCTCTCCCAATTGGGGTACTGATTGATTACACTGTCGTCAGCTAATTGCTGCTTTTATCTTCTATCTTTTATCTCTTACATATCGATAAAAAAAAAAAACCAAAACCGCTCCATTGGATGGTCTCTAATAATACAACAACATTATGCATGCTTCGTCGTCCATTGTCTAGTTAGTTATATCGTACAAGGCCTTTTCCACCAAAATCGTGACAAATGCGAAATAAGCATCACCGTACATCCGCTACCACCCCCTTTGGCCCTAAGCTAGTCAAAGTTCCCTTCTTCAATCCAAACTGTGTCTCAATAACCTCCTCACTAACCCCTTGTCCATCTCTCATGGAGATAATCTGCTTCAAACTAACAACGTCCACAAACCGACGTCCTGCGTGGTCCTTTCTCCCCAACGACTCCATGTCAGCCTCAGCCTCAGCTGATATTCTTGTCCGCGACATCAGCGTTAACAACGACGGATTCGCCTTGACTTCTTCACTTATTGCTCCGGGAGTAGGTGCTGAGACATTCCGCCCCCTCGGCTGGTTAAATGTGCTGCTTCGTGAAAGTGTGGGCATAGGAGTTACAGGTCCTATCGAGCGAAGCGAGGCTGCAAAGTCGGGATCCCGGGCGTCAAGATCAATTGCTTTCAGCGCAGTCAGTAATGGGATACTCTGTATGTTTGTGCAATACTATACGTTGACATACCTTCTGACCGAGTGGTGCTTGCTTTCTCTTGACCCTGTGTGTTTGCACGGTTGGTTGTCGGTGCTTGCGGCTGCGTCTGCGACGGCGGCTGAGAGGCAGCTGGTGTGCTGGTGGTTGAAGGGGAGGGCCGAAGAGGATATTGGCGGCGGGAAGCAGCTGATGCTGCTGCGCGCGCTGGTTTTGAAGCTGATGTGCCCATTGTATATGCGAGGTATGGCTATGTTTGTTGTTCTTGTTCGTAGCTTGTGGAGGAAAATTGACTGCGGTGTTGAAATTTGGTGATGTCACTGGATTTTAGTTAACGTTACTTTCGTACGACGAGCAAGCTTGCATGTGTCGGCCAATGGGACGGCAATGAAAGTAATTGACTACAGAAATGAGATAAGTTTCATATACGCTTGTACTGCTATTTTATCTAAATCCGCATGTGACATCAAATGTAGGGGTTTAAGAGTGACAGTCTATAGCCATGGGATGCCAATAATCCCAGTGTTTTTGTTGAATAACAGGAGATGTCTGTATCTATCGATGACCGGCAAGTCGTCTCTGCTGCACTTCACCCAGAGCTCTGCTTCCACTTATAACCGATACAACTCCAATGGCTGCAGCAACCGGTAGCGTCTGGAAAAGGTTCCAGCTCGTGTAGTACATGAAGAAGGTCAACTCAAGCCCAACGATGGACCCGACGAAAACTATATGTGGGAGAGGTGCGGATTTCAGTGCAACGGAAAGGTGATTGGCATTGGCACCCATGTAAAGCCACTGTATTTATCGGTATTTGTTAGTATGTCTTAAATAGTGCGAACTGAATTGTTTAGAGGTATAAACTCACCGAGATCGCAAGGAGCGGTAGGGTGGCCAGGACAGCAAGGACAAAGAACAGGGAGACAATCATTGGTGGGCTGCGCGGGTCTTCTCGGAACGTATGGTGGATTTCTTCCAGTTTGCCGTATCGAAGAGCCTTTGAGGTGGAAAGAGGGGTATCCGGCTTATGTTCGACTGATAGTTTAAAGACGGACTTGTAATAACCGCTTGAGGAACCAAAGGAAGCAATCAATAGGGAGGCTTCAACTGGGGTTTTGGCAGTGAGGAATTGAACAGGGAGGTCCTTCTGATTCTATAGTCGATATAATGGTTAGAAATAATCTGGTAAATTAACCTGGTATACGCAATTTACTGTCATTTCAACTGACCAATTCGACAACAGCCTTTCCATTCCCCTTGACATTGAGCGGGTATGAGATGTCCAGCCCTGAGTCAATTTCTCTGAGGGTCAAAAAGGCCTGATGAGGTCTGGCCGCAACTTCATCCTCCTGTATCGTCAGAAGGAGCTTCAGTGTGCTTGCATCGTTCAGTGTTATCGTCTTAGCCAACGGCTTGTCTTGTGATAGCCTGTGATGGTAGTTAGCAAATAGCTAACAAATAAGGCGACAGGTACTGCCAAATGCTTCCAATGGCTGGCAAAAGCATACTTGTGCTTCTCGGCGCCGCCTATCCCAGCACCCTTCTGATGAATAGATAGTGTGCCATCGGCAAACCCCCATCCGGATGAAGCGCATAATCCTGGAGCAGCTAGAGCTAGGAGACCGAGTTGGAGAGCTGCAAAAAGCCGCATGATGGCTGGCCGGACAAGGAAACTCAAAAAGTCGATAAGCAGATATTCTCCCAAGCCCTGTCGCGACGTCTAGCAGTGTCTTTCACTGGTCTTGAATTGTCCATCCAGTTATCGCCAACGTCGTCCCTCTCGCCCTTTTGCTTCTTGACAGATATCGTGATATTACGTAATATATAGGTACAACTGCTTAGTCATTTGTTCTCCCTTTGCTTTTGATGGAGCCGGAGTTAAGACTCGGATATACGATGCGCCGCTGCCGCCACCTCCCGCCATCCATCCATGCCATGGATATCATAAGACAGCAGGCCATCGTCATTCATCATTTCTACGCCTATTTATCTGCTTTTCCAGTGCTCAGGTAGAGTCGAGGCATTCGTTTGCTGCTCCGTCGTGTCTTGGAGCTCAGGCTACGTGACGTTCCCTCGAGCTTCCGAAAGGCTATGAGCCCGGTTCATATCGCAAAAAGCGTACGTTGAAGAACTGCTCGACAAGTTCGGAATGGCACAAGCCAAAGCAGCTCCTACACTGATGGGGAGCATCAAGAGCAAGGAGAGCCGTTGAATGATAAGGACCCGATATTTTAGGTGGTCTCAACTGGCTAGCGATCAAAACGCGGCCTGATATATGCTTTACCCTGGGCGAACTCCAACGGGCAATTAAAAACGCTACATCCGTTCATTTGCAACAAGCCAAGCATATCCTCAGATACCTTACAGGCCAACCGGGCGCCGCCTTACATAGGCAAACACCCAGAACGGCGTCTGGAAACTTTCATTAACGCCGAAGACCAGATCAACGGTAAATACGTGGAGTCCTACATCTTCTTCTACACCGACTATCCAATCAAATAGAGGTCTATACGACAAAGCTAGTTATTACATCTAGCACGGTGGCCGAATTCGTGATTCGAAGAAGCTATTAAGGAGCTGCTTTAAAGCGCTTAAGTCGCTTAACCTGCCAATGGTCGAACCGATAATGCTATAGATAGACAGCGTAAACAAAATAAATGCTGTGACTGGTTGTTTCTGCCGCAAGACTACTCGCTGGCTCGATAACCGCTACTTCGTGGTCCAACAATACCGTGATAAAGGCGTTATTCAGCTCAAATATGTTAACACGGATAATAACGCTGCTAACGGCCTAAGCAAACCGCTCGAACGTACGAAATTTGCAAGATTCCTACAGCTACTAGACCTACAGAACGTTCGACAGGCTTGATGCCAAACAACAACTACAACCATCCTTTCCTATGTTATTTCACATGTACTTTACACCAAAGTGTCAATCACCAATGATGCAGAGCATCGAACACACTTCTTCGATATCTTGAACGACGAGCCTTCAAGACACGAAAACGCCAGCTTCAGCAGTTTCAACAGCAGGAAGCCATTACTACAAAGAAACTAGCCCTTTTCGCTGAAGAGAACCGCTACACGATTGAATATGTCGGATCCTGCATAGTATAACTACTAGTCAGGTCTAGGAACAGCCAAACCAACGATGATATGAATCCCTTCACTGCATGCCCTTTTCGATCATATATCCTCGGATATAAATATGTTTGAAGATACACATAGTCATAATCTCCTGGATATGTGCTATAATATACTGCGGGCGACATTTCATAACATATATTTCCACCCAAGAGTGATACCTACATGAGCTTTATGTGCTTTACAAGGGCAATTTAATTAGGGAAGCGGCGTGAACTTATCCTAGTTAGCCATATACAGGCTTCGTTTCTAGAGCGAACATGCCAATTATCGGGATACTCAGTCGGACAGGTTCAAACAACACTCTATTTCAAATAGCAAGCTTGCTATAACTATCGAAAATATATAGAAGCAGTCTCTATTACTAAATGACACTCTAGTTTCTAGCGTGGTACATTTATTAAATAGGAAGAAACAGCTTGATACAATGGGACAATCTTTTTTTTACCTTAGAATAGGCCAGAATAGGAGGGAATCTTCCCCTGATACTGTCATCCTCCACTTCTAGTCCTAATATTAGAAGTATTTGTCTATTGACTAGAAAAAAAAAAGTTGTCTCTTTCTATCTATCTACAATGGCATTCACAGCTGTCACAGACAATGAAGGAGCGCCGAGTGTTGCATATGTTATTGTCTTGCATACATATATTCCGGGGCCCCTTTACTGTATTCAACGTCCAATGACACTGAAGATTGTCAATCGGCATAACACAGTCCTATTGTCTATTCGATGCTACACTTCAACAGAGGGCCTCTAATCCAGATGGGCATAAATACCACCACCACCCTTCGCCAGGTCCAGGGGTTTACCGACCAGGAAAGGAACCTCGTCTTCACTGTCAGCTCTTGTTATCGACCTTGAAGCTAGCTTGCATTCTACTATCTACCCTTTCGGCACGAACTTCCTTCGAGAGAGCATTCTCCATATTCCATCACATCTACAAGCTCTCTTCCTCCTCTGCCGCTTCTGCCGTTTTATTGCCATCGGACTCCCGACCACATTCCTCCTTGCCAAACATGGAGTCCGAGAAGAAACCCGCCGCTACCACTGCGCGCACGTCTGCACGCACTAGAAAGCCAACCAGCAAGGCCAGAGAGGCCGAACTCAACAGGGTTACAAAGCCCAAAGCAAGGCCCCGGAAGCGGGCAGTCAAGAAGGATGCTACAGCACCCAAAGGCTCCAAGCAGGAGCCAGAGAAGAGCCAGCCAAAGCTGGAGAGCCCAGAGCCGGTCAAGCCAGATACCGGCAAAGAGGCTGGTAAGTTCAGTTCCTCCACCGCATAAGCAACGAAGGTATCATGCATCTAACAACCTGCCTTTCTCAGTAGCACGTCCCGAGTTTCCAGCCATCCCAACCATTCTCGTCACTGACGAGACGGGCAGAATCACTAGGCTGCCCCAGACACCACCACGCCTCAGCAAGGAGGACGAACAAGCAGTAGCCATCCTGCTTGAACTGGCTGCCGCAGCAATGGCGCCAGACTTTATCCCAGAGGTTGAGGTCGACCTGGTGGCTTACAGCCACCAATTCTACTCTCAATTCCCGACGGCAGCAGAGGCAACGACGATGGGTCGGCTGGCCGACCCATCCGAGCTCTCCTGTCCCGACCTCCCGCGCCCGCATACCGACAATCAAGGCTGGACGCACACCGGCCGTGTCAATGAACACGGCGAAGAGTACATCGTCATCCCACCATCGTTCGCTAGATGGTCGCCCGCCGAGCCCACCGACCCTTCGCCAGCCATGGAGGCCTGAGGTTGCGTCCTGTTGCTGGCAACGGGGCGCAACTGATGGCCTCCTGAGACAAATTTACCTGGCGTTTGTCGTTTCCACCGTTCAAGTTTGCTGTGGCTCACAAGTTGCCAAATTTTCCAGCGAGGGTATCTGACCCTGTGTTTTGTTAGATAGTTGTCTATTTCACTGTTCATATAGTTATGGGGCAAACGGATCAAGGGATACATAATGCATATTCTCATTTGTGGCATAGATAATGCCCTTTTTCTTCTACATTGAACGTTGTATAGAACGGAAGTTTGATATTGCAACTCAGCTAGTCAGTTGGCCAAGACGGGGGTGGTGATGACTAAAGCCCGCCGTACCAAAATCAAGACTCCATCGACAGAGTCTGGAACAACGACCGATTTCTGGCGATATCCGATCCAGTTCATAATCAATCGCAACCAACCATACTAAATAAACAGCTGCCCTTTATCTGTTGTCTCTAACTATTGATATCAGGGAGACCTCCATCCAAGCCTAGGCCATTCAAAAGATCACGAAAAGCGCAGTTTGAAATAACGAGTCGTCGCACCTCCCGAAAGATAGCAGCCTTTACCCGGAAAGAGAATACTGGATTATATACTCAGGGTGTCAGGACGAGTGCAAATCAAACTGAATCTGGAGCACAGGAGCCGGCTATTGCAGCGCTGCGAATTGCGCATAAATACCATACCAGGCCAACTCGGCATCCTATAAAACATGTCTTCAGCGAGACGAAGGACACCAGCGTCTGAACTGGCAAAAGCCATAAGCCAGTCTAAACAGAGCCCTAATGTGCACCTCCCACCGCCAAAGTCATCACATATCGTTCGGACGCAGGAGGAATTAGGACGAATGGGCGTGCGTGGGGCTCCAAAGCAGCCGGATATAAAGAAAACGCCGCAGTACAAATCTGCTGCTCGAAGGTGCGCTGATGTGGCTGTCTATAGTTCCTAAGACATTGCTAACTTTGGATATTTCCCGTCATTAGGTGGACTATGACAATAGTCGCGCTACCTATCCTGTTATACACAAGCTTTTCATTATACCAACGAGGTACACACCCTTTCTAGAAGCTGCTTGATATCCGCACTGAATACCCCTCTTGATATTCAAGTCGTGGTCAAGGCTAATCTTTATTGCAATATAGTCATCTATGGAAAATCGCCGAGGGGTCTACCTGGAGTAAATGAATTCAGCTCACAGGCTGTATATTCCTCAACAGAGAGCCCCAAAAAATCCAACGACTGAGTAGCCCCTTTTTCCTGACCTTGCCGGCCCCGTCTATACGGCCATACGATTTGTATCATACCCAACTGACACCATCTCGACTCAATTCCAACCCTACTTCGAGCAACCGGCTTTGTAAGCCATAACGAAGTGGTGTTTACTTGTCTAACCGCACCGCACTACCGGAAAGACTGATGGCCCTTTTCTGTCAAAATGACAACACTAGGGGCACATTTTCATAAGCTCATAGAGACTGGTATATATATAAACCAGAAGAAAGCTCGTCCTTCTTGCATTACTGCATGATAAATGAATGTATACGGAGTGCGGCTAAACTAGACCCAACCCAATAGATGCCACACAACCCTGGCAGGTAGTTTTGAATTGGATATAGCTCCTAGAATATGTGTTTTTCGCACTTTTATTTGCCTGTAATGTTGATTTCGAGCACCTCGCCGTCGCCCTGACGCTCGCCCAGTCCTGGCCACGTGACGTCTTTATATTGACACGCCGCAAGCTTCCATCGACGTCGTTTGATCGTAAGATTCTCTAAATATCGTGTGATTTCCGACTTCTTTACCTGTATAGACCTTCATATCCTGTTTATTTTTTGACTGCTGTCTAGGGTCACTCGCTTGTCCTATTGTGTATCTTTCGCAATGCCTGGTTCTACTGCGCAGAAAGCGCAAACGCAGGCCGTCTCCAGCAACCCCAAGAAACGCCGTAATAGCAGCGTACAGGCTGTAAAAGAGACAGCTGCATCATCCCGGCCGAAGCGCGTTGCGACAGCTGTGAAGAAAGCCGAAGCAGAAGATGCCATTGATGATGCTAAGAAGCGCCCAAAGAGCTCGAAAGTCAAGTCCGAGTCCGCAAAAGACAAGAAAGGTTTGACTGCCACTCGAATTAACCCCCTGCCAATGTTATCTCTATATTTATATGCCCATTAAATTCATGATACATGACTGACAAGGTTGATAGCGGCCGTGAAGAGCCCGAACAGTGGCTCTAAGCCTGTTCCTGGGAGAAAAGAGCGCCCTGCCAAAAAGTCAAACGGCGAAGCTACCATGGGAGAAGAGTGGGCTACAAAGAAAGCTACCATTGATGCGAAACCCAAGAGTACCGGCAAAGTAGAGTCTAAAGATGAAGGAAAATCATACTGGCTCATGAAGGCAGAGCCTGAGACAAGACTTGAAAAAGGAGTTGACGTGAGGTTTTCAATTGACGATCTGCGTGCTGCCACTGAGCCAGAGGGATGGGATGGTAAGCAAATATCCTGTTTTTATAATAATGGGTTCCCAGACTAATAACTTTGATTTTAGGAGTCAGGAACCCAGCTGGTAAGCTATATATTTGCGTTTCAGTTTCTGCTTGTACAGCGAGTAGCTCCTATTAACACCCACGTCATTGCAGCAAGAAACCATATGCGTGCAATGAAGAAAGGAGACCTTGCCTTCTTCTACCACTCAAACTGCAAGGTCCCAGGGATTGCAGGCACGATGGAAATCGTTCGAGAAAGCTCAGTAGACGGTATTTGCCATTTCCCCAACACTGCAGTTTCACAGCCTTGGGCTAATGTGTCATGTAGAGTCCGCATTTGACCCTGCACACCCATATTATGACCCAAAGTCCAGTCGTGATAACCCTAAGTGGGATTGGGTCCATGTTCAATTTCGGAGCAAGTTCAAAAACCTGGTCACGCTCGCTGATATCAAGTCTCACGCAAAGCCTGGTGATGCCTTGGAGAATCTCCAAATGGTTAAGCAATCTCGTCTAAGTGTGTCTCCTGTCACGGCAGAGCAATGGGATTTCCTTATGAGTTTGGCAGAGGAAGAAGAGCCTGTGAAAGAATAGCCAATAGATAATATCCGTGCTTTATGTTGTCCCCCTCCCCCTTCGGCCACGATAGCCCGCCAATTGTCTGGTATATCTGTTCCAAGTCCTTTTGACATGTTCTGGCGTTCGAATAAAGATATGTACAAGAATCTGTAGGTGGGCCCACGCGTCCTACCCCATTTGATAAGGGATTACATATATATATATTGTGGCGACTCATTTTCAGTGTTGGTTTTAAGTGGAGGGTGTGTTGGGCTCGCAGTACAGTGCAAATAGCTTCACGGGAAGCAGATTCAAATGCCGAGGAAAGCCCAGCTGGTCTTCTTCCCTTATAATTGAATAGCCTGATCCCTGGAAAAGATGTTTGTACTTTTCTTCTGTCCGAGTGACGCTTTTATCCTGCGGATCAAAGGTATCGTGTGGCTTGGTATTGAGGTTCTCCTTGACAATAACCACGCCAGACGGCGAGAGTGCATCTTTGCACCGGGTCAAAAGCTGCACAACTTGGTCGTCGGTGAGATAGAGCAGACACCACTGGATCCATATCAGGTCATATCTCTTCTCGGGTACCCAGTTCTCCAGGCCGGTGATGTAGACATCACCAACTTTCCCTTCCGCCTTGAGCTTCCCTTCAATCAGCACTTTGGCAAAGGCCTCTACCGGCTCGACAATGTCCACCGCCTCGCACACCTTGCTGAGTAGCCCTTCGGTAACTCTGCCAATGCCCGCCCCGCAGTCAACACCGAGCTGCAGCAGAGGCAGATGCGCCGTAGCAGCCAGAGCAGTCCCTCCCCCAATCGATGGCAGCAGACGGCGTACTTTGGCCAGAAAGGACCGTGAGGAGAGTAGATCCGCCCTTGAGATCTCAGGAAAACCTCCCAGCATGCCGTTTATGTTGGGTTCAACCGTCGTCCAGTATTCCACGGCGCCAGCGTTGTCAACCAGCCTGTCCGGGGGGAGCTGCCCGTCACCACCAGCGTCATCCCCGGGCCCGTCTGCCGTCTTCCGGTCACTGCGGTCCATAGTCCGAGCTCAGCTGCCTGGGATGCTGCAGAACGTCGCTCTTCTGCTGCTTTTACGCCGTGCCCTGCCCTCGTCTTCCCTGCATGAGGTTCCCGCAGCTGGCTCGGTCTCTGTTTTGGCTGCGGGACTTCGGCTGCGACTCCCGGAGGGGCAGAAAAAGGCAAAAATCTATGGATGAAACACCAAACATCGTCACCAGCAGCAACAACCAACGACGCCGGCATCAAACTCGACATCCTCGGCATCAACTTTTGTATTGACTACACTGTATACGCAATATATGTTCGGTCCCTGGCCGCTGGTAGGACACTTCTGCTCTCGCCTTGCCCGTGTGTCTAGGTCTACTCTGCTGCTTCAGCGTGATACACAACTCCGCCAACTATATCAACTAGTTCCCCGCCAGAAACAAACAGGCCACAGATTCTTCTCCTCCAGCCCAGTGTCCTGCAATATGTCTGGTCTGTCTGCAGAGCTCACGGCACCCAATGGCAGGAAGTACACCCAGCCATTGGGACTATTCATCAACAACGAGTTTGTTGCCGCCAAATCGGGACAGACGATTGTATCGGTCAATCCCACGTATGCATCATGTTTTCAAGCCCCTCAGAAATAAACACAGAAGACTCTGGATTACGATGCTGATGTCCAATGGACAGTGATGAGACAGACATTGCCACTGTGCATGCTGCCGGCACGGAGGACGTTGACATCGCTGTCAACGCAGCCCGAGCAGCCTTGAAGCATCCCTCATGGAAGGATTTGTCGGGCTCCGACAGAGGACGGATGATGGTTAAACTGTCTGAGCTCGTCGAGCAACATGCAGAGACTTTGGCCACTATTGAAACATGGGATAACGGTATGTGCTGTCCCCATCTGCTCTTATTCGCTCAGAGCCTTGTCCCACCCGTCGACTCGGGGGTATCTCCTTTTAAAGCGAAATTGGCCTGTATCTTACATGACCACGATCCTAGGAAAGCCATATTTGGTCTCCCTGAACGACGATGTAACTGAAGTTGCATCTGTCCTGAGATATTATGGCGGATTTGCCGACAAGATAGAAGGCAGGACTATCAGCACGACTGCCAATAAGTTTGCCTACACGTTACGCCAGCCCATCGGCGTCGTGGGCCAGATCATCCCGTGGAACTTTCCTTTGGCAATGGCTGCCTGGAAACTGGGGCCAGCTTTGGCATGTGGAAACACAGTTATTCTTAAAGCTGCAGAACAGACTCCTCTGAGTGTATTATACCTTGCAGGATTAGTGAAGGAAGCAGGATTCCCCCCTGGCGTTGTTAACATCCTCAACGGATACGGTAAGGAGGCCGGGGCCGCCATTGCATCCCACACCGGTATCGACAAAGTTGCCTTCACTGGCTCTACTGCAACAGGCCGTGCTATCATGAAAATGGCTGCGGCTAACCTGAAGAACATTACCCTCGAAACCGGTGGCAAGTCGCCACTGATTGTCTTCGATGATGCAGATATTGATCAGGCTGCAAAGTGGGCTCATACCGGTATCATGTATAACATGGGCCAGGTCTGCACCGCCACATCTCGTCTCCTCGTCCACGAGGGTATTTATGATCAGTTCGTAACGAAATTCAAAGAGGCCATTGCGTCGACCAGCAAGATTGGCGATCCATTTGCGGAAGACACATTCCAGGGGCCCCAGGTGACCAAGGCCCAGTACGACCGTGTGCTTTCATATATTGAGGCCGGCAAATCCGAGGGTGCAACACTTGCTACAGGAGGAGTGCCACACCAGAAAGTTGGCAATGGCAAGGGTTACTTCATTGAACCAACGGTGTTCACCAATGTGACAGACAACATGACAATTTACCGGGAAGAAGTATTTGGCCCCTTTGCCGTAGTCACCAGCTTCAAGACGGAAGAGGAAGCCCTGGCCAAGGCAAATGATACCACGTACGGTCTGGGCGCCGCAGTATTCACTCAAAATATCGAGCGTGGTCACAGGGTGGCCAGTGGTATCGAGGCTGGCATGGTCTGGATCAACAGCAGCAACGACAGTGACTTCCGTGTACCATTTGGCGGTGTCAAGCAGTCGGGTGTCGGAAGGGAACTTGGCGAAGCTGGCCTCGAAGCATACTCCCAGGTTAAAGCCGTCCATCTCAACATGGGAACAAGATTGTGAGGCCGCGGAGATCAAGCGCAAAGAATCGGTGAAAGGCGAGTCACTCGCATGTTTTTTCGCATCTTGAATCGGAAAACAACAAGGTCAAACCAATCAAAAGAACCCAAAAAAAAAAAAAAAAAAAAAAAAAACCCAAAAGAAAAGAAAAAGACAACTAAAACTAGCCTGCTTTTGGCCATAATCTCAGTCTACTCCGTGTTCTGGGCTGTTCGTCACTTGCTGAGGCCTGCGGGGAGCAGATAGATTCGACAAAGTCCAAATCGATCTCGGAGATTCTTTTAAATAGCTCTAGTGGTTGTACTCCGTACGACGGGTGAAATTGTTAATACATGAACTTTTTTTAAAAATAACTCCATCGTATTGCTTACCGCTTACCGCTCATGCACTGCCTCGTTGCAGTTAACTCGTTGGCTGGTTATATGCAAGCCAGAAACACAACACTTCAGTCCGGTTCGTATGCATGTACGAAGCATATTAGGCAGAAAGAAAAAATCAAACGCAGCCAATGCTTGCGGGAACCCTGGATATCAAACGATGCCATGCAGCTTTCGCCATGCTTGCTTCCCCGGTGCAAAGACAAGTCACCGATCCTTTCTCACCGAAAAAAAAAAAAAAAAAAAAAAAAAAAAAGGAAAAGCAAAAGAGCAAAAGGGACCAGACATTAATGACGAGATACAGTCATAATAGCTATACAACCACAGTTTAGCAGCTCATTTGTTCCGCCAGCTTCCGGCAATCTTTCAGGGGTACGGGGTACGACAGTATGTATACTTACATACGGAGTACAACCCAAGCAGAAGTGTGTCTGCCCATGGCACTAGTTTAACAGATTAAAAATGGGTTCTTTTTCCTGCGTACCACTGCTTCCACACGGCCATCACAGCTGATCGTCTAGATAACCGAGGAAAAACGAAGGATGCGAAATATGCCCTCGAATAAGATACCTTCCAGAATCTTGGTGGAATGAATAGAACCAGAATTATGGCCAGAAGACACCACAAAAATAGAACAAGAATGGTCATCAGACGCACGAGATGCAAGGTCAGAGGAAAAAGAAAAGCAAATGGCTTTTGAATCTGAGGAGATTGTAAACGGGGGGTTCTGCATTGCCGGCTCGGCTATCGATATCATCACTTGTGCTCCGCTTCGTGGTGCTGGGAAAGCTTCAATCCTGGTGATGGTCATCGTCTTCGGTGGCGTACTCCGAACTGCTTAAGGAGAGACATCCAAGCAGCGAGAGATAACACAAAAATGGGAAGAGTTACATATTACTTGTTCTCCGTTAAGCCCGTTTACCCGTATATCCTTAACACGGTTGTCATGGCTATGGTAAGTGCCTATGAACATTTAGCATCATTGCTGCTACGCTGCTCAATAACTAATGGCTACTGTACACTGTGCTCGCGGCACCAAGATCTCAAGCAGTGCAGTTTCTTTTTAGAATTCCGATCTGTACTGACTGGCATTGTAGTGCTTGCCACCAAGAACACCTTTCTGGGTCCCCTTTCCAGGCCTAAACTGGTGACTTGCCGAATGACAACTCATCTCCATAGCTACCAAGAGTTGGCGTCTCCCTCACAGGCGGATCTATGGATGAATGGAGCTTCAAAGAGGCCGATACTGAGAAGCCAAGCGGACCAGACAGGCCATTTTGTGGCGCTTGCGCGCAAGTCAACTTCCAAGAAACGCTCGACTTTTATCGCTCGTCACCAGACTCTCGAAGCGAGTAAATATAGAAACCATACAGGCAAGTTTCTGGGTCGCTTGAGACACCTGCAGCAAGCTCTTGCATCGTGTAACGGTCCCATTGCTTGTTCTCGTGTGCGTTGGCTTGACACACCCCCTCTGCAGCACGGGAGGAGGGGATCATGGTTTTTGATAGACTCCAAGGGCCAACAGCCGGTTGGTTATTGAGGCCAAAGGTAAAAAAAAGCACCGCAGGACGCAAGGGGTTAGGGAACGAAACCTATTCGTGGTGGACAGCTGTCGCCACCACTATATCCGTCCTGCGTTGCACAGCCGTTGATCGTTGGTTGTTGGACACTTTTTTTTTCATCCTGGAGGATGTACGGAGTACGGCATACTCCGTCTCTGGCAGTATATTTCAACATGGAAATCTCCATTCATACACACGTGTGGGAATGAAAAAAAAAAAAAAAAAAAAAAAAAAAAAAAAAAAAAAAAAAAAAAAAAAAAAAAAAAAAAAAAGGATGCATCTGTAATGGAAAAATCATTACATTATTTTTTATTTTATTTATTTTTTTTTTTTTCCCACTCTCATCCGGTGGGTGTTCTGAGGAGAAATTTACTAGCTGCAAGGATCAGCTTCACTAAGTGCAGCTAATGCATCTCGACCCTGGAGCTGCACGGCATCTTATGCATAAACTGTTGGTCATCACTTGCACCTTGCAGGCAGAAGCTCTTTTTAAATGGTTGGATTGCGTCTCGAGCCGTTCAAGCTGCATTGGCAAACTATTCAATTGGCTCAACTCGTCCATCTGGTGCGGCCAGTTAGGCTGAGCACAGAAAATCTCTCAGCGAAAGACAGACCCACGAAAGAAGATACAGCAACCTGCATTATCTTCTTCGGGAGAAGGGCGAACCACGCCAGCCCCTCCAACAAACGCCAGCATGGCAGGAAGAGGCGTATCTTCCGCCCCCAACTGACTTGCGGCGCCATGTTCTGTCCGCGTGGCATCAACAAGGAATACCCTGGGTTCGACCACGAGAGCCAACATTATGTGCCTTATTATAGACGGGGAAAACCGAGTCACAGCGTTCCAGATGGGAGGAAAAAAAAAAGAAATTGACAAAAGCAGAGGGGTGAATGTATGGATACGACATGCGT